TTCTAATATTAAAAAATTCTGCTGAAGAAGCCTAGATAGATACAATTATGGCAACAATCTGTATCTAGATATATACTTGATCAGATACAGCATTGGAACAGTTGAACTAGATCAGATCAGATACAGCATTGGAAAAGTCAAACTAGATCAGATCAAATACAGCATTGGGACAGTGAAACTAGATCAGATCAGATACAGCATTGGACAGTGTGTTAAACTAGATCAGATGACAGACATTGGAAAAATGATATTCAGAGTTCATTGGAACAGTCAAACTAGATCAGATACAGTTAATGTGTTTGGTTGAAGAAGTCAAAACTAGATCAGATCAGATACAGCATTGGGACAGTCAAACTAGATCAGATACAACGGTGGAACAGTGAATATAGATCAGAACAGATACAGCATTGGAACAGTCAAACTAGATCAGATACAGCATTGGAACAGTCAAACTAGATCAGATACAATGTTGGATCAGATACAGCATTGGAAAAGTCAAACTAGATCAGATCAGATACAGCATTGGAAAAGTCAAACTAGATCAGATCAAATACAGCATTGGGACAGTGAAACTAGATCAGATTAGATACAGCATTGGGACAATCAAACTAGATCAGATACAACGTTGGAACAGTGAAACTAGATCAGATCAGATACAGTATTGGAACAGTCAAACTAGATCAGATACAGCATTGGAACAGTGAAACTAGATCAGATCAGATACAGCATTGGAACAGTGAAACTAGATCAGATCAGATACAGCATTGGAACACTCAAACTAGATCAGATACAGCATTGGAACAGTGAAACTAGATCAGATCAGATACAGCATTGGAACAGTCAAACTAGATCAGATCAGATACAGTATTGGAACAGTCAAACTAGATCAGATACAGCATTGGAACAGTGAAACTAGATCAGATCAGATACAGCATTGGAACAGTCAAACTAGATCAGATACAGCATTGGGACAGTCAAACTAGATCAGATCAGATACAACATTGGAACAGTCAAACTAGATCAGATACAGCATTGGAACAGTCAAACTAGATCAGATCAGATACAGCATTGGAACAGTCAAACTAGATCAGATCAGATACAGCATTGGAACAGTCAAACTAGATCAGATACAGCATTGGAACAGTCAAACTAGATCAGATACAGCATTGGAACAGTCAAACTAGATCAGATCAGATACAGCATTGGAACAGTTCACTAGATCAGATACAGCATTGGAACAGTCAAACTAGATCAGAACAGATACAGCATTGGAACAGTCAAACTAGATCAGATCAGATACAGCATTGAAATAGTCAAACTAGATGAGATCAGATACAGCTTTGAAACAGTGAAACTAGATCAGATCAGATCAGATACAGCATTGGAACAGTCAAATTAGATCAGATCAGATACAGCATTGGAAAAGTCAAACTAGATCAGATCAGATACAGTATTGGGACAGTGAAACTAGATCAGATCAGATACAGCATTGGGACAGTCAAACTAGATCAGAACAGATACAGCATTGGAACAGTCAAACTAGATCAGATCAGATACAGCATTGAAATAGTTGGAACAGTCAAACTAGATCAGATCAGATACAGCATTGAAATAGTGAAACTAGATCAGATCAGATACAGTATTGGAACAGTCAAACTAGATCAGATCAGATACAGCATTGGAAAAGTCAAACTAGATCAGATCAGATACAGCATTGGAAAAGTCAAACTAGATCAGATCAGATACAGTATTGGGACAGTGAAACTAGATCAGATCAGATACAGCTTTGGAACAGTCAAACTACATTAAATCTGATACAACATTGGTACAGTCAAACTAGATCAGATCAGATACAGCATTGGAACAGTTAAACTAGATCAGATCAGATACAGCATTGGAACAGTCAAACTAGATCAGATACAGCATTGGAACAGCATTGGAACAGTCAAACTAGATCAGATACAGCATTGGAACAGTAAAACTAGATCAGAACAGATACAGCATTGGAACAGTCAAACTAGATCAGATCAGATACAGCATTGGAACAGTCAAACTAGATCAGATCAGATACAGCTTTGGAACAGTGAAACTAGATCAGATACAGCATTGGAACAGTCAAACTAGATCAGATACAGTATTGGAACAGTCAAACTAGATCAGATACAACATTGGAACAGTCAAACTAGATCAGATACAGCATTGGAACAGTCAAACTACATCAGATCAGATACAATGTTGGAACAGTCAAACTAGATCAGATCAGATACAGCATTGGAACAAACTAGATCAGATCAAATACAGCATTGGAACAGTCAAACTAGATCAGAACAGATACAGCATTGGAACAGTGAATCTAAATAAGATCAGATACAGTATTGGAACAGTCAAACTAAATCAGATCAGATACAGCATTGGAAAAGTCAAACTAGATCAGATACACTAGATCAGATCAGATACAGATCAGATCAGATACAGCATTGGAACAGTCAAACTAGATCAGATACAGCATTGGGACAGTCAAACTAGATCAGATCAGATACAACATTGGAACAGTTAAACTAGATCAGATACAGCATTGGGACAGTCAAACTAGATCAGATCAGATACAACATTGGAACAGTTAAACTAGATCAGATCAGATACAGCATTGGGACAGTCAAACTAGATCAGATACAGCATTGGGACAGTGAAACTAGATCAGATTGGGAACAGTCAAACTAGATCAGATCAGATACAGCATTGGAACAGTCAAACTAGATCAGATACAGCATTGGAGTCAAACTAGATCAGATCAGATACAGCATTGGGACAATCAAACTAGATCAGATACAGCATTGGAACAGTCAAACTAGATCAAATCTGATACAACATTGGTACAGTCAAACTAGATCAGATACAGCATTGGAACAGTCAAACTAGATCAGAACAGATACAGCATTGGAACAGTCAAACTAGATCAGATCAGATACAGCATTGGAACAGTCAAACTAGATCAGATACAGCATTGGAACACTCAAACTAGATCAGAACAGATACAGCATTGGAACAGTCAAACTAGATCAAATCTGATACAACATTGGTACAGTCAAACTAGATCAGATCAGATACAGCATAGATCAGAACAGATGCAGCATTGGAACAGTCAAACTAGATACAGATACAGCATACATTGGAACAGTCAAACAGATACAGCATTGGAACAGTCAAACTAGAACAGATACAGCATTGGGACAGTCAAACTAGATCTGATACAACATTGGAACAGTCAAACTAGATCAGAACAGATACAGCATTGGAACAGTCAAACTAGATCAAATCTGATACAACATTGGTACAGTCAAACTAGATCAGATACAACATTGGAACAGTCAAACTAGATCTGATACAACATTGGAACAGTCAAACTAGATCAGATACAACGTTTGAACAGTCAAACTAGATCAGATCAGATACAGCATTGGAACAGTCAAACTAGATCAGATCAGATACAGCATTGGAACAGTCAAACTAGATCAGATCAGATACAGCATTTGGACAGTCAAACTAGATCAGATCAGATACAGCAATGGGACAGTCAAACTAGATCAGATACAATGTTGGAACAGTCAAACTAGATCAGATCAGATACAGCATTGGAACAAACTAGATCAGATCAAATACAGCATTGGAACAGTCAAACTAGATCAGAACAGATACAATCAGATTTGGAACAGTCAAACTAGATCAGATCAGATACAGCATTGGAACAGTCAAACTAGATCAGATCAGATACAGCATTGGAACAGTCAAACTAGATCAGATACAGCATTGGAACAGTCAAACTAGATCAGATCAGATACAGCATTGGAACAGTCAAACTAGATCAGATACAGCATTGGAACAGTCAAACTAGATCAGATCAGATACAGCATTGGAACAGTCAAACTAGATCAGATCAGATACAGCATTGGAACAGTCAAACTAGATCAGATCAGATACAGCATTGGAACAGTCAAACTAGATCAGATCAGATACAGCATTGGGACAGTCAAACTAGATCAGATACAACGTTGGAACAGTCAAACTAGATCAGAACAGATACAGCATTGGGACAGTCAAACTAGATCAGATACAACATTGGAACAGTCAAACTAGATCAGAACAGATACAGCATTGGAACAGTGAATCTAAATAAGATCAGATACAGTATTGGAACAGTCAAACTAAATCAGATCAGATACAGCATTGGAAAAGTCAAACTAGATCAGATCAGATACAGCATTGGAAAAGTCAAACTAGATCAGATCAGATACAGCATTGGAACAGTCAAACTACATTAAATCTGATACAACATTGGTACAGTCAAACTAGATCAGATCAGATACAGCATTGGAACAGTAAAACTAGATCAGAACAGATACAGCATTGGAACAGTCAAACTAGATCAGATCAGATACAGCATTGAAATAGTGAAACTAGATCAGATCAGATACAGTATTGGAACAGTCAAACTAGATCAGATACAACATTGGAACAGTCAAACTAGATCAGATACAGCATTGGAACAGTCAAACTAGATCAGATCAGATACAGCATTGGAACAGTCAAACTAGATCAGATCAGATACAGCATTGGAACAGTGAAACTAGATCAGATCAGATACAGCATTGGAACAGTGAAACTAGATCAGATACAGCATTGGAACAGTGAAACTAGATCAGATCAGATACAGCATTGGAACAGTCAAATTAGATCAGATCAGATACAGCATTGGGACAGTCAAACTAGATCAGATCAGATACAGCATTGGGACAGTCAAACTAGATCAGATCAGATACAGCATTGGAACAGTCAAACTAGATCAGATCAGATACAGCATTGGGACAGCATTGGGACAGTCAAACTAGATCAGATCAGATACAGCATTGGAACAGTCAAACTAGATCAGACCAGATACAGCATTTGGAAATGAAAACTCCTGTATGTATTTTTAGAAATATATTGTTGTTTCTCTATTGCAGGTATTTATCTGCAACACCAATTTCCCCACCTCCAAAGTCTGCCAAGGATTTTACATCCGGACCACCAATTTCCCCCCGTCAAAAGTCTGCCATGGCTTTTACACCCACAGCACCACCTCCCCCACCTCCGAAGTCTGCCATGGCTTTTACATCAGCAGCACCACCTCCCCCACCTCCAAAGTCTGCCGTGGCTTTTACATCCGCAACACCACCTCCCCCACCTCCAAAGTCTGCCATGGCTTTTACACCTGCAACACCAATTCCCCCACCTCCAAAATCTGCCAAGACTTTTACATCCGGACCACCCATTCCCCCCCATCGAAAGTCTGCCATGGCTTTTACACCTGCAACACCAATTCCCCCACCTCCAAAGTCTGCGTTAGCTTTTACACCCGCAGCACCACCTCCCCCACCTCCAAAGACTGCCATGGCATTTACACCCGGAACACCACCTCCCCCACCTCCGAAGTCTGCCGTAGCTTTTACATCCGCAACATCACCTCCCCCACCTCCCCCACCTCCCCCACCTCCAAAGTCTGCCATGGCTTTTACACCTGCAACACCAATTCCCCCACCTCCAAAGTCTGCCGTGGCTTTTACATCCGCAACACCACCTCCCCCACCTCCCCCCCATCGAAAGTCTGCCATGGCTTTTACACCTGCAACACAATGTACCCAACGTGCTCGAAAGTCTAGGTTGGCTTTTACACCCGCAGCACCACCTCCCCCTTCTCCACAGCATGGGAGATCTTCAAGACAGACTTCCATATGTAATAGATTCTCAGGAGCTGATGAATGCTTATTGGACAGAGTCTCCTCTCCGGTGACTGAAGGATTATCGCATTGTTTTGGCCAATCTCAGCAATCTGCAAGGCCTTTATCATCAGCCAATAGAGGTGGAAAGTCTACAGAAGACCTGATATCTCTAAGTGTATTGGTATGTAAAACAATGTTTATATTTATTCTTCTTTGTACACATGTCTGTACACTTGACATGTAAATGTAAGGAAAATCTTCCAGTATACTGACCTCAGTTTACAGTTTTAACTGACACAGAGAAAAAGTCATATTAACACATTTTTAGCCCACCATCTAATAGATGGTGGGTTAATTAAAATCACCCTGCGTCCGTGGTCCGTCGTCCGTCCGTCTAGGCGTCCGGTCCGTCCGTCCGTAAACAATTCTTGTTACCGCTATTTCTGGAAAAGTACTGGATGGATCTTTCTCAAATTTCATATGCAGGTTCCCCTTGGTCCCTAGTTGTGCATTGTACCTTTTTTGAACTGATTCCCATTGAAGATGGCAGACAGGTGGCCATCTTGGATTTTGGAAGTAAAAGTTTGTTACCGCTATTTCTGGAAAAGTACTGGATGGATCTTTCTCAAATTTCATATGCAGTTTCCCCTTTGTCCCTAGTTGTGCATTGTACCTTTTTTGGACTGATTCGAATTCAAGATGGCCGACAGGTGGCCATCTTGGATTTTGGAAGTATAAGTTTGTTACTGCTATTTCTTGGAAAGTACTGGATGGATCTTTCTCAAATTTCATATGCAGGTTCCCTTTGGTTCCAAGTTGTGCATTATACCTTTTTGGACTGATCCGAAATCAATATGGCTGACAGGCAGCCATCTTGAATTTTGAGAGTAAAATCTTGTTACTGCTATATCTGAGGAAGTCCTGGATGGATCCTTCTGATATTTTATAGATATTGGTTTCCCTTTGTCCCTAGTTGTGCATTGTACCTTTTTTGGACCGATTTGAAATCAAGGTGGCCCACAGACAGCCATCTTGGATGTCGACAGTAATACAGCACAAGCATATTGTCCATTATCCACCTGTAACTGACTGCTATCTAATAATACTTTAGGATCTTTTTCAAATGATATTTGCTAATAGGTGCTTAATAAAAATATCTTGTGCCATCATTGAGTACATTCAGTGAAGACCAGTTCATGAACATTTACAACACCTGTAACAAACAAACAAAAAAAAAAAACAAATCTTCAAGAACTGAAAACAGATCCTCAAATGGTGGGCGCCAAGATCCCTCTGGGATCTCTTGTTAGCTTCTTATCATCAATTGGACAGCTGTTCAAAGAGTCCTTCATCTGGGGTCTGTGGTTCATTTGCTTGTCTTTAAACCATCCTATTTCTTGAGAAACAATGAATGGATTTTTCTGATATTTCATAGATGAACTACCCTGAATCTTTCATTGGGCAGGGCAAATTTGGGAACTAATGCAAATAAATTGCCAACATGCATCAGTCTTGAATTTTGACAGTTTTTGTGTGTTATTGTCGGATTTTACTAAGATTTTACATTAAGATTCCCTGGGGTCCTAATGTTGTAAACAATTTCAATGTTACTACAGATCTGAAAAAGTTTATTATCGCTATTTCTTGAGAATACCTTGTTTGATAGAGGCCTCTCATATACATACTGGTTATGCATCATTAATTGAAAGACTGATTGAATAACAAAATGACTTAAGGTTGCCATGTTGGATTTGACAAATTTCAATTTCATACATAGGCTACCATTGGTCCCTGGTTGTGTATGATCAATTTTAGATTAGATTGGGAAAACAAAATAACTGACTAAAGGGCAAATTAGAGGAAAGAAGGGCAAAAGAGACTTTTAATATAAACCCAATTGATAAAAGATAATATAATGGGTGCCAAGATCCTTATCTTATGTTACAATTTAATTTCTGCATTCAAAGAGGATATCATAATAAATAGTTCCTTTGTTTAAGTTTATAAATTTCAGATTTTGGAATCAGAAAGTATTTCATTTGAAGAAAAACACCCAGTATTGGCACCGTAAGAAAATACTCATTGCTGGTACTATATATTGTTGTTGGTACTGTAAGTAAACACCCATTGTTGGTACTATAAGTAAACACCCATTGTTGGTACTGTAAGAAAACACCCATTGTTGGTACTGTAAGAAAACACTCATTGTTGTTACTGTAAGTAAACACCCATTGTTGGTACTGTAAGTAAACACCCATTGTTGGTACTGTAAGAAAACACCCATTGTTGGTACTGTACGAAAACACTCATTGTTGGTACTGTAAGAAAACACCCATTGCTGGTACTGTAAGAAAACACCTGTTGCTGGTACTGTAAGAAAACGCTCATTGCTGGTACTTTAAGAAAACACCCATTGTTGGTACTGTAAGAAAACGCTCATTGCTGGCACTGTAAGAAAACACTCATTGTTGGTACTGTAAGAAAACACCCATTGTTGGTACTGTAAGAAAACACCCATTGTTGGTACTGTAAGAAAACGCCCATTGTTGCTTCGATAAGAAAACACCCATTGCTGGTACTGTAAGAAAACGCCCATTGTTGCTTCGATAAGAAAACACCCATTGCTGGTACTGTAAGTAAACACTCATTGTTGGTACTGTAAGAAAACACCCATTGCTGGTACTGTATGAAAACACCCGTTGCTGGTACTTTAAGAAAACACCCATTGCTGGTACTTTAAGAAAACACCCATTGCTGGTACTGTAAGAAAACACTCATTGTTGGTACTGTAAGAAAACACTCATTGTTGGTACTGTAAGAAAACACTCATTGTTGGTACTGTAAGAAAACACCCATTGTTGGTACTGTAAGAAAACACCCATTGTAGCTTCGATAAGAAAACACCAATTGCTGGTACTGTAAGAAAACACCCATTGCTGGCACTGTAAGAAAACACCCATTGCTGGTACTGTAAGAAAACACCCATTGCTGGTACTGTAAGAAAACACTCATTGTTGGTACTGTTAGAGACACCCATTGTTGGTACACCCATTGTTGGTACTGTAAGAAAACACCCATTGTTGGTACTGTAAGAAAACACCCATTGTTGCTGCAATAAGAAAACACCCATTGCTGGTACTGTAAGAAAACACCCATTGCTGGTACTGTAAGAAAACACCCGTTGCTGGTACTGTAAGAAAACACCCATTGTAGCTTCGATAAGAAAACACCCATTGTTGGTACTGTAAGAAAACACCCATTGCTGGTACTGTAAGAGAACACCCGTTGCTGGTACTGTAAGAAAACACCCATTGCTGGTACTGTAAGAAAACACTCATTGTTGGTACTGTAAGAAAACACTCATTGTTGGTACTGTAAGAAAACACCCATTGCTGGTACTGTAAGAAAACACTCATTGTTGGTACTGTAAGAAAACACTCATTGTTGGTACTGTAAGAAAACACCCATTGCTGGTACTGTAAGAAAACACTCATTGTTGGTACTGTAAGAAAACACTCATTGTTGGTACTGTAAGAAAACACCCATTGTTGGTACTGTAAGAAAACGCCCATTGTTGCTTCGATAAGAAAACACCCATTGCTGGTTCTGTATGAAAAAAACCCATTGCTGGTACTGTAAATAAACACCCATTGTTGGTACTGTAAGAAAACACCCATTGTTGGTACTGTAAGAAAACACTCATTGTTGGTACTGTAAGTAAACACCCATTGTTGGTACTGTAAGTAAACACTGATTGTTGGTACTGTAAGTAAACACCCATTGTTGGTACTGTAAGAAAACACTCATTGTTGGTACTGTAAGTAAACACCCATTGTTGGTACTGTAAGAAAACACTCATTGTTGGTACTGTAAGTAAACACCCATTGTTGGTACTGTAAATAAACACCCATTGTTGGTACTGTAAGAAAACACCCATTGTTGGTACTGTAAGAAAACACCCATTGTTGGTACTGTACGAAAACACTGATTGTTTGTACTGTAAGAAAACACCCATTGCTGGTACTGTAAGAAAACACCGTTGCTGGTACTTTAAGAAAACACCCATTGCTGGTACTGTAAGAAAACACCCATTGCTGGTACTGTAAGAAAACACCCATTGCTGGTACTGTAAGAAAACACTCATTGTTAGTACTGTAAGAAAACACCCATTGTTGCTTCGATAAGAAAACACCCATTGCTGGTACTGTAAGACAACACCCATTGTTGGTACTGTAAGAAAACACCCATTGTTGCTTCGATAAGAAAACACCCATTGCTGGTACTGTAAGAAAACACCCATTGCTGGTACTGTAAGAAAACACCCATTGTTGCTTCGATAAGAAAACACCCATTGCTGGTACTGTAAGACAACACCCATTGTTGGTACTGTAAGAAAACACCCATTGTTGCTTCGATAAGAAAACACCCATTGCTGGTACTGTAAGAAAACACCCATTGCTGGTACTGTAAGAAAACACCCATTGCTGGTATTGTAAGAAAACACCCATTGCTTGTTCTGTATGACTGTAAGAAAACTCCCATTGTTGCTTCGATAAGAAAACACCCATTGCTGGTCTATAAGAAAACAGCATTTTATGTACTAAAAGAAAGAAATACATTACCTGTGGTGTAATTGTAAAGGTATAATCACTATGGTTTATTTGACTAATACAGGATGAGAACAAGAAATTCAGAAAGAAAAAAATGTCTGCAGTGTTTAAAGATGAGTCAGTGGTGAGTAGTTACCCTATCTATCACATGCTCAGTTGAATGTTTACCTTGTTTATCAAAACACTTTTATTGATATGATAATCTAGATCCACCTGAGAAAGTCATCAGATGAACTAGATACAGAGATATATCAGCTCTAGACAGACATCAGATGAACTAGATACACAGATATATCGGCTGTAGACAGACATCAGATGAACTAGATACAGAGATATATCAGCTCTAGACAGACATCAGATGAACTAGATACAGAGATATATCGGCTGTAGACAGACATCAAATGAACTAGATACAGAGATATATCAGCTCTAGACAGACATCAGATGAACTAGATACAGAGATATATCAGCTATATCAGACAGACATCAGATGAACTAGATACAGAGATATATCAGCTGTAGACAGACATCAGATGAACTAGATACAGAGATATATCAGCTGTAGACAGACATCAGATGAACTAGATACAGAGATATATCAGCTGTAGACAGACATCAGATGAACTAGATACACAGATATATCAGCTGTAGACAGACATCAAATGAACTAGATACAGAGATATATCAGCTCTAGACAGACATCAGATGAACTAGATACAGAGATATATCAGCTCTAGACAGACATCAGATGAACTAGATACAGAGATATATCAGCTCTAGACAGACATCAGATGAACTAGATACAGAGATATATCAGCTGTAGACAGACATCAGATGAACTAGATACAGAGATATATCAGCTGTAGACAGACATCAAATGAACTAGATACAGAGATATATCAGCTGTAGACAGACATCAGATGAACTAGATACAGAGATATATCAGCTCTAGACAGACATCAGATGAACTAGATACAGAGATATATCAGCTGTAGACAGACATCAGATGAACTAGATACAGAGATATATCAGCTGTAGACAGACATCAGATGAACTAGATACAGAGATATATCAGCTCTAGACAGACATCAGATGAACTAGATACAGAGATATATCAGCTCTAGACAGACATCAGATGAACTAGATACAGAGATATATCAGCTGTAGACAGACATCAGATGAACTAGATACAGAGATATATCAGCTGTAGACAGACATCAGATGAACTAGATACAGAGATATATCAGCTCTAGACAGACATCAGATGAACTAGATACAGAGATATATCAGCTGTAAACAGACATCAGATGAACTAGATACAGAGATATATCAGCTCTAGACAGACATCAGATGAACTAGATACAGAGATATATCAGCTGTAGACAGACATCAGATGAACTAGATACAGAGATATATCAGCTGTAGACAGACATCAGATGAACTAGATACAGAGATATATCAGCTGTAGACAGACATCAAATGAACTAGATACAGAGATATATCAGCTCTAGACAGACATCAGATGAACTAGATACAGAGATATATCAGCTGTAGACAGACATCAGATGAACTAGATACAGAGATATATCGGCTGTAGACAGACATCAGATGAACTAGATACAGAGATATATCGGCTGTAGACAGACATCAGATGAACTAGATACAGAGATATATCAGCTGTAGACAGACATCAGATGAACTAGATACAGAGATATATCGGCTGTAGACAGACATCAGATGAACTAGATACAGAGATATATCGGCTGTAGACAGACATCAGATGAACTAGATACAGAGCTATATCAGCTCTAGACAGACATCAGATGAACTAGATACAGAGATATATCAGCTGTAGACAGACATCAGATGAACTAGATACAGAGATATATCAGCTGTAGACAGACATCAAATGAACTAGATACAGAGATATATCAGCTCTAGACAGACATCAGATGAACTAGATACAGAGATATATCAGCTGTAAACAGACATCAGATGAACTAGATACAGAGATATATCAGCTGTAGACAGACATCAGATGAACTAGATACAGAAGATATATCAGCTCTAGACAGACATCAGATGAACTAGATACAGAGATATATCGGCTGTAGACAGACATCAGATGAACTAGATACAGAGATATATCGGCTGTAGACAGACATCAGATGAACTAGATACAGAAGATATATCAGCTCTAGACAGACATCAGATGAACTAGATACAGAGATATATCGGCTGTAGACAGACATCAGATGAACTAGATACAGATATATCAGCTGTAGACAGACATCAGATGAACTAGATACAGAGATATATCAGCTGTAGACAGACATGAGATGAACTAGATACAGAGATATATCAGCTGTAGACAGACATCAGATGAACTAGATACAGAGATATATCAGCTGTAAACAGACATCAGATGAACTAGATACAGAGATATATCGGCTGTAGACAGACATTAGATGAACTAGATACAGAGCTATATCGGCTGTAGACAGACATCAGATGAACTAGATATAGAGATATATCAGCTGTAGACAGACATCAGATGAACTAGATACAGAGATATATCAGCTCTAGACAGACATCAGATGAACTAGATATAGAGATATGTCAGCTGTAAACAGACATCAGATGAACTAGATACAGAGATATATCAGCTCTAGACAGACATCAGATGAACTAGATATAGAGATATGTCAGCTGTAAACAGACATCAGATGAACTAGATACAGAGATATATCAGCTGTAGACAGACATCAGATGAACTAGATACAGAGATATATCAGCTGTAGACAGACATCAGATGAACTAGATACACAGATATATCGGCTATAGACAGACATCAGATGAACTAGATACAGAGATATATCTGCTATAGACAGACATCAGATGAACTAGATACAGAGATATATCGGCTGTAGACAGACATCAGATGAACTAGATACAGAGATATATCGGCTGTAGACAGACATCAGATGAACTAGATACAGAGATATATCGGCTGTAGACAGACATCAGATGAACTAGATACAGAGATATATCTGCTATAGACAGACATCAGATGAACTAGATACAGAGATATATCTGCTATAGACAGACATCAGATGAACTAGATACAGAGCTATATCTGCTATAGACAGACATCAGATGAACTAGATACAGAGCTATATCGGCTATAGACAGACATCAGATGAACTAGATACACAGATATATCGGCTATAGACAGACATCAGATGAACTAGATACAGAGATATATCTGCTATAGACAGACATCAGATGAACTAGATACAGAGATATATCGGCTGTAGACAGACATCAGATGAACTAGATACAGAGATATATCGGCTGTAGACAGACATCAGATGAACTAGATACAGAGATATATCAGCTGTAGACAGACATCAGATGAACTAGATACAGAGATATCAGCTCTAGACAAACATCAGATGAACTAGATACAGAGATATATCGGCTGTAGACAGACATCAGATGAACTAGATACACAGATATATCGGCTATAGACAGACATCAGATGAACTAGATACAGAGATATATCAGCTGTAAACAGACATCAGATGAACTAGATACAGAGATATATCGGCTGTAGACAGACATCAGATGAATTAGATATAGAGATATGTCAGCTGTAGACAGACATCAGATGAACTAGATACAGAGATATATCAGCTGTAGACAGACATCAGATGAACTAGATATAGAGATATGTCAGCTGTAAACAGACATCAGATGAACTAGATACAGAGATATATCGGCTGTAGACAGACACCAGATGAACAAGATACAGATATATCAGCTGTAGACAGACATCATTTTACCTAGATATATAGATATATCAGCTGTAGACAGACATCAGATGAACTAGATACAGAGCTATATCGGCTGTAGACAGACATCAGATGAACTAGATACAGATATATCAGCTGTAGACAGACATCATTTTACCTAGATATAGAGATATATCAGCTCTAGACAGACATCAGATGAACTAGATACAGAGATATATCGACTGGAGGACATCATGTTAACTAGATATACATGTTAAGAGATGTAATAGCTGTACAGACTTGAGATGAATTTATTCATTGCGAGTTTGGCTTTTGAATATAGAATAATGTTATAATTGTTATTAATGAAGATCACTCCCATGACATGTGGAGAAATTTCAAATCATTAAAACATATTTTCATTGCAATGAAAATAACACACAAAAAATTTCATCAAATTGGAACAGGGTACCCATTCTATTTTGTAAGATTGGCCAATTTAAAAGCCTGATAGAACATCACACAAAACAAGCGATAAATAAAATATTTAACAGTGTTTTCTATAATAACAAATAATGGAAATCTGACTGTAATTACAACATAGAAATCATAATAACCATATTATACATATACTGAAGGTGATTCTCAATCCATTATGTGTTTTGTTTCCATGAAGGATTTACCACGCAGACTTAGGACGGCTGTGGCTAGAGAAAGACCTGATTTAACAGATGTCCGTACTTTTTGTATGGAAGGTAAGTTTTACATCAATGTAATCATGTTAAAGTAAATATGTTTGATAAAGATTTAATCGTAGACTGATTTTCCAGACAATCTGATGTATTGAAACTTCATACCAAGGACAAGTAGATAAAGGATGGAGCATTAACACCAGGGATTCCCTAACTTTATAGTATTCCTTGACATGCTTCGGTTGGTTAGGTCTACCATCTTCAGAACAATTTTACATCGAGAAAAGGAGAGCTAAATTGTAAATTACGGTTCAACATATTAATTGTCAAATTTTCACAGAGTCAAAATGTCACACACACTGTAAACTAACACAGTTCTATCTCTCGGATATGGTGGAACATTTTAATTCGGCACCTGAATGGTCCCTTATCTGAGATATCTCACGGTCCCTTGTGTATGAGATATCTCATGGTCCCCTGTGTATGAGATATCTCACAGTCCCTTGTGTATGAGATATCTCACGGTCCCTTGTGTATGAGATATCTCACGGTCCCTTGTGTATGAGATGTCTCACAGTCCCTTGTGTATGAGATATCTCATGGTCCCCTGTGTATGAGAAATCTCATGGTCCCTTGTGTATGAGATGTCTCACAGTCCCTTGTGTATGAGATATCTCATGGTCCCCTGTGTATGAGATATCTCATGGTCCCTTGTGTATGAGATGTCTCACAGTCCCTTGTGTATGAGATATCTCATGGTCCCCTGTGTATGAGATATCTCATGGTCCCTTGTGTATGAGATATTACATGGTCCCTTATGTATGAGACATCTCACCATCCTTTGTGTATGAGATATCTCATGGTCCATTGTGTATGAGATATCTCATGGTCCCTTGTGTATGAGATATCTCATGGTCCCTTGTGTATGAGACATCTCACAGTCCCTTGTGTATGAGATATCTCATGGTCCCCTGTGTATGAGAAATCTCATGGTCCCTTGTGTATGAGATGTCTCACAGTCCCTTGTGTATGAGATATCTCATGGTCCCCTGTGTATGAGATATCTCATGGTCCCTTGTGTATGAGATGTCTCACAGTCCCTTGTGTATGAGATATCTCATGGTCCCCTGTGTATGAGATATCTCATGGTCCCTTGTGTATGAGATATTACATGGTCCCTTATGTATGAGACATCTCACCATCCTTTGTGTATGAGATATCTCATGGTCCATTGTGTATGAGATATCTCATGGTCCCTTGTGTATGAGATATCTCATGGTCCCTTGTGTATGAGACATCTCACCATCCTTTGTGTATGAGATATCTCATGGTCCATTGTGTATGAGATATCTCATGGTCCCCTGTGTATGAGATATCTCATGGTCCCTATGTATGAGATACTTATGGTCCCTTGTGTATGAGATATTTCATGGTCCCTTGTGTATGAGATATCTCATGGTCCCTTATGTATGAGATACTTATGGTCCCTTGTGTATGAGATATTTCATGGTCCCTTGTGTATGAGATACTTATGGTCCCTTGTGTATGAGATATCTCATGGTCCCTTATGTATGAGATATCTCATGGTCCCTTGTGTATGAGATATCTCACGGTCACATTGGGGTTTGCCTGATGGACGGGAAGTATAACCACAACATTCTGTGTATAATCATTCATCCATGTAATGTAGCATAAACAAGTGTTCATTAAGGTATCCCATATTAGTACACTATTCTCAATATTATATCAGAGCGCTTGAGATCTACATCATATTTAATGGTATTCAGTCAGAGTTGAAGGGTCAAATGTCACACTTGATCACTTGATCAGTATATTTAGTTTACATTAATCTAAGAATACGGTTGTTGTGGTGAGGGTTATAGAAGGTGTTTAAAATAGTAATTACACTGTTGAACAAGGATGTTGGGGTTACAGCTATATGAACTGCTGTTTACTTTGTTTTTTAATAATAATGATAATAATAATAATAATAGACTTTTTTTAAAGAGGATAATACATGTTTATCCAAAGGCTAATCTACCACATGGTCCTCAAGTTAGTTAAATATTACTTCGTTAGTAAAACATGATATCACAATCAGATACTAAAATACATACAAAATATCATAGTGAAAGACATTATAACATATCACAGTAAATATTAATTAAGGTTATCACAGATAGCACAAACACATATTTGTGCTAATTTGATTTGTCAATTAATGGCTTTAAGCCATAGATACATATATGCTAACATAGCAAAAAGTAAAAATTACCAGGATATACGCTAATATAGCATAGATTAAAGAAGGAAAATTTTGCATGAAAAAGAACAGTTAAGAATTTCAAAAGTAATGAACTAGTTGGTCTCTAAAAGAATTAAAATTTTGAATGTCTTTTAACAGACTGGATAGACTATTCCAGTCCTGAGCACCAGATATAAAAAATTGTTTTGAGTAAAATGTAGTTCTGTGCTTAGGAACAATAACATTATTTGCCACGGAGAACCTGATACATCTTCTGTGTTCATCATTAGCAAGTTTGATATTGTGGCTTAAGTAATCTGGCACCAATCCATGAATACATTTGTAAAACAAACATATTCTCTTGAATTTAAAATATTTTTCAGTTGGAATCCATTTTAAAACAGAAGACATATCAGAGGAAGGTGTATCATATGGCACATTAAGTATAACTCTTTCTGCCTGTTTCTGGGCTTTATATAATTTACCCATATGATTTGCATCACATCCAGACCATACAGTACAGCAATAAATAAAATGGGGAAAAATACATGAGTTGTAAAACTTCATTCTACCTTGAATGGGAAGATAGGAATGTATAAGCCTTTGATGAGACAATGAGCTTGTGTTTGTACATGCCTTTCCAGTATCTTAGATAAAATGGGTATGTACATGCCTTTCCAGTATCTTAGATAAAATGGGTATGTACATGCCTTTCCAGTATCTTAGATAAAATGGGTAAAACAGAGATTGGCCCATTATTATTATCATTAGGTTATTTATATCTGGAGTCTGAAGTGGAGTTAGATAATTGGCCCTAACAATTGGTGCCGAGTTGTAAAATACAGAAATCATTGGCATGGATGACATTGTCACAAGTTGGCAGTGAGGATATGTCTTTTTTTTTATCTGTGACATTCACTAATTATGATTGGGTAAACAACCTTTTGAGTATTTCTGTTGTTTTGTTTTTCCTTAGATGCTGGTTCAAAACAGACTTATGGGTATGGGTCCGCGGAGCGTAGTAGAGGTCTTCATGTAGATGATGATAGGTTTCAGAAACTTCGAAGACGAGCAGGCATTGAGACTGACATATTACAGGGTGAGTTTGATCAGGTTGTGAAACTGACATATAACAGGGTGAATTTGATCAGGGTGTGAAACTGACATATTACAGGGTGGGTTTGACAAGGATTGGAAACTGACATATCACAGGGTGAGTTTGATCAGGGTTTGAAACTGACATATTACAGGGTGAGTTTGATCAGGGTGTGAAACTGACATATTACAGGGTGAGTTTGATCAGGGTGTGAAACTGACATATTACAGGGTGAGTTTGATAAGGGTTTGAAACTGACCAATTACAATGTGAGTTTGACAAGGATTGGAAACTGACACATTACAGGGTGAGTTTGACAAAGATTGGAAACTGACATATTACAGGGTGAGTTTGATCAGGGTTTGAAAATGACCTATTACAGGGTGAGTTTGATCAGGGTTTGAAAATGACCAATTACAGGGTGAGTTTGATCAGGGTTTGAAAATGACCAATTACAGGGTGAGTTTGATCAGGGTTTGAAAATGACCAATTACAGGGTGAGTTTGATCAGGGTTTGAAAATGACCAATTACAGGGTGAGTTTGATCAGGGTTTGAAAATGACCTATTACAGGGTGAGTTTGATCAGGGTGTGAAACTGACATATTACAGGGTGGGTTTGACAAGGATTGGAAACTGACATATTACAGGGTGAGTTTGATCAGGGTGTGAAACTGACATATTACAGGGTGAGTTTGATAAGGGTTTGAAACTGACCAATTACAATGTGAGTTTGACAAGGATTGGAAACTGACACATTACAGGGTGAGTTTGACAAAGATTGGAAACTGACATATTACAGGGTGAGTTTGATCAGGGTTTGAAAATGACCTATTACAGGGTGAGTTTGATCAGGGTTTGAAACTGACATGTTACAGGGTGAGTTTGACAAGGATTGGACACTGACATGTTACAGGGTGTTTGACAAGGATTGGACACTGACATGTTACAGGGTGTTTGACAAGGATTGGACACTGACATGTTACAGGGTGAGTTTGACAAGGATTGGAAACTGACATGTTACAGGGTGTTTGACAAGGATTGGAAACTGACATGTTACAGGGTGAGTTTGACAAGGATTGGAAACTGACATATGAGAGGGTGAGTTTGATCAGGGTTTGAAACTGACCTATTACAGGGTGAGTTTGATCAGGGTTTGAAACTGACCTATTACAGGGTGAGTTTGATCAGGGTTTGAAACTGATATATTACAGGGTGAGTTTGATTAGGGTTTGAAACTGACCAATTACAGGGTGAGTTTGATCAGGGTTTGAAACTGACCTATTACAGGTTGAGTTTGATCAGGGTTTGAAACTGACCAATTACAGGGTGAGTTTGACAAGGATTGGAAACTGACATGTTACAGGGTGAGTTTGACAAGGATTGGACACTGACAAGTTACAGGTCGAGTTTGACAAGGATTGGACACTGACAAGTTACAGGTCGAGTTTGACAAGGATTGGAAACTGACATGTTACAGGGTGAGTTTGACAAGGATTGGAAACTGACATGTTACAGGTCGAGTTTGACAAGGATTGGAAACTGACATGTTACAGGGTGAGTTTGACAAGGATTGGAAACTGACATGTTACAGGGTGGAATTATGACACAAATATTCATTTCGAAAGTTGTGATGTGTGACCTTTGGCCCTGTAACATTGATCTATGACCAATCAGATGTGATTTTGTAAGAATGATGCCAATAAAAATGTTGTTTGTTCTTTTTCATAGATATTTCAGATGTTGGGACAATAATGCCAACAGTTGCTAAGGCAGCATTGAAAAACCTGAGTAAAAAAGACCTTGACACTCTTAAAGCACTTCAAAATAGAGTAAGTACATGCCCCTCAGAACACACCTGGTGTCCAGACAACTATGACACATACAGGAACGATTATGGAGTATTTTTTTTACACCCTTGTATATCCATGCCATATAAATGCAATTTGTTGATATGAATATGATTAGATGCTGTAATGGTATTTAGCCTACAACTGGCACTCCTTTTGTCAGAATACACCTGCCACTTATATTTGTGTTGCATTCGGCAGTGACGGAAAACAGCTTTATTTTAGCACATACCATAATTCAATAGAATTACTTTATGAATTTATTTTAAAATTACATTTGATGATATAAATAAGTGTTGAAATAAGCTATTTAACATGTTGTTATGAATACGTTTATTTACAAAAATTCATAAAAGTTTTGAACAACATTTCTATGTAGAGCAATTATTTTGGTGTACGCCATCAGACAAAATTCAGCGTAACATCAAGGACAGATAAACAAAGATAGAACAACAAAACTTCTTAAGTTTAGATTGTCTGATTTTCATTCAGTGTTTCAGGATAAATAGAATACATGATCATTGTCTTTAAATATAATCCACATTTTGGCTCAAGACTGAAAGACAAAAGTTGCTCGCCAGAGGCTTGCTACTCTTGTATTACTTCATCCTCGCTGAAACACAGCTGATATTTTAAGACACTGACCATGTATTCTCTATTTAGCTAGTGAATACTGAAAAGTAGTTGGCAGGTGGAAGAGGTTGAAGAACTGGGGAGGTTTGACTAGTTTGTAGTTGGGAAGGTTTGACTAGTTTGTAGTTGGGAAGGTTTGAGTAGTTTGTAGTTGGAAGTGGTTTGACTAGTTTGTAGTTGGAAGTGGTTTGAGTAGTTTGTAGTTGGAAGTGGTTTGAGTAGTTTGTAGTTGGAAGTGGTTTGACCAGTTTGTAGTTGGAAGAGGTTTGACTAGTTTGTAGTTGGGAAGGTTTGAGTAGTTTGTAGTTGGAAGTGGTTTGACTAGTTTGTAGTTGGGGAGGTTGGAGTAGTTTGTAGTTGGGGAGGTTGGAGTAGTTTGTAGTTGGGGAGGTTGGAGTAGTTTGTAGTTGGGGAGGTTTGAGTAGTTTGTAGTTGGAAGAGGTTGGAGTAGTTTGTAGTTGGGGAGGTTGGAGTAGTTTGTAGTTGGAAGTGGTTTGAGTAGTTTGTAGTTGGGAAGGTTTGAGTAGTTTGTAGTTGGGAAGGTTTGAGTAGTTTGTAGTTGGAAGTGGTTTGACTAGTTTGTAGTTGGAAGTGGTTTGAGTAGTTTGTAGTTGGAAGTGGTTTGACTAGTTTGTAGTTGGAAGTGGTTTGAGTAGTTTGTAGTTGGAAGTGGTTTGACTAGATTGTAGTTGGGAAGGTTTGAGTAGTTTGTAGTTGGGGAGGTTTGAGTAGTTTGTAGTTGGAAGAGGTTTGAGTAGTTTGTAGTTGGAGGAGGTTGGAGTAGTTTGTAGTTGGAAGAGGTTGGAGTAGATTCTAGCCTGAAAAGGCTGGAATGGTTTGTAGTTTGAAGAAATTGAAGTACTCTGTACCTGATAGAGGTTGAGTAGTTTGTAGTTATTAGAAGCTGACGTAGTTTGTAGTTGACGTAGTTTGTTGTTATTAGAAGCTGAAGTAGTTTGTTGTTATAAGAAGCTGACGTAGTTTGTAGTTGACGTAGTTTGTTGTTATTAGAAGCTGACGTAGTTTGTAGTTGACGTAGTTTGTTGTTATTAGAAGCTGACGTAGTTTGTAGTTGACGTAGTTTGTTGTTATTAGAAGCTGACGTAGTTTGTAGTTATTAGAAGCTGACGTAGTTTGTAGTTATTAGAAGCTGAAGAAATTTATAGCTAGTAAATATAGAAATAGTGTACAAGCACTTGACATTGTTGTAGTTGGTAGATGCTGGTAAGTTTCATTGGATACTGATCATTGTTGTGTGAAGAATCACAAAAATGAATTGGGCACATTGTGTGATAAAAAGAATATCTGATTGAGATCTAGGTATACTATTGTGGTAATGAGACAATTTTATTGCAAGTGATGATATTTCCAGAATAATTCGATGCCATTTATGTATGTAACAGATGTCATTATTGATTTCAATGCATCACATTGGGCCTCTGGTTTACTAGGCTCAATTGTCCTAGAGAAGTTTTCTGTAGCCTAGCAGCATACTACAGGTATGTGAAGTGTTACTCCACACGTAGGAAACATTTATCTTCTCCATGTCCAAAAACCTGAGATGTGGCTGAAATACCACTAATATTATAGAAGATACAGCCAGTGAAGTATTGTAACACAGATAAAAACAACTTGTTTGTATATCAGCTTGGAGGTTGGACCAGAAGCCAGGTGGAGAAAGAGCTCTTCATTGATTTGACGGCCTGTATGGAGACTCTGAACACTGCGGGACTCAAGTCATTAGGTGATTTACTCAATCAATGTTTGGAATTTAACAAAATGTGATTACACAAACAAATAATTTTTTTATGATATTGTTTTTTGGTGTTCTGTTCCTTGTTGGTTTAAGACAGATTCTTTGGATAGGATAGAGAGAAATAATGCAAACAATTAGTTTCTTTTATAACAAAGACATGTAGTAGGTTCTAGTTTAAGGCTCATGTCATAAATAAAACATTGTGAATAAGATTGAGGATTAAGTTTTTGGATCAGAATTCAATTAGCTAAATCAACGAATAGCTTATTGTTTCATTGTGTAAAATATTCATTTTACAGGAAACAAAGTTGCTATGGAAATAGAAAACGTTTTGGTAGCAGCTTTTGTCGTCATGTGGATGCTTAAGACACTGGTGCCAGAGCTGTTCCCCCTAAATACTGAGACAAGGGGATGGTCAGACAGTGTTGTCAACATAGCCAAAGGAGTGCTGGAGATCTATGACCATGATCAGTCTTTACTAGACAAGGCCATTTCATATTGTGATCAGATTGAGAGAGCACACCCTAGAGTCGCTTCAATCCTAGAACTGGGACCTAACTGGTTTGCAGTAGCACTGAAAATGTTGGGTTGTTAATTATCAAATACTGTTTTATTATCGATAGAAAAAACAGCTGCCTTTTGTCTGTTGTTTTGTTGTTGGTAGATGTCAGATTGTCATTGAGTCCACAAAGATCCCCATTTACAGTACCTTGGAATTCAGTATTTATATTCTGGACAACTGCAACCTTGAGCTTTGATCTATCTAGCCAATATCTGAAATCACAGATTTTACCAATGCATTTGTGATATCTATTGTTCTTCATAAGGATATCAAATTTTTATTTTCATAATATAATGAACTTGATCAAAACATTGGCAAAAATTACCAATGTCATTTACAAAGAGTTCATCAAAATGTCATGCCAGTGATATTATTTTTAAGATCTAATTTTTGTACATTATTTTTGGCATTTTATTAGGTCACCTGAGCCGTGCGTTGTTAACTTTTCACATATTCGACTTCTTCTCAAGAACTAGTCAATGGATTTTGACCAAACTTGGCACAAAGCATCCCCATGGGAAGCCGCTTCAAGTTTGCGAAGAAAAAGGGCATGGCCCCAATAGGGGCCCAGGAGGGGGGAAAAGGGGGTAAAATTAGGTAAATCTTTAAAAATCTTCTTCTCATGAACCAACGGTCAGATTTTCCTAAAATTCATAATGAATGATTCTTAGAGCAAGGTCTACAAAGTTTGTGAATTAGAAAAAAATTGGGTCAGAAACAGGCCCTCCAGGGGGCACTAAAAAGGAGTCAAAATTCAAAGTTGGTGGATTTGAACCAAATTTAGTATATAGAGTCCTCACGTGAAGAACATGTGACTTTGAGTTGAAAAAAAGTGTCTGAGGGGTTCTGGGGCCACATGGGTGGCAAAAAGGGGTCAATTAGATTTTTTTTTGAAAATGGGTTTTAATGGCATTGACCATGTTTTTGGGTTACAACCACACTAAGCACAAAGCATCTGTGTAATAAGACACATTTAGTTTGGGGAAAAAAGTAATGGCTGCAATAGGGGCCCCAGGTGGGGGTAAAAAAGGAGTAAAATTAGGTAAAGTAAGCTTCTTTAAGTTTACAATAGAAAAAGGTGTGGCCTCAATGGGGGCATATTTAATGGGCAGAAAGGGGTAGAATTTGTTAAATCTTAGCAAATCTTGTTGTCTTGAACCAAAAGTGTAACTTCATATAGATGATCTTAAGGGAAAGAACGGCAAAGTTTGTGAGAATAAAAATAACTGGTCCAAAATTAGCCCTTCTGATAGTTGTTACATATTAATCTTTAATAAAGACGTGTTGTGTGTTTATGACAACCATATAGGCGAGAAAAAAATGAGCTACATGTATAATATGGTTCAATAACTGTGGTAACACTACATTTCTCAGCCTTTATACATATATATTCCTGTCTCAGAAGTACCACAAGATTTTTTCACATTGTTTTATGGGAGTTTTTTTAGTTGGATGCCTTATTGTATTAGGCAAGGAAAAGATTGTGGATAGACTTGAAATTGATCTGATTTTTTGTATACTTTAGCTATACATGTATCTACTAAGATATATTTCAACTTGTAAATGAAAACATGATTTGCTTTATATAAATGTGCAACCCTTGCCTCTGTTTGGCTAAGACATTTTGGACTTCCTCTCAAGAACCACTGGGTGGATCATGTTCAGACTTGGTACAGATGTTTTACACACGGTCCTGCACAAGTGTTGTTACATTTTTGCAACATTTTAAAATCCCCAGATTATTGACATATATTCCTCTGGTGACCGTTAAGGCCCCTTGGGCCTATTGTTATTCTTTGTAGTGATGTTTTGTTATTTTTTATTATATCAATTTTCCCAATGTTTTAAGGTTTTAACTTTACAAAAGTAACTGATGTAAGCTTATAATTTCATGAAATTGAGAGATTTTTGCTTTTTGCTTTTAAGGTTTAAAATGTAGTTAAACATTATGATATGACATTGTAAAACAGACATAACGGTATTACCTTATAGTTAAACAAGATAGATATAAAATTGTAATACAGTTACAATTATAACTATATTACAATGTAGTTAAACAAAGTGATATAACATATTACAGTTATAACTATATTACAATGTAGTTAGTTAAACAAGTTATAACTATATTACAATGTAGATATAAACATTGTAATACAGTTACAGTTATAACTATATTACAATGTAGTTAAACAAAGTGATATAACATTGTAATACAGTTACAGTTATAACTATATTACAATGTAGTTAAACAAAGTGATATAACATTGTAATACAGTTACAGTTATAACTATATTACAATGTAGTTAAACAAAGTGATATAACATTGTAATACAGTTACAATTATAACTATATTATGATTGGTATATGATAAACTATATGACACATTTCTATATAACCAATACATATATATATAGCTTCACTGAAGTTTATGAAACACTTTCACAGTTACACAAAGTCCTAGAAGGTCAGATGATTGAACTAATAACCACGTTAAGGACTGTGTAGATTTTGTTTTCTTTACTTAGAATTTGTTACAGACCACTATGTTTACATGTCCCTCTGATTGAGGACCAACTTGAAATTAAATTTGTTTCACATGTGATAAAGCAGCCAAAATGATAATTTCTGAATTGTTCTTGGATGATATGACATGATGTTTTTGTGTAAGTTGTAACTATCCAATGGTTGTGTTGTAGAAGATTAATATATTATTTTACATGTGATGTACTTATGAGATTGTCATGTGAAAGAAGTCACAAGATTTGTGACTGATGTCATGTAAAGATTGTTGCTGTTGCCTTTTTCATTATTTATTCTAGCATGTTACTCAGTCTGTGATAAACCTGCATTTGATAATGGTTTAAGATATAATGTACATTATATATATTACACTGAATTACTACACATACATATGTACCTAGGATTATCAAGATTTTTTATCTTAATAGCGATTGATATTGTGCCAGAAGCAGTGTTTCACTTAGTTGTACAAAGAGTAGACAAGAAACGCATGTTATTTAGTTTGGTGACACATACCTGTACTGACCTGTAGATAGAGTGGAACTTTTCAGAAGAGCCTGGATCAGGCAGAAGAACAATTGATTACTATAAAGATATTAAATAATCACAATTTTTATCATTTGAGGTTCACAGGTGTTTAAGATTAGCTCTCTCCTCTGTATAGTGAGGATCATCTATAGTTGCTGTGTCTTTTATGTGCATAAATGTTTGCATTTTAGAATCCTTTCTTGTTTAATATTATCTGGAATGTTCCTGCAATGATCTTGACAAACTGCTGTTATTTTGGGATCAGTCCATAATCCCTGAGAAACACTTATTGTAATAAACTTCTTTCAAGTGTCATATTTTTCAATGTGTCCCTAAATCCATTATGTGTGCCATGATTGCCATCTTTAAAAACACTTTGAAAATTCTCCAGTCCCACTGCTGCTATTGAGTTGGAAGTTGGCCTGATGTTATGTAAATTAAAGGAATCCAACAAAGTTTTATCTTCATTGCCATGACAACAAAAAAAGCTATCTTGTAACATGATGCAACTCTGGTTTTCTTGGTCAGTCTGAAATCCACCATGTTGAAAACACATTTTAACCTGAAGCTCCACCACTGGGACTCAGCTCAATCCTGCCTGAAACACAAAGTGCCTATTTTTTTTAGGTCAGTCTGAAATCCATCATGTTGAAAAACACATCTTAAACTTCTTCTCCAGTACCATTAGCGTTATTGTGAGAATATTGTGAAACTGATAGGAAGAAGATGTTGTTGATTTGTTGTTCTGTTATTTATAATTCATCATTTAATCATTGTTTTCATTGCTTCCTCCAAATCATTTAAAGGTTAGATGAATTAGATTTAAAACCCACAGGTCACTTTTTCAATATATTAGAAAACTGAGATAAGAATTTAAAGTTGTATTTCACAGATGGATGTTTAAATTTGAATTTTCTCATATAGTATTGATAAAATAAAAATGCAATAAAAGTACTATATAATGATATCCTTTTTATCTTTTATCTTTTTTATCTTTATTTTTATAGATCAGATGTGCATTTCCATGTATGAATAAAAAAAGATCATAATAACATTTGTTCTTTTGCTGTACAATATCTAAATGAGATATCACTGAGTTTTCTACTCCATTCACTAAAATTGTACCATACACAATTCTAATCAAAGAAATGCCTTCTTCTCTTGTTATGAGAGTTCTCTTTTCAAAGAAGGGTGAACTGCAGTACAGATATATAACTGTCACATTATACTGAAACATATTTAATGTATACATTCATATCAAAGAAGACATGTGCAAAGAAAAAAAAAAAAAAAAGAAAAATGATCAAAGGTTTGGTTGAAGACATCTTTGTTGAGTTTGCTGGTTAAATATTCCAAAACACTATTGGTATATAGTTACCTATGTTAGATCTACCAACACACTATTGGTGTATAGTTACCTATGTTAGATCTTCAACACACTATTGGTATATAGTTACCTATGTTAGATCTACCAACACACTATTGGTATATAGTTACCTATGTTAGATCTACCAACACACTATTGGTATATAGTTACCTATGTTAGATCTTCAACACACTATTGGTATATAGTTACGTATGTTAGATCTACCAACACACTATTGGTATATAGTTACCTATGTTAGATCTTCAACACACTATTGGTATATAGTTACGTATGTTAGATCTACCAACACACTATTGGTATATAGTTACCTATGTTAGATCTACCAACACACTATTGGTATATAGTTACCTATGTTAGATCTTCAACACACTATTGGTATATGTTAGTACCAACACACTATTGGTATATAGTTACCTATGTTAGATCTACCAACACACTATTGGTATATAGTTACCTATGTTAGATCTACCAACACACTATTGGTATATAGTTACCTATGTTAGATCTTCCAACGCACTATTGGTATATAGTTACCTATGTTAGATCTTCCAACACACTATTGGTGTATAGTTACCTATGTTTGATCTACCAACACACTATTGGTATATAGTTACCTATGTTAGATCTACCAACACACTATTGGTATATAGTTACCTATGTTAGATCTACCAACACACTATTGGTATATAGTTACCTATGTTAGATCTTCCAACACACTATTGGTATATAGTTACCTATGTTAGATCTACCAACACACTATTGGTATATAGTTACACACTATTGGTATATAGTTACCTATGTTAGATCTTCCAACACAACTATTGGTATATAGTTACCTATGTTAGATCTACCAACACACTATTGGTATATAGTTACCTATGTTAGATCTATGTTAGATCTACAACACACTATTGGTATATAGTTACCTATGTTAGATCTTCAACAGACTATTGATCTTCCAACACACTATTGGTATATAGTTACCTATGTTAGATCTTCAACACACTATTGGTGTATAGTTACCTATGTTAGATCTTCAACACACTATTGGTATATAGTTACCTATGTTAGATCTACCAACACACTATTGGTATATAGTTACCTATGTTAGATCTTCAACACACTATTGGTATATAGTTACCTATGTTAGATCTACGAACACACTATTGGTATATAGTTATCTATGTTAGATCTACCAACACACTATTTGTATATAGTTACCTATGTTAGATCTACCAACACACTATTGGTATATAGTTACCTATGTTAGATCTTCAACACACTATTGGTATATAGTTACCTATGTTAGATCTTCAACACACTATTGGTATATAGTTACCTATGTTAGATCTTCCAACACACTATTGGTGTATAGTTACCTATGTTAGATCTTCAACACACTATTGGTATATAGTTACCTATGTTAGATCTACCAACACAACACACTTTTGGTATATAGTTACCTATGTTAAATCTACCAACACAACACACTATTGGTATATAGTTACCTATGTTAGATCTTCCAACACAACACACTATTGGTATATAGTTACCTATGTTAGATCTTCAACACACTATTGGTATATAGTTACCTATGTTAGATCTACCAACACACTATTGGTATATAGTTACCTATGTTAGATCTAACCAACACACTATTGGTATATAGTTACCTATGTTAGATCTTCCAACACACTATTGGTATATAGTTACCTATGTTAGATCTACCAACATATAGTTACCTATGTTAGATCTTCAACACACTATTGGTATATAGTTACCTATGTTAGATCTTCAACACACTATTGGTATATAGTTACCTATGTTAGATCTACCAACACACTATTGGTATATAGTTACCTATGTTAGATCTTCAACACACTATTGGTATATAGTTACCTATGTTAGATCTACCAACACACTATTGGTATATAGTTACCTATGTTAGATCTACCAACACACTATTGGTATATAGTTACCTATGTTAGATCTACCAACACACTATTGGTATATAGTTACCTATGTTAGATCTACCAACACACTATTGGTATATAGTTACCTATGTTAGATCTTCCAACACACTATTGGTGTATAGTTACCTATGTTTGATCTACCAACACACTATTGGTATATAGTTACCTATGTTAGATCTACCAACAGACTACTGGTATATATTTACCTATGTTAGATCTACCAACAGACTATTGGTATATAGTTACCTATGTTAGATCTACCAACACACTATTGGTATATAGTTACCTATGTTAGATCTACCAACAGACTACTGGTATATATTTACCTATGTTAGATCTACCAACAGACTATTGGTATATAGTTACCTATGTTAGATCTTCAACACACTATTGGTATATAGTTACCTATGTTAGATCTTCAACACACTATTGGTATATAGTTACCTATGTTAGATCTACCAACACACTATTGGTATATAGTTACCTATGTTAGATCTTCAACACACTATTGGTATATAGTTACCTATGTTAGATCTACCAACACACTATTGGTATATAGTTACCTATGTTAGATCTACCAACACACTATTTGTATATAGTTACCTATGTTAGATCTACCAACACACTATTGGTATATAGTTACCTATGTTAGATCTACCAACACACTATTGGTATATAGTTACCTATGTTAGATCTACCAACACACTATTGGTGTATAGTTACCTATGTAAGATCTTCAACACACTATTGATATATAGTTACCTATGTTAGATCTTCAACAGACTATTGGTATATAGTTACCTATGTTAGATCTACCAACACACTATTGGTATATAGTTACCTATGTTAGATCTACCAACACACTATTGGTATATAATTACCTATGTTAGATCTTCAACCGACTATTGGTATATAGTTACCTATGTTAGATCCCCCAATCATCTTGATGATGTCTCATTGAGTAGTAAGACATTTATTGACCATGTCTATCGAATAAACCCACCAGAATCGGAAATCAAGGACAAGACATACTTTTCTACATCACCCGCTAACCCCAAGTGTTTCTTACAACAAAAGCAACAGGTACATCTCTCCAGCCACCTATGCTGTTTACATGTTACAGCTGAAACCATTTTTAAGGTCTTGTTGATCATTCTCTTCAACTAAAAACTACCATAGAAATCTCTCTTCAATTAATCCTTTGTTAGGAATCTCTCTTCATTCAATTAATCCTTTGTCGGGAATCTCTCTTCATTCAATTAATCCTTTGTCAGGAATCTCTCTTCAACTAAAACTACGTTAGAAATCTCTCTTCAATTAAACCTTTGTTAGAAATCTCTCTTCATTCAATTAATCCTTTGTCAGGAATCTCTCTTCAACTAAAACTACGTTAGAAATCTCTTCAATTAAACCTTTGTTAGAAATATCTCTTCATTCAGTTAATCCTTTGTCAGGAATCTCTCTTCAACTAAAACTACGTTAGAAATCTCTTCAATTAAACCTTTGTTAGAAATCTCTCTTCATTCAGTTAATCCTTTGTCAGGAATCTCTCTTCAACTAAAACTACGTTAGAAATCTCTTCAATTAAACCTTTGTTAGAAATCTCTCTTCATTCAGTTAATCCTTTGTCAGGAATCTCTCTTCAACTAAAACTACGTTAGAAATCTCTTCAATTAAACCTTTGTTATAAATCTCTCTTCATTCAATTAATCCTTTGTCAGGAATCTTTCTTCAATTAATCCTTTATCAGGAATCTCTCTTCAACTAAAACTACGTTAGAAATCTCTCTTCAATTGATCCTTTGTCAGGAATCTCCCTTCATTCAATTGAACCTTTGGTAGAGAGCTCTCTCTTCAACTGAAACCCTGTAAGCGATCTATCATCAACTAAAATTTCGACAGGGATTGCTCTCTTCAACTAAAACCTCGTTAAGGATCATGGATACCGTGACCCGTGCCCTCCTCTTCTAACAAGGTCAATTATCGGTTTCAGTAGTACATAGACCACGGATACCGTGACCCGTGCCCTCCTCTTCTAACAAGGTCTATTGATCGGTTTCAGTAGTACATAGACCACGGATACCGTGACCCGTGCCCTCCTCTTCTTACAAGGTCTATTTATCGGTCTCAGTAGTACATAGACCATGGATACCGTGACCCGTGCCCTCCTCTTCTAACAAGGTCAATTATCGGTTTCAGTAGTACATAGACCACGGATACCGTGACCCGTGCCCTCCTCTTCTAACAAGGTCTATTGATCGGTTTCAGTAGTACATAGACCACGGATACCGTGACCCGTGCCCTCCTCTTCTTACAAGGTCTATTTATCGGTCTCAGTAGTACATAGACCATGGATACCGTGACCCGTGTCCTCCTCTTCTAACAAGGTCTATTTATCGGTCTCAGTAGTACACAGACCACGGATACAGTGACCCGTGCCCTCCTCTTCTAACATGATGTATTTACCGGTCTCAAAAGTACACAGACCACGGATACGGTGACCCGTGCCCTCCTCTTCTAACATGATGTATTTACCGGTCTCAAAAGTACACAGACCACGGATACGGTGACCCGTGCCCTCCTCTTCTAACATGATGTATTTACCGGTCTCAAAAGTACACAGACCACGGATACGGTGACCCGTGCCCTCCTCTTCTAACAAGATGTATTTATCGATCTCATAAGTACACAGACCACGGATACGGTGACCCGTGTCCCCCTCTTCTAACAAGATGTATTTATCGGTCTCAGTAGTACATAGACCACAGATACGGTGACCCGTGTCCCCCTCTTCTAACAAGGTCTATTTATCGGTCTCAGTAGTACATAGACCACGGATACCGTGACCCGTGTCCCCCTCTTCTAACAAGATGTATTTATCGGTCTCAGTAGTACATAGACCACGGATACCGTGACCCGTGTCCTCCTCTTCTAACAAGGTCTATTTATCGGTCTCAGTAGTACACAGACCACGGATACCGTGACCCGTGTCCCCCTCTTCTAACAAGGTCTATTTATCGGTCTCAGTAGTACATAGACCATGGATACCGTGACCCGTGTCCTCCTCTTCTAACAAGGTCTATTTATCGGTCTCAGTAGTACATAGACCATGGATACCGTGACCCGTGTCCCCCTCTTCTAACAAGGTCTATTTATCGGTCTCAGTAGTACATAGACCATGGATACCGTGACCCGTGTCCCCCTCTTCTAACAAGGTCTATTTATCGGTCTCAGTAGTACATAGACCATGGATACCGTGACCCGTGCCCTCCTCTTCTTACAAGGTCTATTTATCAGTCTGTAGTTAAACCCTCAGATTCATTAGAGACATTTGTATTCTTATATTTCATTTCAGTATAAAAACTTTTACATGTTGCTGAAGCTGAGTCAAATGGGATTCTTGTTACTAATGTAACGATAGTATCGGTGTTTGTCATAGACAGAGTTGATGTGGTAGGGAATTTAACCGTTAGTTAGTCAGAGGGGAGACATTTGTCAACATTGATATAAATATCTATTGTTTGGTTTACGTAAGTCACACACCATAGTTAAGAATCCTGTGTCTGAGCTAACACAGTATATTTAATGTCAAGCAATGTAACCGAGAACCAGTCTAAATCGTCTGATCTCAGACATTAACTAGAATCCTTATACTGCTATGCAACAGAGAAATCGAGGATAAAATCGCGGGGATAACGACAGGTCTGGAGAATTGCCGGAAGTTTTACAGACGTGCTTGTTTTGACCGCCGAGAAGAATGATTGTTTTACTACTTTTAGTTACAGCGACTGCAGCAGATGATGGGTAAGTTTATATATTGTAAATTGATAGGATGACTGGCCTGATAGATCTTTGTTTTATCAATAAGGGAAATATTTATTATCATATTCTAATATTGTACACGTGTATCAACGAACATATAGATTTAAAATACATTAGTACAGGAGATGTTGATAATAATAACTTCTTTATAGGTACTTATGTAGTTTGTTTGTAAGTACCTTGTGTTTCTATAATAACCTTTCATTAGCGGATGACAAGTGTTTAAAGTAATTATGCCCAATTCAGATAATATTCCTGTAGGCAAAATGACAAACATTTCATGTAATGGGCTTAATGACAACATGTCATTAATAGGCTTAAAGGCATCATGTCATGTTATAGGCTTAAAGACATCAAGTCATGTAATAGCCATACTGACAACATGTCATGTAATAGACTTAATGACAACGCGTCATGTAATAGGCTTAATAACAACGTGTCCATGTAATAGGCTTAATGACAACATGTCATGTAATAGGCATACTGACAACATGTCATGTAATAGACATACTGACAACATGTCATGTAATAGGCTTAATGACAACATGTCATGTAATAGCCTTAAAGACATCATGTCATGTAATAGCCATACTGACAACATGTCATGTAATAGACATAATGACAACGTGTCGTGTAATAGGCTTAATGACAACGTGTCATGTAATAGGCTTATAGACATCATGTCATGTAATAGACATAATGACAATATATCATGTAATAGGCTTAATGACAACGTGTCATGTAATAGGCTTAAAGACATCATGTCATGTAATAGCCATACTGACAACATATCATGTAATAGACATAATGACAACGCGTCATGTAATAGGTTTAATAACAACGTGTCATTTAATAGGCTTAAAGACATCATGTCATGTAATAGCCATACTGACAACATATCATGTAATAGGCTTAAAGACATCATGTCATGTAATAGCCATACTGACAACATATCATGTAATAGGCTTAATGACAACGTGTCATCTAATGGGCTTAATGACAACATGTCATTAATAGGCTTAAAGGCATCATGTCATGTAATAGGCTTAAAGACATCATGTCATGTAATAGACTTAATGACAACGCGTCATGTAATAGGCTTAATAACAACGTGTCCATGTAATAGGCTTAATGACAACATGTCATGTAATAGGCTTAATGACAACGCGTCATGTAATAGGCTTAATAACAACGTGTCATTTAATAGGCTTAAAGACATCATGTCATGTAATAGACTTAATGACAACGCGTCATGTAATATGCTTAATAACAACGTGTAATGTAATAGGCTTAATGACAACATGTCATGTAATAGGCTTAATGACAACGCGTCATGTAATAGGCTTAATAACAACGTGTCATTTAATAGGCTTAAAGACATCATGTCATGTAATAGACTTAATGACAACATGTCATATAATAGGCTTAATGACAACGTGTCATGTAATGGACAACAACGTGTCATGTAATAGGCTTAATGACAACGTGTCATGTAATAGGCATACTGACAACATGTCATGTAATAGGCTTAATGACAACTTGTCATGTAATAGGCATACTTACAACGTGTCATGTAATAGGCTTAATGACAACGTGTCATGTAATAGGCATACTGACAACGTGTCATGCAATTGGCATAATGACAACATATCATGTAATAGGCTTAAATGCATCATGTCATGTAATAGCCATACTGACAACATGTCATGTAATAGACATAATGACAACATGTCATTTAATAGGCTTAAAGACATCATGTCATGTAATAGACTAAATGACAACGTGTCATGTAATAGACAACAACGTTTCATGTAATAGGCTTAATGACAACGTGTGATGTAATAGGCTTAATGACAACATGTCATGTGATAGCCTTAAAGACATCATGTCATGTAATAGCCATACTGACAACATGTCATGTAATAGACATAATAACAACGTGTCCATGTAATAGGCTTAAAGGCATGTCATGTAATAGGCTTAATGACAATCGTGTCCATGTAATAGGCTTAATGACAACATGTCATGTAATAGGCTTAAAGACATCATGTCATGTAATAGCCATACTAACAACATATCATGTAATAGGCTTAATGACAACATGTTATGTAATAGGCATACTGACAACATGTCATGAACTAGGCTAAATGACAACGTGTCATGTAATAGGATTAATGACGTGTCATGTAATAGGCTTAATGACAACGTGTCATGTAATAGGCTTAATGACAACGTGTCCATGTAATAGGCATACTGACAACATATCATGTAATAGGCTTATTGACAAATGTCATATAATAGGCATACTGACATCATGTCATGTAATAGGCTTAATGACAACGCGTCATGTAATATGCTTAATAACAACGTGTAATGTAATAGGCTTAATGACAACATGTCATGTAATAGGCATACTGACAACATGTCATGTAATAGGCTTAAAGACATCATGTCATGTAATAGCCATACTGACAACATGTCATGAAATAGCCTTAATGACAACGTGTCATGTAATAGCCATACTGACAACATGTCATGTAATAAACATAATGACAACGTGTCATGTAATAGGCTTAATGACAACGTGTCATGTAATAGGCTTATTGACAACGTGTCCATGTAATAGGCATAATGACTACATATCAGGTAATACACAACAACGTTTCATGTACTAAACATAATGACAACATGTCATGTAATAGGCTTTATGACAACATATCATATAATTGGCTTAATGACAACGTGTCATGCAATAGCCATACTGACAACATGTCATGTAATAGGCTTAATGACAACGTGTCATGTAATAGGCTTAATGACAACGTGTCCATGTAATAGGCTTAAAGACATCATGTCCTGTAATAGGCTTAATGACAACGTGTCCTGTAATAGGCATACTGACAACGTGTCATAAAACAGGCATAATGATAACGTGTCATGAAATATGAATAATGACAACATTTCATGTAATAGGCTTAATGACAACATGTCATGTAATAGGCATACTGACAACATGTCATGTAATAGGCTTAAAGACATCATGTCATGTAATAGGCTTAATGACAACGTGTCCATGTAATAGGCATACTGACAACGTGTCATGTAATAGACATAATGACAACGTGTCATGTAATAGGCTTAATGACAACGTGTCCATGTAATAGGCATACTGACAACATATCATGTAATAGGCTTATTGACAAATGTCATATAATAGGCATACTGACAACATGTCATGCAATAGGCATAATGGCAACATGTCATGCAATAGGCATAATGGCAACATGTCATGTAATAGGCTTAATGACAACGTGTCATGTAATAGGCATACTGACAACATGTCCATGTAGTAGCCATACTGACAACATGTCGTGTAATAGGCTTAATGACAACATGTGTAATAGGCCTTCACTTTCCCCTACTGCCAATTTATTTAATTATGGGGTTGCTGCACCCGTCTAGATTTGAAAAAAATTCAATCACTTTAGATTTTCCTCAGTCGCCTCCTAGGCTTCAAAATTCAGGAAAATCACTGACGAGTCCTGGAAGGAGGAAACAGCAGTATGATGTAGAATCACTGACGAGTCCTGGAAGGAGGAAACAGCAGTATGACGTAGCATCACTGACGAGTCCTGGAAGGAGGAAACAGCAGTATGATGTAGCTTCACTGACGAGTCCTGGAAGGAGGAAACAGCAGTATGATGCAGTGGAATTCATTGTTATTCTTTACTCTATCTAATATTTGACCATTGAAAAATGGTAATTACTTGTGTGTCTTTCGTACAATCCTTGTATTTAAAGGTGTTATTCACTTGTGTGTCTTTTGTACAAACTTTGTATTAAAAGGTGTTATTCACTTGTGTGTCTTTTGTACAATCTTTGTATTCCTCCTATGAATAGAAAAGAGACGTAAGTTTTTCCATCAGAAACTGTTCTATTACGTGTGCTTTACAGTACAGCCTGTGTTAGGAAAGGAACACATTTATTTACTATTTCTATATTTCTTTACTCGTTTTTCCTTTAAATATAAGCCGTAGTAATAATGAATGAAGAGAAGAACCGAGATGTCTCCACAATCTACAATGTACTTGTACGTCATTTGCGGATTCATTTTCTTTTGTCTCCTTTCGATATATTTCACAACGTATTTCTCAAAGCCATCCCGAGAGCTGATAAAAGTACTCCAAAGAGCACGTTTCGACAGAATGCTTTTCAGTGTTTACTCTGGATACTCTAAAACTAAATTTTCAAGAACGAAAATTCAAACTATGTAAATAGAACAATTATAAACAAAATATCTGTTATGCCTGGATGTACTAAGTGAGAGTGAAAGTGTCAGAGAGAGAAATTGGCCAGAGACAGCGGATCGAAAGGAAAACAATGGAATCGTCTGATTTTCTTTACTTATATTTAGGGGTAATTCGAAAACAAATTTTTCACATTGTGAAGAATTACTAAAACGGAGCCCCATATTGAATGTGAGATGTACATAAACTGACCATGACAATGGTGGTTGTGTAATCGGAGTAGTCTTTCCCATTTTTGTTTGTTTGATAAGGTTTTACCCTGAACTAAGGTTTCCCATTTCGGACAGTTAGGCATCACGTACTTGTGATTTACAATGTTTCTCATTTCGCAGTATTTGACACCACGTAGTCATGCTTTATAAAAAAAATTTCCTATATCGGAGAGTTTGACATCACGTAGCCATGTTCTACAACAAGGTTTCCCATTTCAGGATGTTAGATATCACGTGGTCATGTTCTACAACAAGGTTTCCCATTTCAGGATGTTAGATATCACGTGGTCATGTTCTACAACAAAGTTTCCTATTTCAGAGGTTTTCCATTTCAGAATGTTAGACATCAAGTTGTCATGTTCTATAATAAGGTTTCCATTTCAGAATGTTAGACACCAAGTTGTCATGTTCTATAATAAGGTTTCCCATTTCAGAATGTTAGACATCAAGTTGTCATGTTCTATAATAAGGTTTCCCATTTCAGAATGTTAGACACCAAGTTGTCATGTTCTATAATAAGGTTTCCCATTTCAGAATGTTAGACATCAAGTTGTCATGTTCTATAATAAGGTTTCCCATTTCAGAATGTTAGACATCAAGTTGTCATGTTCTATAATAAGGTTTCCCATTTCAGAATGTTAGACATCAAGTTGTCATGTTCTATAATAAGGTTTCCCATTTCAGAATGTTAGACATCAAGTTGTCATGTTCTACAATAAGGTTTCCCATTTCAGAGTTTTCGACATCAGATACCCGAGTGTCGTCGTAGCGGCCCAGGATGACGGTAACGTTTCCTTACAGGTAACTTGAATGTCTGAAATTTCCCGAGAGAGATAACCAGAAACAACATGCTTGAACGTAATACCTTCCTTATAATCATTGCAGACTCCCAGAGGTGTTATTGGATAACTTTACGATCTACGATAACAGGACGCTTCTTAGTTGTATCTGTCAGCATCTAATATTTTGATATTCAATAAACAAGGTGTATTGTGCCTTATTAATACGTTACTGAACTCAAACCTGACGACCTACGATATTTTACGTTATATCGATATCATCGGATAGTACAATAAATCACGATGTTTATTCTACAAGGAAACATGTTTGCCTATTTATAGAAGCACATTGAAAACTCTGAAGCCAAATTGTTAATTGGATTGAATACTAGCAAGTATACTTCTGATAAAAAAGGGTAAAAGAAAGCTTATATCTAATTAAATAAAAACAAAAGATTCACGTGTGTGTACATTCTTTGTATAGATATAGACGTTAACTACATCCTCACTAGAGTCTTTCCTTTGTTAACAGGCTGGTTGATGTAAATCTATCCATTGTTGGCAGGCTGGTTGTTGTAAGTCTATCCTTTGTTGGCAGGCTGGTCATTGTAAGTCTATCCTTTGTTGGCAGGCTGGTCATTGTAAGTCTATCCTTTGTAGGCAGGCTGGTTGATGTACATCTATCCTGTGTTGGCAGGCTGGTCATTGTAAGTCTATCCTTTGCTGGCAGGCTGGTTGTTGTAAGTCTATCCTTTGTTGACAGGCTGGTTGTTGTAAATCTATCCTTTGTTGGCAGGTGGTTGTTGTAAGTCTATCCTTTGTTGGCAGGCTGGTTGTTGTAGGCTGGTTGTTGTAATCTATCCTTTGTTGGCAGGCTGGTTGTGGTAAATCTATTCTTTGTTGGCAGGCTGGTCATTGTAAGTCTATCCTTTGTTGGCAGGCTGGTTGTTGTAAATCTATCCTTTGTTGACAGGCTGGTTGATGTACATCTATCCTTTGTTGGCAGGCTGGTTGTTGTAAATCTATCCTTTGTTGGCAGGCTGGTTGTTGTAAGTCTATCCTTTGTTGGCAGGCTGGTTGTTGTAAGTCTATCCTTTGTTGGCAGGTGGTTGTTGTAAGTCTATCCTTTGTTGGCAGGCTGGTCATTGTAAGCCTATCCTTTGTTGGCAGGCTGGTTGTTGTAAATCTATCCTTTGTTGGCAGGCTGGTTGTTGTAAGTCTATCCTTTGTTGACAGGCTGCTTGTTGTAAGTCTATCCTTTGTTGGCAGGCTGGTCATTGTAAGTCTATCCTTTGTTGACAGGCTGGTTGATGTACATCTATCCTTTGTTGGCAGGCTGGTTGTTGTAAGTCTATCCTTTGTTGACAGGCTGGTTGTTGTAAGTCTATCCTTTGTTGGCAGGTGGTTGTTGTAAGTCTATCCTTTGTTGGCAGGCTGGTTGTTGTAAGTCTATCCTTTGTTGGCAGGTGGTTGTTGTAAGTCTATCCTTTGTTGGCAGGCTGGTCATTGTAAGCCTATCCTTTGTTGGCAGGCTGGTTGTTGTAAATCTATCCTTTGTTGGCAGGCTGGTTGTTGTAAGTCTATCCTTTGTTGACAGGCTGCTTGTTGTAAGTCTATCCTTTGTTGGCAGGCTGGTCATTGTAAGTCTATCCTTTGTTGACAGGCTGGTTGATGTACATCTATCCTTTGTTGGCAGGCTGGTTGTTGTAAGTCTATCCTTTGTTGACAGGCTGGTTGTTGTAAGTCTATCCTTTGTTGGCAGGTGGTTGTTGTAAGTCTATCCTTTGTTGGCAGGCTGGTCATTGTAAGCCTATCCTTTGTTGGCAGGCTGGTTGTTGTAAATCTATCCTTTGTTGGCAGGCTGGTTGTTGTAAGTCTATTCTTTGTTGACAGGCTGGTCATTGTAAGTCTATCCTTTGTTGGCAGGCTGGTCATTGTAAGTCTATCCTTTGTTGACAGGCTGGTTGATGTACATCTATCCTTTGTTGACAGGCTGGTTGATGTACATCTATCCTTTGTTGGCAGGCTGGTTGTTGTAAGTCTATCCTTTGTTGGCAGGCTGGTTGATGTAAATCTATCCTTTGTTGGCAGGCTGGTTGTTGTAAATCTATCCTTTGTTGGCAGGCTGGTTGTTGTAAATCTATCCTTTGTTGGCAGGCTGGTTGTTGTAAGTCTATCCTTTGTTGACAGGCTGCTTGTTGTAAGTCTATCCTTTGTTGGCAGGCTGGTCATTGTAAGTCTATCCTTTGTTGACAGGCTGGTTGATGTACATCTATCCTTTGTTGGCAGGCTGGTTGATGTACATCTATCCTTTGTTGGCAGGCTGGTTGTTGTAAGTCTATCCTTTGTTGGCAGGCTTGTTGTTGTAAGTCTATCCTTTGTTGACAGGCTGCTTGTTGTAAGTCTATCCTTTGTTGGCAGGCTGGTCATTGTAAGTCTATCCTTTGTTGACAGGCTGGTTGATGTACATCTATCCTTTGTTGGCAGGCTGGTTGATGTACATCTATCCTTTGTTGGCAGGCTGGTTGATGTACATCTATCCTTTGTTGGCAGGCTGGTTGTTGTAAGTCTATCCTTTGTTGGCAGGCTGGTTGTTGTAAGTCTATCCTTTGTTGACAGGCTGGTTGATGTACATCTATCCTTTGTTGGCAGGCTGGTTGTTGTAAGTCTATCCTTTGTTGGCAGGCTGGTTGTTGTAAATCTATCCTTTGTTGACAGGCTGGTTGATGTACATCTATCCTTTGTTGGCAGGCTGGTTGTTGTAAGTCTATCCTTTGTTGGCAGGCTGGTTGTTGTAAGTCTATCCTTTGTTGGCAGGTGGTTGTTGTAAGTCTATCCTTTGTTGGCAGGCTGGTCATTGTAAGCCTATCCTTTGTTGGCAGGCTGGTTGTTGTAAATCTATCCTTTGTTGGCAGGCTGGTTGTTGTAAGTCTATCCTTTGTTGACAGGCTGCTTGTTGTAAGTCTATCCTTTGTTGGCAGGCTGGTCATTGTAAGTCTATCCATTGTTGGCAGGCTTGTCGTTGTAAGTCTGTCCTTTGTTGGCAGGCTTGTCAGTGTAAGTCTATCCTTTGTTGGCAGGCTGGTCATTTTAAATCTATCCTTTGTTGGCAGGCTGGTCGTATGACCCAGGACTTGCACGTACTGCCCGGACCAAATGGAGGTTCTGTGTACTTGGAGGACGTAGACCTACGTCACATTATCCAGGTAATATTACTTTATCCATTCCCAGGTGATATATTGTACTCAGAGCTCATATATCTTCTCTGTATCATACTTGTGGTACGCGAGATCGATGGTCTCAACCATACCACACAACTGACCTGAGTCTAGTAACTTTGCGGAATATTCTCTATATCCAACAAGAAATGAAGTGAGTTAAGTGGTGGTGATTCCCAGTCTTCACATATTAAACTTCCTGTCCAGTTCTACCGGCAGTATTCAGTTGGAACTTGCCAGGATTGATCCTTAGATGTAACCACTGGTCTAATTTTAAGGGTCAGTCACCGTCTGAAAATTGTTTACTTCTTCTCCTGTTCCACTGATACTATTCAGCTGAAAATTGGTAGGAATAATGAGAGGGTGTTCAACATGGAAGCAATGGGAGGCATTTTGTAACATGTTTGCAAAATCTTTCATTTCTTCAACAACACATATTTTTTTTTAAAATCCTCAAGTTCCACAAGTGAGATTGATCTAAAAATTTTAGTGATTGATCCTGCCATAGTTCTGATAAAATTTACATATTTTTATTGGCGTTCCGAAATCAAAACACAAAACTGCTTCTTCATTTCCAATGGCATCATTAAGCAGTGAAGGGGGAAGGGGAGCTAAACTGGAACAGTGTTGGTATTTTTTATTAACTAAATAGTTAATATGATATTTGTTTTAATCCTTTAATCATTGTTCCCACTACCACTGTTACTGTTATTTATAGATCTTTATAGTCAGGTGACCGTTCACGCTGACTGGCCCATTGTTATGTATGCTGTTCTGTAATTCGACAATGACGATCTGCTTTGTATGTTTACTTGTACAGGACAATTATTCTAGATTTTGTTATGGTTAAACTGTAAAATTCACTTAATGGGAGGAACATCCTTTTTGATAGTAAACACACTGCTAAATTTGGATGAAACCGTCTATAGAAAAACTTTTTTTGTCCGTGTTTAAGTGGTTGTTTAAATGGATTTTTTTAAATGTTTAAGATTGCTACTAGTTTACCACCTGTTTGGTCTGCGCATGCTCATGTTGGATTCTTCGGCACCTTTAAAGGAGAAGAGAAGGTTGACTTGAAACTTGAAGCAGAGGTACTACTTATACAATACACTGAAAGTACACAAAAGTGAATGTGACGTTAGTACACTAGATACTACAGCTGGTCGGAATTCCTCGACTAGATTTTATTGCTAGATTTCTAAAAAATTTATGTCTTCTACTAAAATAACATCCGACTATCATGAATATGTGAAGCATTCAATGTAAACACAGATATATGTTTAGCGATCCCATACCGTGGTCGTAGAATTGTATTATTTTCAATGTAACCGTTAGAAGCAACTTACAAATACCACAAATATGAATTCGCTTTGAGGATCCAGAAGGCGGTACCATCACCTTCGCGCTTGTCGCCGGAGATCTTCCACCAGGTATCAAGCTGAACGGCACAACCGGTCACGTGGTGGGCGAGGTTCCTGATGAAACCAATAGCTACTCATTCACAATCCGTGCATTAGACTCGCATAATAAATACGCCGATGCTGTTTTCAGGATGGAAACATTAGGTATAATGTATCTTGTCTTTACTGTTATGACAATATATTGTGGTGGAAAATGATTATTTCTGTAAAATTATTTTGTTATCAGATAAAATAGAAATCTTCAATTTATGTGTTTGGTAATTTATACATGTATAATAATATGGTTAATTAAAGATGTGGTTACTACGTGCTGTTTTTTCAACGATAAGTAAATTGAATCTATATTTCAGAATTTGATCATTGTACGTCGAATCCTTGTCAAAACAACGGAGAGTGTACGGATACGAAGGCAGGGTTTACCTGTAACTGTACAATAACCTTCGGAGGCCAAAAGTGTGAATACGGTATGTAAAACAGCGTGAGTACTGGAGTCAAGATTTTTGTAGAAAAAGGGGGAGCGGATTTCCGAAACTTTGGATGGATGGGGTTGCTGGATGATTTGTCAATTAACTCTACATATAAAACACTTAGCGAGAAAGATCAGTTCCCACGAGACATCGCCTACATGTATTCACTTTGTCTTTTGTGATTTCATTCCAAGACCAAACTTTTCAATATCTTAAATTATATGTATATATCAAAACTTTAGGGAGGCAGACTTATAAAGGCATAGTCTGTAATAAACGTAATGTAGACTATTTTACCGAATATTCTGAAATTACCACTTTTGCGGAGATGTCAATTTGGGCTGCATCCTTTCATCCGAGGGTTTTTTTTTTTTTTTTTGTGAATGGTATGGTACATCTCTTTACGTTCATATTGTTCTACCTTTTATGTCTGGTTTGGTGTCTGATCATCCTGTTGTATGATACATTATACTGTATATCATTTAGCAAGAAATTTGTTCAGTGACATAGTGATACGTCACATCATTAAAACAATGAATTGGACATAGAAATCCTTTTTCTGTTTCAAACTCAGATTTTCAAACGAAGAAGAGTTCCTATGTTTGATAGAAATATCGTTTTCTCCCTCTTTTTCTAGCATGTACTAGTCGGGCTGTTGGTGTACAGCACCGGTACACCATACCCGACGCTCAGATGACTGCCTACCAAACCTACAGTACGCTTTTGCCATCCAATGGTAGATACGCCGCCAGCGGCTACGGATGGTGTGGAGAAGACTCCAACTCATGGCTCCAGATCGATTTAGGTAAGTAGAGAAAGAACATGGTACTGTATACACACAAAAAAGAACGTTTTTCTTATGTGGCTTGACCTAATTCTATCTGTGGATATGGTCTTGTGTGGAAACCCACACAATCGTGCTGGTGACTCCCTGTCGTACCCCGGACGGCTAAGTGAGAAGCGAATGTTTTACCACAGCGCGCCACCTGACGACGTTAACAGGTGTACTTAAAATTCTTCTGAAATATTCAGACAGTTCAATGGAAATTATGAAATTTATTGCATTAGGGAGCACCGACCTAGATTTTAATATTTCGATCAGTTTGTAGTTTTCTCCGTCGCCGCATAGGCTTCAAAATGTAGGCCCTTAGCATCACCGACGAATCCCAGAAGGACTTCGCAGCTATATGATTCCTATGATTCATTCTTTGGCATACTTTACCTGACTTATTATTTGTTTTAAAAGATACTATCACTTATGTGTCTCGTGTACGTTTCCCTTCTTCAAATAATCTGGTTGATAATATATCTTATTCCTACATAAGTCTACACCTACTTTAGATGACTGTCCAAAAACAGATTGGGAGGTGCACTTACCCGAAAATTCAATCAATTTCGTATTTTTTAATATTGAATTATTTCAATGACGTTTTCTGAACCGTTCCAGTATTCAAATAAGATTAATTAAAAAGTTACATGGAGGAAAAACTCAGTTCAATATTTTACAAACGTTGCATTGTTTTAAGGTTATTTCATCACAGTAAATTGAATTTTTCAATAGATGTATGATCTGATCCGCTGATTCCATTTGAAAACATGAATGTTTGTTTTCGCCTAAATTGGACACGCGTTTCCTCTTATCCAAAGTGGTTTATATTTCCATTGTATTTACTGTATTCGACTTTGCAATAATTGATATGTTATATCTGTATTTGATTATTAATATCAATACTAGACGTGTTTGTGTAGGAACTCTAGCAGCATTTCATAAAACCTTTCTGGACTTAGTTTCCCTGTGGATAATGCGAACGAAGTCTGATGATTAGTGCGAAACACTCAATTAAATATGTTTTTTTGTTAATAACATAAACTTGATATTTAAGTTCAAATTGCTTTTATCAAAGTTAAATTCAATGATTGACTCAGTTTAAAAAAAATGAAACAGATATATTGATTTGCAGCTAAACTATATCTTGAGGGTGAAAATCAAGACTCATACTTTTGACTACAGGTCAGAATTGGAGATGTCCTCGACTGTAAAATGCTATACCCTTGCACCTCGTAATTATATTGTAAAAGAGGATTACTATTGACGAACAGTATCTCCCATTGTCCGAGATGTTTATAACTCGCATATTTAATCACTGAAGATTGAAGACTGAGGAAAATCCAAAGTGATCGAAAGAAAAGTCAAAATCTAGATGTTGAAGTGCACCAGTCTCATATTTCCATAAATTCCATAATTTTCATATATGAGATCATTTAGGTCGATTTCAAGTAGTTGTGTACATTCTAAACTGGTCGAATGAATTAAAATGTGGCACGAAAGAATACACCTTTAAGTGTAAAAGAGAAATTATTTACGATTACCACGACAGGTAACCTGACTAGGATCTACAGAGTGATGACCCAAGGCTATTCTCGTTCCCAGTACACGACAGCCTACACCCTAGCCTGCAGCACTGACGGTAACATCTTCCAGAAAATCAACGGCACGAACGGAAATGATTATGTATGTATAGGGAAGATGTCTTTAACAATGGCACGTTTCGATACACGTTTTAGATTAAACACAGTAGTGTAGCCAAATAATGAATTAAACTACACCAAAATCTGGACTCTCAGCATCACTGACTAGAAGGACAAAACAGCTGTATGATGCAGTTAGTTTCTGTCTTTACTGTATCTAATCCTGAATTTGTATTGATGATTTGTATCTATAGGTACTATTGACTATGACTCATAGTGATACTTAAAGGATTTAAACTTAGGAGATTTAAGAAAATTAGAATCGGGTGAAATGGTTTTTTGATATAGATGCCGATGTGCACTATCTTGTATTTCGCTTTCAATCTGGAACATAGAGGCGATTTATAACTGCGTGCAAATCTCGTTACTTTTTTATCTTCTTATTTATCTAATGAAAGTTGTGGTTAAAAGAGATGAATTTAATGGTTCAGAGAGTACTGCAGCAATAATATGTGTCTGAACAAATTTCAATACAATAGGTTAGAGAGTAGCCTAACCATTACCTATATGTTTATGTACATCCTATCGTATAAAGATGATATTTACACAAAAAAGCTATGTATATAAATATCATGGTATGGGTTAGAGAGTAGCTACCGTTTGCCTCTCAAATCACCCCAATAATTTCAGCTTCATTTTGTAATTTTAAAAAATCGGAAAGTTGTCATGTTCTCTGTGTATGTCAGCAATCTTCTGATCTTCTAGAAATTCTTTGCTGAAATTAATGTCAACAAGCAGTTAAAACATTGTCACGATGTTACCTGTTATTAATGGTCGTGATCGCATAATTATATATAGCAGTATATGATAGTGAGCGACTTTTGGAACACCAAGTGTTATTTATCACATAATGAAATTTCTACTGAAGTTTTCCAAACGACTAGTTGTTTGTTAATGTTTAATTGGTACAGTATAGTGTAATTGGCATAGCCTATTCATACAACGATTAAAGAGCTGAATGATGAGAACCGTTTATTCAATGACTATGTATGTATATTTAATTACCTTTCAGACATTTCTTGCGAGATATTCATCAAGCCCGTACTTCCAAAATCTACCAACGCCCATAGTTGCTAGATTTATTCGTTTCCATCCCACCTCTTATTCAAGAAGACCTTGTTTAAAAGTGGAAGTCTACGGATGCCATGTGTACGGGTCTGAATGATCGTTTCTATATTAAAACAAAGGATGCTTCATTGAGTCTCGTTTTTAGTTGTTTATATAGCTCAGCAACTTGAACTTTAAAAGATAGATTTTTGTTGGATAAAATTTAGGAAAATGAATGCTTTGTGCTCCCGAATGATGTCGTTTGCTTCAAGAATCAAGACTAACATGTCAACATAACCATAAACCAATCTTAAATTCAATGAAACTAGGGCAAGCTATGAACAAAAGAAAGATATACTCGGAGATTCTGAAAAAGTACAAGAAAATAAGACAGGGTGTTCCGCAAGAGTAAAGGTCTTTTGCTTTATCGATGACACACGCCATGTAAATCTTGGTCAATCCAAACACGTCCAGCTTCATATCATACAAGGAAATAGAATATTTGTCATTGACATCACTATGACGACCGTAAAACTTTCCCATTATTTCCATCAATCTGCATCTTTTGAAACAATGTGTTGAGAGTTTGTCCGCCAGTAAAAACGTCTTGCTCGAACGTCTTGATAATGGGAACATGCCGAATCAACTGCGACATGTGTACACCATAGTTTAGATGCAGGAATGTTTCTATCCAGAAATGGAAATTTTACTCGAGGGAAATTGAAATCATTACGCTTATCATACAGTTTGATGTCAAACTGTCCATGTTGGTTCATTGTAGGTAAAGATCGAGATAAGAAAGCTATTGTAGAAGAGTCTGTTGTGTCCTCGATTTCCAATTCTGGTGGGTTGATACGATGGACGTGGTCAATAAATTTCTGATTCAAAGACAAGATGTCTTTGATATCTCTGAAAGTGAAACTGATCGACTTTGCAAAGTATTTGTTGCCTGTTTTGATAAGTTCCTCGATAAATTCAGCCTCGTATGAAATAAAAAATAAGTCAACCAACAGAGGGGAACAGTTAGTTTTCAAAGGTTTGCCAAAAGTCTGTTATACGGTCTTGCCTTCAAACTCAACTGATGTTGTCAACCAGATTTCGCCTTCTTACTTCTTCTTTGATTTCACGAAAAATAGTATAGTTCACAACCATATATTTGTACCACCGTCCACCTTTCTTGGAAAGCTATCGTAACAAGAGCTGAAGGTATTCTTTCTGTTTGGAATGGGGTATGGTAATGTACAGTGGAGATATCAAATGTTCTTATTAAAGAAATGCTTAGAGTTGTGCTGAAGATTGTCAAAAAGCTTCACAGGAACCATGTAACGTTTTATTGTGGGCTCGTTTAGCTGTTAAACCGAGCCTTTGTCAAAACTGAGAACTGCCATTCTAAATACAAAATGTACTATCAAATCTGGGTTTACACGGATTCCCGAGAAATATTAACAGTGGAGGTCCGTATCCTTATCATTAAAAGGCAATTTAAATTATTGCAATATTGTCGCACGTTAGACAGTATTTCTTCTTAGGAAAGATTGCATAACGTATAGATAGGCAATCCCTCATAATCAAGAAATCCTAGTTCTTTTGTACACACGAAATATAATAAAAAAAGTTCTTACATTTCAAGATGTTAATTCTGAATGATGAACCTAACGGGTTCAAATATTTAGGCCAATTCATGGAAGGCTCTCGTAGCTTAAAATTTTGGATGATTCTTAAATTAACAGTTACTATGTGTTCAGTCAATCAAGGCAATACCATGCTCTCTATATGGTAAACAGGTTAAAGATCACAATCATCGAAAAAAATACTTCTTATATCACATGGAAATATACATAATGACAAGATCTATAAATTGAAATTTGAGAAAAATAATTGAAGGACTTAATCAGGCCGATTGATATTGTCAATCAGGTAACAAGCACTCGAATTCAGTTTATTTCATTTGACCAAAGTATATTGTAATTGTGAGTATATGTCTTAGTCTGTCCAGAGTATTTTTTCTTACTCTGTTCATCTCTGGAGAACCATGAAAGGATCTGATTTAAAGATCATGAACCTGTTCTGTATGTGTTTTAAATGAGTATGGTACATTTCCAGCTACACTGACAATTGTAGCCATTTTGAATAATGGCTCTAAAGAGGTTACCGTTATTTCATTTCTAGGAATTTCTAAGATATCTCCCTGATAAAATACAGGGATGACGACAGACTTGATTATAGGTGTGCCTGCCAAATTTTAACTTCATTGTTTCCAGATGGCATCCACTGTCCACTTTTAAATTTGCTGGTACTCTTATCTTACATTTACGTCGGTGAACTACTGAAAAGAGCTTCACAATACAGAAACATAACAAACCTCTACAGAATCGATTCTGTGTACATTGTGAACTTGATGGATTATCTATGTTCGACACCAGCAGATATTTGGATTATAAAGGTTAAGTCTGTTTTAAAAAATTATTGTGTCATTTTCCCTATTTTTCTTATTGTTGTCACTTTTAGTATTTATAAAAAAATGTCTTACTCCCTGGTTGTGCATAATTGTTCTGACAGTGATTTTGAGAAGAGAAAAGGGACAAAGATCTAACAGATATCATGATGAAATTGATAATATGGAAATATAAAAGTATTCAAGATTTTATCTTCTGCACAAGCAGTCTTTGAAAACTGCATTTCTGTGAGTTTTCTAAAAACGTCTGTTTCCTTTAAAGACAGAGTCTAGACAACAGTTTTTTGAGTGGAGGAATATGAAACAAATTAGATGGAAAATGCGTCCCATCAATTTGCCAGAAGAATACACGGTTTCGTCGACTGGTCGAATAGTGAATTGTCGCTGTCAATGGCACATAAAGGAGACGGTTTCAAATCGCTGCTTACATCAATACCATTCAGAACATGAGAACTAATAAATATACGACAACAGGTCCCCATTTCCTCTGGCATTTGTTGTTGGATATATGACTGAACACAAGTGACTGAATGTTTTTATAGAAATTTATTAATAAAGGACTTTTCAGTAGCAGCCGTACACCTCCACTCTGAGTCCAGGCTTGCCTCCTGTGTGCCACAATCTTGGATAGAAGCGGACAAATCGGGCAACAACTGGCGTCATCAAGTCATGTTTAATTATGCTGTCGTAACTCGCACTCGCGGAAAAAATCTGCAATTTAAAATAGAATCTAATTTATTGTTTATCTGGATTATATATTTATGATTTCTAGTACAAAAAGTATGGATTTCTAAACCAGTTATTTCAGTATGTCGATCATAACATTATTGTAAGCCTCAATGATGATTATAACAAATTAGAAAAAAAAGAAAAATAATTTTAACGCAGTGAAGTTACTTCAAAGCTGAAGAAAGGAACAACTCACATTTCCGCTGGCACCAGTTGCGTTCGTGAAGATGTTGCCATCGCGACTGTAAGTGACTTGGTAGGTTAGTGTATAGTAAGATGACGACCTGTAGCTCTGTGTGGCTATGCCGAACACTCTGGTCACATTACCGAGGTCCACCTGAATTATACACGTCGTTTATCAGTATTCAATCTAGCGTCAAAGAAATTCAAAATTTGGTTTTCAATTTAAAACGGCTTGTAATGAAATAGCTTCGCGTGGAAATGTTATAACGGCTTGTAGTGAAATAGTTTCACGGGGAAATGTTATAATGGCTTGTAGCGAAATAATTTCCCGGAGAAATGTTATAACGGCTTGTAGTGAAATAATTTCGTGGGGGAAATGTTATAACGGCTTGTAGTGAAATAGTTTCGCGGGGAAATGTTATAACGGCTTGTAGTGAAATAGTTTCGTGGGGAAATGTTATAACGGCTTGTAGTGAAATAGTTTCGCGGGGAAATGTTATAACAGCTTGTAGTGAAATAGTTTCATTGGGAAATGTTATAACGGCTTGCAGTGAAATAGTTTCGCGGGGAAATGTTATAACGGCTTGTAGTGATATAGTTTCATTGGGAAATGTTATAACGGCTTGTAGTGAAATAGTTTCGCGGGGAAACGTTATAACGGCTTTTAGTGAAATAGTTTCATTGGGAAATGTTATAACGGCTTGTAGTGAAATAGTTTCGTGGAGAAATGTTATAACGGCTTGCAGTGAAATAGTTTCATTGGGAAATGTTATAACGGCTTGTAGTGAAATAGTTTCGTCGGGAAATGTTATAACGGCTTGTAGTGAAATAGTTTCATTGGGAAATGTTATAACGGCTTGTAGTGAAATAGTTTCCTGGGGGGGAAATGTTATAACGGCTTGCAGTGAAATAGTTTCATTGGGAAATGTTATAACGGCTTGTAGTGAAATAGTTTCATTGGGAAATGTTATAACGGCTTGTAGTGAAATAGTTTCCTTGGGGGAAATGTTATAACGGCTTGTAGTGAAATAGTTTCCTGGGGGGGGGGGAAATGTTATAACGGCTTGTAGTGAAATAGTTTCATTGGGAAATGTTATAACGGCTTGTAGTGAAATAGTTTCCTGGGGGGGAAATGTTATAACGGCTTGTAGTGAAATAGTTTCATTGGGAAATGTTATAACGGCTTGTAGTGAAATAGTTTCGCGGGGAAATGTTATAACGGCTGGTAGTGAAATGTTATAACGGCTTGTAGTGAAATAGTTTCATTGGGAAATGTTATAACGGCTTGCAGTGAAATAGTTTCGCTGGGAAACGTTATAACGGCTTGTAGTGAAATAGTTTCGTGGGGAAACGGCTTGTAGTGAAATAGTTTCACGGGGAAATGTTATAACGGCTTGTAGTGAAATAGTTTCGTTGGGAAATGTTATAACGGCTTGTAGTGAAATAGTTTCCTGGGGGGGGAAATGTTATAACGGCTTGTAGTGAAATAGTTTCGTCGGGAAATGTTATAACGGCTTGTAGTGAAATAGTTTCCTGGGGGGGGGGAAATGTTATAACGGCTTGTAGTGAAATAGTTTCATTGGGAAATGTTATAACGGCTTGCAGTGAAATAGTTTCGTCGGGAAATGTTATAACGGCTTGTAGTGAAATAGTTTCATTGGGAAATGTTATAACGGCTTGTAGTGAAATAGTTTCACGGGGAAATGTTATTACGGCTTGTAGTGAAATAGTTTCATTGGGAAATGTTATAACGGCTTGTAGTGAAATAGTTTCGTCGGGAAATGTTATAACGGCTTGTAGTGAAATAGTTTCACGGGGAAATGTTATTACGGCTTGTAGTGAAATAGTTTCGCGGGGAAATGTTATAACGGCTTGCAGTGAAATAGTTTCGTCGGGAAATGTTATAACGGCTTTTAGTGAAATAGTTTCACGGGGAAATGTTATAACGGCTTGTAGTGAAATAGTTTCGCGGGGAAATGTTATAATGGCTTGGGAAATGTTATAACGGCTTGTAGTGAAATAGTTTCGCGTTTCATTGGGAAATTTATAACGGCTTGTAGTGAAATAGGGAAATGTTATAACGGCTTGTAGTGAAATAGTTTCATTGGGAAATGTTATAACGGCTTGTAGTGAAATAGTTTCGTGGGGAAATGTTATAACGGCTTGTAGTGAAATAGTTTCATTGGGAAATGTTATAACGGCTTGCAGTGAAATAGTTTCGTCGGGAAATGTTATAACGGCTTGTAGTGAAATAATTTCCCGGGGAAATGTTATAACGGCTTGTAGTGAAATAATTTCCCGGGGAAACGTTATAACGGCTTGTAGTGAAATAGTTTCGTGGGGAAACGGCTTGTAGTGAAATAGTTTCGTGGGGAAATGTTATAACGGGTAGTGAAATGTTATAACGGCTTGTAGTGAAATAGTTTCGTTGTTATAACGGCTTGTAGTGAAATAGTTTCAAATGTTATAACGGGAAATGTTATAACGGCTTGTAGTGAAATAGTTTCGTCGGGGTTATAACGGCTTGTAGTGAAATAGTTTCATTGGGAAATGTTATAACGTTAGTGAAATAGTTTCATAACGGCTGGTAGTGAAATAGTTTCACGGGGAAATGTTATTACGGCTGGTAGTGAAATAGTTTCGTGGGGAAATGTTATAACGGCTTGTAGTGAAATAGTTTCATTGGGAAATGTTATAACGGCTTGTAGTGAAATAGTTTCACGGGGAAACGTTATAACGGCTTGTAGTGAAATATTTTCGCGGGGAAATGTTATAACGGCTTGTAGTGAAATAGTTTCGCTGGGAAAATTATAACGGCTTGTAGTGAAATAGTTTCGTGGGGAAACGGCTTGTAGTGAAATAGTTTCACGGGGAAATGTTATAACGGCTTGTAGTGAAATAGTTTCACGGGGAAATGTTATAACGGCTTGCAGTGAAATAGTTTCGTGGGGAAATGTTATAACGGCTTGTAGTGAAATAGTTTCGTATAACGGCTTGTAGTGAAATAGTTTCATGTTATAACGGCTTGTAGTGAAATAGTTTCACGGGGAAATGTTATAACGGCTTGTAGTGAAATAGTTTCATTGGGAAATGTTATAACGGCTTGTAGTGAAATAGTTTCGCGGGGAAATGTTATAACGGCTGGTAGTGAAATAGTTTCGTGGGGAAACGGCTTGTAGTGAAATAGTTTCACGGGGAAATGTTATAACGGCTTGTAGTGAAATAGTTTCGCGGGGAAATGTTATAACGGCTTGTAGTGAAATAGTTTCATTGGGAAATGTTATAACGGCTTGTAGTGAAATAGTTTCGTGGGGAAATGTTATAACGGCTTGTAGTGAAATAGTTTCGCGGGGAAATGTTATAACGGCTTGTAGTGAAATAGTTTCATTGGGAAATGTTATAACGGCTTGTAGTGAAATAGTTTCACGGGGAAATGTTATAACGGCTTGTAGTGAAATAGTTTCGGCTTGTAGTGAAATAGTTTCATTGGGAAATGTTATAACGGCTTGTAGTGAAATAGTTTCACGGGGAAATGTTATAACGGCTTGTAGTGAAATAGTTTCACGGGGAAATGTTATAACGGCTTGTAGTGAAATAATTTCCCGGGGAAATGTTATAACGGCTTGTAGTGAAATAGTTTCGTGGGGAAATGTTATAACGGCTTGTAGTGAAATAGTTTCGCGGGGAAATGTTATAACGGCTTGTAGTGAAATAGTTTCGTGGGGAAATGTTATAACGGCTTGTAGTGAAATAGTTTCACGGGGAAATGTTATAACGGCTTGTAGTGAAATAGTTTCGCGGGGAAATGTTATAACGGCTTGTAGTGAAATAGTTTCATTGGGAAATGTTATAACGGCTTGTAGTGAAATAGTTTCACGGCTTGTAGTGAAATAATTTCACGGGGAAATGTTATAACGGCTTGTAGTGAAATAGTTTCGCGGGGAAATGTTATAACGGCTTGTAGTGAAATAGTTTCATTGGGAAATGTTATAACGGCTTGTAGTGAAATAGTTTCGTGGGGAAATGTTATAACGGCTTGTAGTGAAATAGTTTCGCGGGGAAATATTAAAACGGCTTGTAGTAAAATAATTTCACGGGGAAACGGCTTGTAGTGAAATAGTTTCATTGGGAAATGTTATAACGGCTTGTAGTGAAATAGTTTCGCGGGGAAATGTTATAACGGCTGGTAGTGAAATAGTTTCACGGGGAAATGTTATAACGGCTTGTAGTGAAATAGTTTCGCGGGGAAATGTTATAACGGCTTGTAGTGAAATAGTTTCGTGGGGAAATGTTATAACGGCTTGTAGTGAAATAGTTTCACGGGGAAATATTAAAACGGCTTGTAGTAAAATAATTTCACGGGGAAACGGCTTGTAGTGAAATAGTTTCATTGGGAAATGTTATAACGGCTTGTAGTGAAATAGTTTCGCGGGGAAATGTTATAACGGCTGGTAGTGAAATAGTTTTACGGGGAAATGTTATAACGGCTTGTAGTGAAATAGTTTCGCGGGGAAATGTTATAACGGCTTGTAGTGAAATAGTTTCGTGGGGAAACGGCTTGTAGTGAAATAGTTTCGCGGGGAAATGTTATAACGGCTTGTAGTGAAATAGTTTCGCGGGGAAATGTTATAACGGCTTGTAGTGAAATAGTTTCGCGGGGAAATGTTATAACGGCTTGTAGTGAAATAGTTTCATTGGGAAATATTAAAACGGCTTGTAGTGAAATAGTTTCATTGGGAAATGTTATAACGGCTTGCAGTGAAATAGTTTCGTGGGGAAATGTTATAACGGCTTGTAGTGAAATAATTTCCCGGGGAAACGTTATAACGGCTTGTAGTGAAATATTTTCGTGGGGAAATGTTATAACGGCTTGTAGTGATATAGTTTCACGGGGAAATGTTATAACGGCTTGTAGTGAAATAGTTTCGTGGGGAAACGACTTGTAGTGAAATAGTTTCGCGGGGAAATGTTATAACGGCTTGTAGTGAAATAGTTTCGGGAAATGTTTGTATTTCTTACCGTTATTGAAAGTCACACGAGAAATTTAGTCCAACAGTTAGCAGAACTGTTAATTTATCATTATCTGGCGCTGTTACCTTCTTATAACTTGATCCCTATTATTATGTTTTCATTTATACGTCTTTACTACTTTATTTTCTATCCACTCGTATTTTCTTTCTAGTCGAGAAATGATATGTTATTTGTGTACTCTATAGTGAATTATTGTACCTAATCACAGCAATACGTACCTGTAAGTAAGACCCAGATCCATTCCCTATCCACCCTGAGTTCGAGTTGAGGCGACCATCGTGGGCGTTGTACGTGCTGTAAGTTAAGTGAGCCGAAATCTGGGCGTCGGGAATAAGTTTAACGTTCTGGTCCACACCAAAGGCGTTCATAGAGCATACTAAAAAATTAACGTATTTAATTTGATATTCAGCGGAAAAATCACCTGAAAAAACGAACTATCGAAAAATTAGTTTGAGACTGTGTAACTCACGTGTTTCACACCGATCTCCACCATAGGCCTGGGTACATTTACAGGAAAAGTCATTTAGGTTATCCGTGCATGTTCCACCATGTTCACACGGATTACTTTTACACTGGTCTTGTTCTGTAAGGTTAATGAAACAACAGCTGACGAGACAAATGATTTAAAACTTAATTGGCATAATTAATCGAATTTTTCACACGACTACAATACTATCAGTGTAAAGATACCTGCTAATTGATAACATAACTACCATACTATCAGTGTAAAGATACCTGCTAATTGATAACATAACTACCATACTATCAGTGTAAAGATACCTGCTAATTGATAACATAACTACCATACTATCAGTGTAAAGATACCTGCTAATTGATAACATAACTACAATACTATCAGTGTAAAGATACCTGCTAATTGATAACATAACTACAATACTATCAGTGTAAAGATACCTGCTAATTGATAACATAACTACAATACTATCAGTGTAAAGATACCTGCTAATTGATAACATAACTACCATACTATCAGTGTAAAGATACCTGCTAATTGATAACATAACTACCATACTATCAGTGTAAAGATACCTGCTAATTGATAACATAACTACCATACTATCAGTGTAAAGATACCTGCTAATTGATAACATAACTACAATACTATCAGTGTAAAGATACCTGCTAATTGATAACATAACTACCATACTATCAGTGTAAAGATACCTGCTAATTGATAACATAACTACCATACTATCAGTGTAAAGATACCTGCTAATTGATAACATAACTACCATACTATCAGTGTAAAGATACCTGCTAATTGATAACATAACTACAATACTATCCCTGCTAATTGATAACATAACTACAATACTATCAGTGTAAAGATACCTGCTAATTGATAACATAACTACCATACTATCAGTGTAAAGATACCTGCTAATTGATAACATAACTACCATACTATCAGTGTAAAGATACCTGCTAATTGATAACATAACTACCATACTATCAGTGTAAAGATACCTGCTAATTGATAACATAACTACAATACTATCCCTGCTAATTGATAACATAACTACAATACTATCAGTGTAAAGATACCTGCTAATTGATAACATAACTACCATACTATCAGTGTAAAGATACCTGCTAATTGATAACATAACTACAATACTATCCCTGCTAATTGATAACATAACTACCATACTATCAGTGTAAAGATACCTGCTAATTGATAACATAACTACCATACTATCAGTGTAAAGATACCTGCTAATTGATAACATAACTACCATACTATCAGTGTAAAGATACCTGCTAATTGATAACATAACTACCATACTATCAGTGTAAAGATACCTGCTAATTGATAACATAACTACCATACTATCAGTGTAAAGATACCTGCTAATTGATAACATAACTACAATACTATCAGTGTAAAGATACCTGCTAATTGATAACATAACTACCATACTATCAGTGTAAAGATACCTGCTAATTGATAACATAACTACCATACTATCAGTGTAAAGATACCTGCTAATTGATAACATAACTACCATACTATCAGTGTAAAGATACCTGCTAATTGATAACATAACTACCATACTATCAGTGTAAAGATACCTGCTAATTGATAACATAACTACCATACTATCAGTGTAAAGATACTTGCTAATTGATAATATAACTACCATTCTATTAGTGTAAAGATACTTGTTAATAGATCACCTGACTACCTTACTATCAGTGTAAAGATGCCAATAACTTGATTAAATATTAGGTACAGAGCGGAGCAGTGATTGATTGTAGGTTCCCGTTGTTTACATCATGACACCTAAACTTCATTGCGTCATATGCGTTTTGTGTTATGATGTATGCTACTCCTCAGTATTTTTTTCAAATGAAAAAGGTTCATTTTAAACGAAATGGGATACTCTATATATAGAGTCAGTTTATATGTTTCATTCAGGTATATCGTTTATTTCGTTTTCATTTTAAATTGAAATCTTCCTTTGTCACATGTCTCTGATGTGTTGGTATCAAGTTAACTGAAACAAACCTCGGATACTGATGCTGAAGGACCCGTCAGCATATTTCCCGTGAACGTCAGTGGCGCGAATTTCAAAGTGGTAGGTAGCATCCACATCGGGAGCACTTCCAGAGATCACTCCGGTGGCGTTATTCAGTGTAGTTCCGGGAGGAAGATGACCCGACACCAATTCATACACAATGCTTTGACCATCCGGGTCCTTCCACGGTTAAAAAAGTCACATTTTAAACATGTAAGTTTGTATTAATGTATCGTATGTCTGTTGAATAGATACAATTTCAACAGCTAGACATCGATATTCTTGTAACATTTTTGTACTGAATAACTTTCCAGAGGAGCTAAGCTTTCAACATATACTTTCAAACTTGTATAATTGTAGGTATCTCATTTACAAATTGACCATTATATTTCTACAAGATGTATTACAGCAGCGAACACTTTACGAATGAAAACATACCTTTGCCTCCACTGATACAGAGATGGAGTTACCGGAGCTGAACGTACCCAAAGACCCGTGAACTGACTGCTTTGTCCATATAGGAGGCAGGCTTTTCACTTTCTGTATATAGCATAAACATGGATGTGATATTTCTACTCCGTTCAATAATTTTATTGAATTAAATGTAAAGTTTATAAAAATGTTGAACATTTTATTAGAGAGTGTAGCTGAATATTTCAAAAACTGAAAAAATAAATGAAATATGTATTAACGCACTTGATTTCGAATTACACATCCAATATATCATACATTTTCTCAACTATCGAGCTAAGCTTTATATCACAGCATCGAACTTCCATACCACTCCCATGATAAAACCAATAATTTAATGATCAGATAAATTATATTGCCCCTATACAAGTATAAGATAAGGTTTTATAATCAACATGCCTGGATAAATTTTCTCAGGTCTCTGCCAGCTATGTAGACAGTTCCTCCAGCACCAGGCTTTAGAATGACATCGCCCCCTTTGCCAGCCTGAAAGTTTCACATCGATTTAAGATAAAAATGCAGATATGTATTGAATTATTGATAGCAATAACAGGAGAGAGATATTCGTCAAACATTTTGACAAGCAGAGCAGAGAAACACTTGCTACTGACCTCAAATCGAATTAATATTCAAATGTTAGAACAGCTTAGACAAACTCAAAATATATCCCTGGCATTTAATTATTTCTTTTTCACTTTGTTGATAATAGATAAACATTTTAATGTCGAACCAAATGAAAAAGGAACTGAATTTTGGAAAGGAAATGCAAACAACAAGACTTACCTCAAAGATCAAATCCCCGTTCGGTTCCGACGATATATTTACGTTTGGATAGTTTACTTGGAAAAAACTGTAAAATAAAGGTCACATTTTAACCAGACAACGCCATTCGAATATCAGGAACGATACATTGAATATTTTCTGAGATATTCTCTCACCTGGATGTGACAATTGTTGGCAATAAAATGAATACTGCATACAATGCCGCCATGATGGATTTCTTTCTTAAGTCACCGGAAACTGTTTCTTTAGACAGTTACCCAGGCAGGTTTTGGCGGAGGAGGCAATTGCTCGATTTCAGTGTTATCATAGCAACGCTAAGTGGTGACCTAAGTTTGAGAGAAGATTTGATCCATTTATCGTTCTATAGCAGGTTAATCCATGGGCGTCATTTACACCTGTATCGTGCTTCGGATTCTACGTAACCTAACAACGGACACACAGCAATGACGGACATAGATAAACAAGGGCCTCGCGTTGGAACTTCCTGGTTTTAGATGTCCGTTACACGTAGCGTGATTCCTTGTTTGTTCTGTGACTAGACATGTTTTTCTGTTTGCCTGGTGTTTCATCAGTTTCTGTTGTTTTTTTATCATATTGCTGATTAAACCAAATTAATGGCACTGTTGAATGAAAGGTAACGATTATAAATGCGTGTAAACAGATAACATAACCCCATTTTTTATCTACTAAAGGATATTCTATTTACTATTTGCTACCGATGCTTACAAAGTTTGCGCCCATATTTGTCAGACTTTGTCCAGTCACCCTTTGATATCGGTATGCCCTGTAAGTCAGCTTTGAATGTTTGAAATCCAGCTCTACCGTGATAAACTAATTGTTACTCCACTCGTTTCTATAAGTACCCTTTAATACAGATGCTATAGGACTTATTCTACAGACTGATACTGAGTAACCACACGTATTCCTTCCTTTGTAAAATTTGTGATGTGCCGTCATCGTTTACTCTAGCCTTATTTAATAAGAATCTAGCATTGTTGCTAGGTATATTTATTTTAACTTAACCGAGTATCAATCCATCTCTGTTGGTTTTGTAAATATCTAAAACTTTTACACTACTTGAACAAACCGGCTGATTATAGTATAAGTTTAACCTTTGATTAAAGAAAGAAGTAGAATTGTTTATTATACTCTTCTATGCGACATGACGGCACCATGAGTGATGAGGATGAGTTTAACTTGAGGAGAAATATAGAGGAAAAGGAACACTGTTATGATTTTGGGTCTTTATCTCGAGTTGTGATTACTTTTATAAAACATTTGAAGGAATCAGTGATAGTAAGCGCCAGCACTGAAACAAATGGGGGTAAATTCAGGTAAATCCTATTGAAGGTTACGGTGTTTACATTCCAGAGCCGACACATAACTGCTGGTGCCACCACTGCCTACACAACTATGCAGGTATAATGGTCATGTTCAGCTTCAGCTTGATCTGACGAACGATATGGCGGATATGACATTGAATCTAAGACTTACATACATATTTTCATGTATAATTACTTTAGCCATTGCCGGGACTCCGGGCGAGTAAGTATGTTTTTTTTTATCATTTTATACATCCGGATTCAGCTCACTGACGTGACATTGACATACAACTATGTAACACATTTTCTAGGCGGAAATGACGTCATAGGGAATGTCGATATAACATGATGGCAAGAAGACATCTTGACCTTCATGAGGAACAATGTAACGGTGATTTGAAATAACATACATCGTGCAAATTCGTTTTTATATCAAAATTTTAAAATATTGAATTATATCATTAACATGGTAAAATAACTTTGATTTGCTAAGTAACCGATATCGTTATTTCTTAATTATTTCACAGTATGCCTTTCCTCTTTTATAAACAATCTATCAGCATAGGCAAGTAACAAAATGGCTGCGGTATCGATCCCCCGGACACAATTTGACTTCCCATAGGTGTGTGACACGTGACGGAAGACACACCCGGAATGACATCATTTTGTTCCAAACCATATTTAGACAACTCATTTCCGTTTCCTGTTATGCAAATATAAGCATATCACACTCTAATGTAATATAAGATATTATTGAATTATATGTTATATTATATCAAAAATAGATGTACCTTAAACATTGTAAACGTGTTATGTCTAAATGATATCATTACAACGGCTGTGATTAGTGTGCTTCAGTTGGACTTTCCAAACGTAGCTATAGCAGCCCAGGATAATGGAACTCTTTTGGGACAGGTAAGGGAAATTCTGGATCAATGAAAGTGTCTATCACGATAAACGCTGAAAAGACAATGTGATGTACAAATAAATGGCCATGGATAGAAACATACGAATATCTACATTGATAAAATTTATCTTAGTTGATATAGCGAAGAGTATACCCTGATAAAATCACTTTATCAAATAAATTAGGATATTATCAGTTTTGTTTAAAGAAAGCATGACAATTCATATTGTAATATAAGTAATCTTACACCAATGGTTATCATTTAATTATTTTTTTAGTCTGGAGAGAATGGGGACATCCACATCCAGCCAGTGAAGAACGGATCAGGGACAGTTCTATTTGATGGCTATGATGTGTTGGAGATTATAGATGTAGGTATACCACTACTGAACTCGGTCTAGTAAAGCTGATAATTGTTATTCCGAATGCGTTAATGATGGCAGAATTCTAACATCAGAGCCTGACATTCTGAAAATATAGGATGGCGACTTGTGTACATTTATTTTATAATTTGATGACGATAATAGTGTATATACCGTGCTAGTCACGGCCATGTCACATATATCTCTGGCTGTACCGTGCTAGTCACGGCCATGTCACACATATATCTGTCTGTACCATGCTAGTCACGGCCATGTCACACATATCTCTGGCCTTACCGTGCTAGTCACGACCATGTCACACATATATCTGGCTGTACCGTGCTAGTCACGGCCATGTCACACATATCTCTGGCTGTACCGTGTTAGTCACGGCCATGTCACACATATATCTGGCTGTACCGTGCTAGTCACGGCCATGTCACACATATATCTGTCTGAACCGTGCTAGTCACGGCCATGTCACACATATCTCTGGCTGTACCGTAGTAGTCACGGTCATGTCACACATACATCTGGCTGTACCGTGCTAGTCACGGCCATGTCACACATATATCTGGCTGTACCGTGCTAGTCACGACCATGTCACACATATCTCTGTCTGTACCGTGCTAGTCACGACCATGTCACAAATATCTCTGGCTGTACCGTGCTAGTCACGGCCATGTCACACATATATCTGGCTGAACCGTGCTAGTCACGGCCATGTCACACATATCTCTGGCTGTACCGTGCTAGTCACGGCCATGTCACATATATCTGTCTGAACCGTGCTAGTCACGGCCATGTCACACATATCTCTGGCTGTACCGTGCTAGTCACGGCCTTGTCACACATATATCTGGCTGAACCGTGCTAGTCTCGGCCATGTCACACATATCTCTGGCTGTACCGTGCTAGTCACGGCCATGTCACATATCTCTGTCTGTACCGTGCTAGTCACGGCCGTGTCACACATATATCTGCCTGTACCGTGCTAGTCACGACCATGTCACATATATCTCTGGCTGTACCGTGCTAGTCACGGCCATGTCACACATATATCTGTCTGTACCGTGCTAGTCACGGCCATGTCACATATATCTGTCTGAACCGTGCTAGTCACGGCCATGTCACACATATCTCTGGCTGTACCGTGCTAGTCACGGCCATGTCACACATATCTCTGGCCTTACCGTGCTAGTCACGGCCATGTCACACATATCTCTGTTTATACTATATAGACATTACTTGTTTTATCTTCTGCAATATAATTAATATATTCTTCATTATATATATATTTGAACGGTTTTATAAGTAGATGTTTAAGGAGGTAACATTAATCACTTCATCACATCAATCCATCTTTAGTCAATTTAATTAAACTTGAAGTGTATATATATTCAAGGGCGAAAGTGTATGAAATAATGATAAACGGTACCAAATTAGATAGTTCACAAGGATTCATTGATGTCGTCATTAACTTATTAAAGTATCAAAGATGGGCAAATAGAAAGCTCATACGTCTGGTTCTTAATGTTCATCAGCTGTTTCCAGTGATCATCAACAATATGCCGCCCATTTGGCACTTCCACGGACATGTCGGGTACTCAGGGACGTTTGAGGGTGCCAGTAACATAATGATTCCCCTGGAAGTGTTGGTAACTAAACTGCAAGTCATTTAAATTTTCTAAATGAATATATATACGATAAAAAATGACAATAATAACACGTAAACGATATCAACATCAGCAATGTAAAGATTGATTTTTGGCAGTAGTCCTTACATCAAGCCATAGAAACAAGGGATATTTTTTCCAGAAATGAAAAAACGGCATTATCCCGACTCAAATCTATGTTGGGAAAGTGAAACCTTTTTGGTTACATACGTATATACTGTACACGAAAACTTTAAATGGGGATAATTGATATGTAAATTTGCTCACTTTTTGAGTTTGAGAACATCATTCCTGTCTTCACAGGACCCAGAGAGTCAGGATGTCAGGTTTGAACTTGTGGCCGGAAATTTCCCCACTGGTCTAAGTATAGCGAGCAATCCCTGGCGTATCCAAGGTATTCCTCCGGATGAAGACGCCATCTACACATTCACTATCCGCGCTATCGATGCCAGTGACCAGTACGCCGATGCAGTGTTCAAGATAGAAATATTAGGTATGGTTGTTAAGGTAAAAATATTAGGTATGGTAATCAAAGTAGAGACATTAGGTATGGTAATTAAGGTAGAAACGTTAGGTAGGGTTATTAAGGTAGAAAACGTTAGGTAGGGTTATTAAGGTAGAAACATGAGGTATGGTAATTGAGGTAGAAACATTAGGTATGGTAATTAAGGTAGAAACATTAGGTATGGTTGTTAAGGTAAAAACATTAGGTATGGTAATCAAAGTAGAGACATTAGGTATGGTAATTAAGGTAGAAACGTTAGGTAGGGTTATTAAGGTAGAAAACGTTAGGTAGGGTTATTAAGGTAGAAAACGTTAGGTAGGGTTATTAAGGTAGAAACATGAGGTATGGTAATTAAGGTAGAAACATTAGGTAGGTTTATTAAGGTAGAAACATTAGGTATGGTAATTAAGGTAGAAACATTAGGTATGGTAATTAAGGTAGAAACATTAGGTAGAGTTATTAAGGTAGAAACATTAGGTATGGTAATTAAGGTAGAAACATTAGGTAGGTTTATTAAGGTAGAAACATTAAGTATGGTTATTAAGGTAGAAACATGAGGTATGGATATTAAGGAAAAAACAATAGATAAGTTTATTAAGGTAGAAATATTAGGTGTGGATATTAAGGTAGAAACATTAGGTATGGTTATTAAGGTAGAAACATGAGGTATGGTAATTAAGGTAGAAACATTAGGTATGGTAATTAAGGTAGAAACATTAGGTATGGTAATTAAGGTAGAAACATTAGGTATGGTAATTAAGGTAGAAACATTAGGTATGGTAATTAAGGTAGAAACATGAGGTATGGTAATTAAGGTAGAAACAATAGGTATGGTAATTAAGGTAGAAACATTAGTTAGGGTTATTAAGGTAGAAACATTAGGTATGGTAATTAAGGTAGAAACATGAGGTATGGTAATTAAGGTAGAAACATTAGGTATGGTAATTAAGGTAGAAACATTAGTTAGGGTTAGTAAGGTAGAAACATTAGGTATGGTAATTAAGGTAGAAACATTAGTTAGGGTTATTAAGGTAGAAACATTAGGTAGGGTTAGTAAGGTAGAAACAATAGGTATGGTAATTAAGGTAGAAACATTAGTTAGGGTTATTAAGGTAGAAACATTAGGTAGGGTTAATAAGGTAGAAACATTAGGTATGGTAATTAAGGTAGAAACATTAGGTATGGTAATTAAGGTAGAAACAATAGGTATGGTTATTAAGGTAGAAACATTAAGTATGGTAATTAAGGTAGAAACATTAAGTATGGTTATTAAGGTAGAAACATGAGGTATGGATATCAAGGAAAAAACAATAGATAAGTTTATTAAGGTAGAAATATAAGGTATGGTTATTAAGGTAGAAACATTAGGTATGGTAATTAAGGTAGAAACATTAGGTAGGTTTATTAAGGTAGAAACATTAGGTATGGTAATTAAGGTAGAAACATTAAGTATGGTTATTAAGGTAGAAACATTAGGTATGGTAATTAAGGTAGAAACATTAAGTATGGTTATTAAGGTAGAAACATGAGGTATGGATATCAAGGAAAAAACAATAGATAAGTTTATTAAGGTAGAAATATAAGGTATGGTTATTAAGGTAGAAACATTAGGTATGGTTATTAAGGTAGAAACATTAGGTATGGTTATCAAGGAAAAAACAATAGATAAGTTTATTAAGGTAGAAATATAAGGTATGGTTATTAAGGTAGAAACATTAGGTATGGTAATTAAGGTAGAAACATTAGGTAGGTTTATTAAGGTAGAAACATTAGGTATGGTAATTAAGGTAGAAACATTAAGTATGGTTATTAAGGTAGAAACATTAGGTATGGTAATTAAGGTAGAAACATTAAGTATGGTTATTAAGGTAGAAACATGAGGTATGGATATCAAGGAAAAAACAATAGATAAGTTTATTAAGGTAGAAATATAAGGTATGGTTATTAAGGTAGAAACATTAGGTATGGTTATTAAGGTAGAAACATTAGGTATGGTTATCAAGATAGAGACAATATACCTGTAGATACTAACAATAGATATTAAGATGAAGCTATAAGGATTTAGAGGAGATCGATAGGTGTATACATTATTGATGCATTGGCTTTTAATCGGCGGGAGAATATTGAGTGGTTGTATTTACACAAAATGTATTTTTTGTCAGTTTTCTTGTCTATTCTGTTCCTGAAATAAATTATTTCGTTTAAAAAACTGAGAAAAAGTTTAGGTACACAAGCATTATTTCCTACCTTTGATACAGAATGAAAATAGCATTTTATCGGCTTATGTATAAATACGTTTAAACAACAACACCATTATTGTGAAATATGATTTGTTGACTTTTACTCAGAGGTCGATCAGTGTCTCCGAGAGATGTGTCACAACAATGGCCAGTGTAACAACACTAATACCCATCGTGGATTCTCGTGTTCTTGTCCATTGGAGTACGGCGGGCCGACTTGTGATGTCAGTGAGTATGTCCTGTCATTGCCTCCGTATCTATAAATAGTTCATTTTGTTGTGTTGACTTACTTTCCAGTTACAAGTATCTGATAATGAAACATAAGAACGATGCTCTACAGATATAACAGCTGATTTTAATTTTTGTTTTACCTAGCGTGTAATAAGACTGCTCTTGGAATAGCAAACTCTTCTGTAGTCCCAGACGCACAGCTGAGCGCTTACCTGTCTCGATATACCTCTCAGGCATCAGACGGGCGTTTGTCAGAATCTGGAAAGTATTGGTGTGGTGAAAACGCCAACTCCTGGTTACAAGTGGATCTAGGTAATGTTAATAATTTGCCAACATTTTACAACCGTCATGCTGTTAGATAGCGGATCGTGATTGAATTTCCGCGTTCCATATGGATTTATTAGATAAGTCTGAGAGGGTTTTAGAGGTTAGCTGAAGTGATCATTTTGTTTCAATTACTTAAAATCAAAATGGAAATCAAAGTTTTTTCATCAAATTCACGATTTACAGATTTCTATTGCTATAATTTTCATGATGACGTCATAATGCATTCATCGAATCAGTGGCATCATTTAAGTATCATCTTCTGACGTCACAACAGTTGATTTAATATAATTTCATATACAAAATCATTACCAAATCATTACTATATATATATTATGCACTCTATTATATATGTTAATGGTTTATTGAACAAACTTAAATTTGTCTATAATATTTGTAAAATATCCAATAAACTAGAATCAAACTGGAAAGTAGGGTATGGATTATTATTGCTTTTATCAGGTGGCTTAGCAAAGCTCTTTCGAATAGTAACATCTGGGGCAAATTCTACCTTCTTTGCGAAAACATATACATTATCCTACAGTACTGACGGAACCACCTTCAACTCTATCAACGATGTAAATAACACCACTGTGCACGTGAGTAGATAATATCGGAATGTTTGATGTTTGTTTCATTTTCCTAACATTTTCACACAGTGTACAATCAATAAGCTTCTTCATTGCATTTCAACATAACCTTTCCATTACTTTTCAATATAACCTTGGATTTATTCACGTACATTTAAATATTCTGTTGTTAAAACTAAATAAGCTTTCACTTGCATGTTCTCTCTTGTCAATATTTTGTCAAATATCTAGAAACAATGGTTTTCCCTGTAGCAAAGGCAGTAATGTCTCTTCTCTTAAATCTTCAACAACTAAAGGTCACATATTTGACCTTGATAATATCATTCATTCTCCAATAGCAACAACATTCCATCTTTTCCCACACAGCAATGTTCTAATCCTTAACAAATAAGACTCTAACTTTGAAAACGAAAGAAGGATTTATGTATTATCTCTGCATATAACACAGGTTTATCTCATATAAAGAACATTTATAAAATTACAGAGGGATAAAAGATATTAAATTGTGTAGTCGAAGTAGGTATAAGTAATTAATAATGAATACTAAAAGGCAGTACTGGAAAGTAACAGGACCTAAGGATTCTTCGATGAAACCCTGGATGGCATCTGAATACATCTATTCTATAAATAGTGCGGAAAAAGAAGTCGAACCAACTGGTGGATGGACAAGGGCGCTTACATCGAATCTGATATCATACAATGAGAACATTGAATGAAAGACAAGTCATTTAACAATGTTTTTCCTTAATTTTTAACATTGAAAATCTGAGTGGAGGAGGTTCTTACTAAATATGTATTGCTGCGTCGTATTCAATACAATACAAATATATTATCGTATTTGCCTCATTATAATCACAATTGATTTCTCGATACATGTTTAAGTTTATTCATTACAGACTTTTATGGGATCAATAAGTGCATTATACCAGACGTTGCCTGAACCGTTAGAAGCACGTTTTGTCAGGATCCACCCGACGACCTACGAAAGAAGTTACCATCCCTGCTTTCAGGTGGAAATGTATGGCTGCTGGCTTTAGGTCTCTGCTGTCTTAATCTGAGTTTTATGTGGAAAGGTGATGTGACATTATCACAAATATAAACAAATATACAAAAACTTTGAACAGTTTATTCTTTATCTCATACCAGCTTTTTTTTAAAAGGTTTTCTTCGATAACTTATTTAGCAGTACAGATATTTCACAAGTGGTTAAATATTTAATATTTTCATGGAATATTTCTTTTACCACACAAAGATCCGGCTTCACTCCTCCATCACAGCCATACGCGTTTTAATTATTTTTGCTAATGAGGACACTTATATTATGTAGGACATGATAAGCTATTATCACATCCACTAAATACCTGTGACGTTATGATAATGGGATTGAAGTCAGATAAATTTATTTATGCTGTTTGGTGATTATAGCACCAAAGGAATGGAGCCAGGAGTAACCAATATATAATGAATTATTCAGTCCTCTTTTTATGGAAAAAAGAGGTGAACACGAGATGCTGGGTACGCATTAGTAGAGACTTTAAGTCCACATCAGTTTATATATTTCCGTGTGAAGTAATTATTTTGGTGGGCGTCCTCTGACATAATTCAGATAAAAAAATACACTTGGCAATAAACAGATGAAGTTTTGATATGCCTAATTTCATTGAACGATGTAGGGAAAATAAGATATGATGTCAGTATAATGAGGTTTCAGCTCTATTTGATATCGGCTTGTATTTAAATATAAATATAGAGTATTAGATAAAAAAAAACCCCACAAAAATGGCGACAAGACAACAGAAAAGAAAGATTTACACGGAGACTCGTGATAAAGTACAAGGAGAATAGGACCAGAAGGGAAAGTATCTCCAACTTGATCTTCGACACCTGCCATATAAGTATTGGTCAATCCAAGTGAGTAATGTCACGTTCCCGAACGAGAACAATGCAAACAACAACGAAATCGTCACGAATACTAAAGAGCATCAAACACGTCCATTTTCGTATTGCCCAAGTAAACACAATGAATATTCACGAGATCATTATGACGTCAATAAACCTCATCAACCTGCATCTTTCGAAACCCTGTATTGTAAATATGTCTTTAAGTGGCCGACATCTTGAACGAAAATCGTAATTTTGGCCCTTGAATATCAAAATAGCAATATCTTAATATAATAGATGGGGATGCAAGCACGTTGCTATCCAGAAATGGAAAAAATAATAATATGGAAATGCAAAACAAATTGATTTCTCTGTAAGAAGGTACACAGCTTGTGTAGAAGAGGCTGTCATGTCGATGATTTTGAGTGCTTGTGCGAATATACATAGTAATAAATATCTTGTAACTGAAACACAACACATCATCAATAGGTGAAATTGAAGTCTCCGTTACTCGATATATTCTCCTATAAATTCAGTCCCATATGAAAGCAAAAGCAAGTGAGGGACACAGTCGTGTATATTGTCGACAAGGGATTCCGTCGGCTTTTATGACTTAGTCCTCCGAATATGATTAGGACTATTTTTACGAAAGACACTTAAGTATGATTCACAAACATATATTTGTACCACCGTTCACCTATGATTGATGTAAAAAAAAACTGTTTGTACAGAAAAAATATCTTTCGAACAGAGTTTTGTAAGAGATTGGTAGGAAGCTTTTTCGATTGTTATAAAATCAAGATATCATTATTCCACTTTTCCCGTAAACATTAACACTGTGAGACTGATTTAATAGTGCAAAAAATGGGGTTTGAGCTTTGGAAAAGATTTCGAGAGCAGCCTTACGTAATCGTAACAGAATCTTAACATGTCAGCAAAAGTTTAATTGTAATGCAAAAGTGATTGAGAAAAGGAGGTAAAAAAACGTAAACCTTGCACAATTGCGGTGCTAATAATGCCATGTATCCTGGGAGGATAATGCAAGTTCTTCTTAAACGAGGACATCATATACAACGGAGAAATATCACGTACTCAAAATCAAAGCCAGATCAATAAGATGATGAGCATCTGACACCTAGAAAATTATATAAAACAAGGAACGATTTTAAATGAGATCGTAAAAGATACAAACCTTTCATGTATTCGTCATTGATCAACATCCCTCACATCTTTTGTTTAATGGCAAGAAATCATGGATCAATTAATTCTCGTACAAAACAATACAAGTCAGCATAAAAGAATACGTTAAGGCCAAGATAAAGAAAACATTATACTGGCGTTTGAGATGTTTATGAAGCTCGGAATTCACAGTTTGAAAAAAAAAACAAATATTTTTAAAGAAACAAAATACACGTCAACATAATAATCATCCCGGAAACTCAAAGCCAACCAATCTAGGACAAAATATAAGCAATAATAAGAATTACAAGGACACTCCTGAAAAAGCACAAAATTTTGGTTAATCCCAGTAAGTAAAAAGATCTTGGCGAGAGAACCTTATTGATCATCAGTAGTCTTTCGGAGCTTTTCAAAATAAATATTCTGTGCAATCAACTTATGGCTTAGTGACCTGGACTGAAAAACTAAAATAAGGATCTCAGATAAAGGTTGGGTAGAGAAAGTAACCAATAAGGCAATAAAATATTGCATGGATTCCACACTTCTTTATTATGAAAGATTACCGGAAAGACTGTAATATTGAAGCACGATTAGCTAGCATTAAAAGGGATATGTAGAAGTCCTTGTCCTGTATGCCAGCGAGAAATTCTCACACAGTGAATATCAGCACATAGAAAGGTGGACAACTACATCATTCAGCAACACTTACTTTTTCATCTTATTGTAAAGACTTCTATATATGATAAAACCCAACATGTTTTAAATGTTCACGTGTTCTGTGGCATACTAAGACTACTTGTTGGTTCATAAAGTCAATTTCTACAAACTTGAAATCTATTCCATATACATGCTACTTCACAAATACCATGATACAGGACCTATGACTTGTTGAATCAATACTTGATCCCAGTATGCTAATTGAACAATATGAGCACCATGTGACGTTGGGGAAAGAAGTCATTTTCAAAAATAACACATTTGAGCCCTGTGACTTTGAAAGCGGGACAAGGTCATTTATTTTAAGAAATTCGGTGGCAGTTCAATCCAACAAGCCCAATATAAACACTCTTGGTCTTTTAGCTAATGAGAGGAAGTCTTTTGAATTTCCATTTTAACGTGTTTGACCCATCTGAACTTGACAGTTTGTTAATATCATTCATTTGAACAACAGCACTCTGGGCCTTTAAGTATTGAGAATGAAAGTATTTTTTTTCATGAATGTAAATTCATATTAATACAATGTTATTATAAATTCATAATAAATGCAGCGGATGCAATCATTTTAACATACTCCGTTTATTCTGATATTACAACTAAAACAAATAACAGATCATTTGTATGAATGAATCGACATTGGCTACGAATTAATCTCGCATCCGTAAACCTCAACGCGCATGCCCGGATAACTATTGAATGTGACAGGCTGGAATCTGATGAAGCGAGCCCGAAGTGGAGACGTTAACACGTGTTTGGTAACGGTGTTGACATTCGAACTTCCGCTGTACACCTACAATGAGATAAAATTTAAAACATAAAAATAGATGAAAGAAACATTTATATTATTCTTTCTATTTAATAGATATTTGGCATATTGCCAATATGCATATATGTGTTACAAACTATCTGCCTCGCTAGGCTTTAACACTGATCAGGCAAGAATACCAACATAGAAATGTTCAATATATTTTAGTGTGATCAGCCTACCATATTGTCCGTTCCATTCTTAGTGTTCACAAAGCTGTTCCCGTCGGAACTGTACAGTAGTTGGTACTCTGACGTGTAGTAAGTCGATGTGTACCCTTGGGTAGCGACTGCGTGTACTTCCATGACATCACCAAGATCCACCTGAATCATAACTACCATTTATTGTTTAACCATACACATTGAAATCAACATGAAATGTGCGATAATCCAATTACTTTTTAAACACCTACGTCTCCGAGGATTGCCGGTCTTTTGAAATTATTCACTACTGACAATAATGAGTACTAAAATGAAGAAATATCAGCACGTAGTTTCTTTAATGCTATATTTCTCTTGTTCTTTGTGTCCTTTGTTCAATCTTCTAAGTTACAAATCAGTTAACCTGTAGCCAAGAGGCTGTGTTCTGTCCGATCCAGCCTTGAGGAGCGTTTAGACGTCCGTCGGAGGCTGGATGGTCGCCGTATGAGTAGTGAGCGGACATCTGTGCGTCAGGTATTGTCTTACTTCTCTGGTCCACACCTAATGCATGACTCGCACAGTCTGTCACACATAGATAATACAATGTTATTTCATGCTTTTGTGTTAAAACGCAAACGTTTATTTCCCAAACAAGACTTATATTTACACGTATACATACTCCGATATTTGAACAACAGACTTTAATTTCTCAAGTGATAGTAAAATTACACACCATTGTATTTTGTTTGAATTAATGAGTTGTGATATGGAACAATCGTTAAATCATTTGAATTTAATTGAATTTCTCAGTGCGTCTAGTCTTAAATTCCGAGCAAGCATGAAGTGTGGGTTGTAACAAGTTTACAGACGGTACGCTGTAGACTTACTGGTAGCACATGTCTTCCCGCCATAGTGTTGCTGACAAGTACAAATGAAATGGTCAATATCATCCACACATGTTCCTCCATGAGTACACGGGTTACTCAAGCACTGGTTGTTATCTGAAAGAAACCACAAGCTATTACGAACGTGTAGATATATTTATCAAACAACAAGTTAAAGGTGAAATTAAATCAGGTTATAGATAAGGATATTTTTAAATAGAATCCATTGAGTAATATTACATCACATGGAAATAATATCAATAAAGACATTATGTTACACTAGAAACAAATCTTAAACCTATTATAACAGAGAAAATAACGATTTTCAACCAAAAGGCCTATGTTTCCTAACAAGTAAGAAATAACACAAAAACGATCTGTTAGACGTGGTTGTACAATAAATCATTCTGATTTTAATTGTTTTTGTTTTAATCAAGAAACAGACCTCTAGTGTCTATAGAGAAAATTTTGTCGGCATATTTTCCGTGCTTGTCTGTTACCCGGATACCGAATTGATAGGTAGCGTCTACATCCGGGGCTGTACCGGATATCTGTCCAGTGTTTTTGTTGAGATGAACACCAGGAGGCAAAGCACCAGAGACCTTCTCATATTTTAATGAACCTCCTTCAGGATCCTACAATAAAATATGTTAAGCCCATCTCTTAAACTCTTGATAAATTTTCCTTGAAAAATACTGATTTAATAGAAAAAAAAGTTTTAAAATTCAATTATGATTTCTATTCCGATGGCGTTTGCGTTCTCGACCCGTAATATGGAGATTATCATTAATTAAGATGAGCAATTCATTAAAAGGGGTAGTGTTCCATAGACATCGCATGTACATTATTCATTTTGATAAGAATTCATTATTAAATACTACAGGGAACGACACTGGATTGTATAACTGATTTGTTCTATTTGAATCCAGATATGATATCGAGACTGACTTTAACCATGATTAAATCAATCGTGATTAATTTTGTACATAGGCTCCGTCAGAAAGAATGTTAGGTGTGTATATGTTTCCGTTCCAAACCAGTGACACTTTGTACCAAAGTCGAACATAAAACCGGAAAAAAGAGACAGAACATAACAATGAATTATTCCTGAAGTGGCGATCTTGGGAAGGACAAACATACCACAGCTTCAACATTCAGTGAAATAGAAGCTCCTCCCAGAAACGTGCCCAGAGAACCATGAACAGCATTCAGTTCCCACACTGGAGGCATGCTGTTGACGATCTGAAAGGCAATAACCTGTCTGTTATATAGGGAAAGATGATAATCTACCAATTATAAACTGAAAAGATGATAACCTACCAATTATAAACTAAAAAGGTGATAACCTGTCTGTTATATACAGAAAGATGATAACTTATCAATTATAAACTGAAAAGGTTATTACCTACCAATTATTAAATGAAAAAGTGATAACCTACCAATTATTAACTGAAATGTGATAACCTACCAATTATAAACTGAAAAGATGATAACCTACCAATTATAAACTGAAAAGATGATAACCTACCAATTATAAAATGAAAGGTGATAACATACCAATTATAAAATGAAAGGTGATAACATACCAATTATAAACTGAAAAGATGATAACCTACCAATTATAAAATGAAAAGATGATAACCTACCAATTATAAACTGAAAGGTGATAACCTACCAATTATAAACTGAAAAGATGATAATTTACCAATTATAAAATGAAAGGTGATAACCTACCTTTTATATACACCTAATTGTTATGATGTAAAGATTGTCACAAGATCCTCTACAAGGCTTTATGTTCAGCATGGTGTAACAATCAGTGAAATTGAACATTTAATCTTAAAAATTGTTTCGTTGTTTTTACGAATTTATTTTGAAGCATTTATCTTTATCTTAAATTTTCTACATACATGATATGATAAAGTATACTCAAATGATATAGACAATTACCTCAAAGAGTTTCAGCATGTCGGTCTTACCAATATAGACTGTTCCATTACCAGTGGGTTTCATTATGATATTCCCACCTTGTGGTCCTGCCTGTATAATGATATCTTATAACGATAATGGTTTGATGGACTTAAAATAACGGAGTCATCTGCTTAACTGTTTCACCACTTCATATATTTGCGTGTTGTGAAAACATTCTTTAGAATGATTAAACTACATAGATATCATATGATAATCATTAAATTGCATAGATATCGTATGAACTTTCGAAATGGTAAAAACCCAAATGCTGATGCATGTAGTCTGATAAATATATTTTGAATTAACGAGAGAAATCACTCCTATGGAGACACTTGCATATTGTCATTTTAAAACAGCTGTATTATAAGTATATATGATAAGGTTATATTTCGCCTGTGTCTATACACCTACCTCAACAGTCAGGTTACCACCCGTCTCGGCTGTCACCAACACATTCGGGTATTGTATCTCAAAAAAACTTTTAAACAAAGCAAAGTATCATATTGCAATATGTTCTGAACACAGAGAAAACAAATCCACAAGTGACATTCAACATCTATTTATGTACAGTCTAGATCAGCAATGGATATACCTGTCGAAACATTATCGTAAGTTACTAATATCTATTTTACAGCAATATTTAGAAAACAGTGATAAACTTGATTTAGATGGTACATTTACAACTGTACATGAAAACTATACTCATTCTTTTCAGTACTAAAAGTAAATATCTTCCAAATGATGTTCCGTTTAGAGAATTGCCTTTGGTTTTGAGTACAATTAGCCGATCGTATGCTACTTCGAAACGAAGACGACGTTATACATGTTTGTTCATTGGTTCTTATCAACTTTAACAACTAAGTCGCTCTAAAATGACATTATGTTGTATTTTTTCTTCTTTCTTTTTTTATTCACCTGACTTGTTGCACGACAATATAGGTAAACCAGATGTTCTGAACGATAAATAAAATAAAACAATATACATTACCTTGCTATAGTGTAAGGAATGAAACACAGCACGAGGCACGTTGTTTTGATAGCCGCCATTTTGTTTCGAGATGTTGAGTGGTGTTGGGACCTAGCGATAAGTTTCCTTGTACAATCTACTGAAATGTTTAGCTGACATACATGGCTTGATATATCACGTGACTTCTGTTGCTACTAAATACAAAGTGATCGCCGAAAATGGACATCAATATAAAAGTACATAGATTTTTTTTACACTTTAAAATACATGTAAAACAAAATAACACAATAATCTTAAGTGCCTCAGCATCATAATTTTGTTGCATCATTTATATATTTTTGTTTTTCTTTCTTTCTTCCATTTTGTTTTCTTCTTATTTTGCAATTCTATCTTTAAGCTCAACTGATGATTTTTGTTCAGTTAAGCAACGTTTGTTTATTTTTATCGCATTAAATGTTTACTTAACAAAACATTAATTTTGTCTATAACGGGTGCAGTGAAGGTGACTTTCACATTTTAGAGATACTGGAATTAATACATTTATTTGACGCCTTCATGGATGTTCAGATTTGTTCAAGTCGAATTCCACAGGTGCGTGTTTTTTTGTGTGTAAAGAGGAATTATGTGGCAAACAGTACTGATAATCACTAGAAAGATAGATTTAAATTAAATCCTTTAATGTATAAATGCCCCTGTTTCTGGTCTTCGGTTGGAATTGGGTCAGCTTGCCCAGGACCAACCCAAAACATGCAAATTTGGTGCAATAATGCTGCAACAGAAACATGCATGATGACACAGGCTTATTTGTAACCTTAGATAAAAAGGCCACACCATCAACACGTATACCTTTGAGCACCATATTAGCATAAAAAGTACACATAAAGTACATTTTTTACTTCTTATAATTTGTATTGTTATATCATCTTCCTTATACGAGTAAAAATAATCCCATCAAAAAAGTGCAAATACTGAAAAACGATTTTTCCATAAATCTTTCATCCGAAACCACGTGTCATATGTTGTTTGAAATAGCAAATTCGGTAGTTTCTAAAAAGCAAACTTATCGCCTTTGTAGATTCTCGTTAACTCCTCTATCTATTTAACTTCCATTTGTCAATAGATAAAATTATGTATGATAAAAATAATTAGTTAAGGATATTCATACTGTTTACATTTCCTAATTAAATCTATTTTGAAAGGAAAATCTGGACGTGGATCTTTAATTCTTTATGTACTGAGACGGTATATATACAGCTACTTAGAGATAACGGTATCTTGGGTCTCCAGGGGAAAACGACGCTGAATGTGACTATAATTCAAGATGGCGATCGTGTACAACCTGTTCAAGACTTTGTCGCTGGTGGTTCTTCTGAAGTCCCTTGCTGTTTTAGCTGCTTCTGAAGAGTATGTAAGTTTTTTATCATAAAAAATATTACGACCTTAAACTTATCTGGTTAAAGAATGATACATGAAGTTAACAAATAAACAGTACCGTATTTGGGATGACTAGTAAAAATGTATCTAGATGTATTTTGCTTTTAATTTGATCATTAATTAATTAATATATCAAATCATACCTTACATATTTGAAAACAATGAAAGCTAAATTTAGTTCATATACGAGACATGTTTTATAAAACTGTATATTGTGTTGTATTTTAATCGTAACATTCTATTTTGGTGTAATACTTAAAGAAACAGCATTCACATCACAATATGATAATATATTATTAAAGAAATGAACTTGTTTTACAGTCCTTTACAAGTGAATTATCCGAGTGTCACTGTCCACGCTAAAGATAATGGAAACTTTACTATGTCGGTAAGTAAGGGTGTAAGTGGGCCAATATATGTGGAATGATGTCATGCAGAAATTATTATGCTAATTAATATGATAGCAACACATGTGATAAAAGTATTTGAAAAAAGAATAGAAAACTAAAAATAGCCATAAAATAACAAATATTTTCATAAAATTGATTAATATACACACAATACATGCTGGAAGAATAAGATCTTGTAAGAGTAGAATAATCAAATTCTTTGGATGGGAACTGAGAAAGTGACAGTAACCCCCTCCCTAAACATATTGGATGCTGTAACCCTGCTCTGTATTATACATTATGTCTCATCCCCGACTTTTTTTAAAAGTTACATATCCCCCAAAACCCCTTATTCAATGTTTGTCACTGTATAAGTCGACATTTTGAAGTTACATCTCCCCAAAACCTCGCGTTCGATGTTTGTTCCCACATAAGTCGACATTTATTATTTTCAAGTCTCCATAAACTCCATGTCCAATGCTTGTTCCTACATAAGTCGACATTTATTATTTTCAAGTCCCCATAAACTCCATGTCCAATGTTTGTTCCTACATAAGTCGACATTTTTATTATTTTAAGTCTCCATAAACTCCATGTCCAATGTTTGTTCCTGCATAAGTCGACATTTATTATTTTAAGTCTCCATAAACTCCATGTCCAATGTTTGTTCCTACATAAGTCGACATTTATTATTTTAAGTCTCCATAAACTCCATGTCCAATGTTTGTTCCTACATAAGTTGACATTATTAAGTTACATCTCCCCAAAACCCCGTGTCCAATGTTTGTTCCTACATAAGTTGACATTATTAAGTTACATCTCTCGATATGTAATATTGTAGTCTTATTTTCTGGTGACTATGACTACATTATTACATTACCTATACATTAAACATTACATACAGTTCTGACTGCATTGTTTTACCGTATAAACTCTAGTGTTTGTATGACTATTTTACCATCATCTTTCTCGCCACTCCCATCGTTTTTTATGTTCTACTAAAGTCTGGTTACAATGGCGACATTGAAATCTTGCCCGGCGTCAACAATACCGGAAAAGTTTACTTTGAGGGAGAAGATTTGCTTTATCTGTTCGAGGTAAGGACGTTTTTATCAATTTAGGCAATCAAGATAGGAATTATCTTAATTGTAAAAAGTTTACGATAAAAAAAATTATCAATTCGTTTTGATGTATGATGAGTTTCTCAACTCATGAAATCTTTCAATACGGGAATAATAGAGCTACTATTACTACTATTGAAAACAGGATACCAAATATGAAAACCGAAAACCTCTTCTATATGATGAGATTTTATCAGTGATGTAAATATGACTTGCTTTGTAGAGGTCAGCGTAAATATCTGTTAAACAAAAGAGAATAATTTTAGACAGGATTTGCCATTTCCCAGTAAAACAAATCTTATTTAATAATATCATAATTCGTGGATGTTGCAGATCATCCTGAGTGAGCCACCGGTATGGTCAGAACATTCACCTTTTGGACATATCGGGGATTTCCATGGAGGAGAGAAAGTTTTCGTCCAGTTGGAAGCTCTAGTAATTCATTGCCAACCTTTTCATTATTTTACCTATATTTGTTTTTGTCTGTGACACTTTATACCACCTTGTACTTGTGGAGACTTTCCAGGCAAACTTTCGTGTCCAACATAATTTTGTAAAACTGAGATCGAACTAGGACTTACAATTCCGATCTGAAAATTATCATGATTGCCTTGTTATTCAGTGAATTTAGCCATGTTGTATTTATAGGCTTATATACAACTTTCCATTTGATATCTCATTTATGAAACCAGCATAAGAATTTTTAATTTAAGCGAAACTTTGGCGAGCTAAATTTTTCAGAAATGAAGACCTGCTTCATAAACTACATAATTATCAAGTAAAAACACATCTTAAAGATATTTTTTATGGTTGATTATTCATGCAAGTATAGTAAAAAGGCATTTCTACTATTTAAGGTCATTATTGTTACGTCACAATCCAATTTTATATATTTGTGATGTCGTTGCTTTATCTAGACCTGACGGCACAATAGGCTGTGACACACGCATTATACACAAAAATATTTCCTGGGTATATTCACTGAATATAAACCGTTTGTAAAGTCTATTGTGACGTCAGATATATATAATGAAGTCCTGTCACATCATCTCATGTTGGATTTGAACTGTAAAGACAACAGATATAGAACTGAAATGATTTCAAGTTTACTTAAATAATATATCTCGTGATGAAAAGCATCTTAAACTTGTTTCTATTTGATATGCGATTTATGACACTTGTCGCAATGATTTTGTTATGTTGTTTCCTGTAAGCTTGCCATTGGCTTGCTAAATTAAAAAAGAAGTTAACTGCATTTCATGAATAACATATGGAATAGAAAGTCGTTCAAGATCCTGTATTTATGACACAGTGTTTAAAGTTGGAGAGTTTCGTTGTAGTTAAAATCGTCATCCGAGACGTTTAAACAGAGACGTATGTTACTTACCTGGTTATAGTGATTAGAATGTGTTACCGTCATTAAACAAATGATCAGTAACGAATGTGAAGTGTAGGATATGATAATTATACTAATATCAATTAATAGCTACTTTAAGTACTTAAAAATTAGTATACTAGAGTAATGACCCTCTTATTTCTATAAGCAAGTTGACTGACTTTCCAAACCGAACATTTACATGTACGATAATACATCTTGTGATATCTTCACCTCTTACTTCTTCAATGGTTTCCGTGTAAATCTTTTGTTCGTATTTCGCCCTTATTTAATTAAAATTAGAGTTTAATTAATGTTGACATGCCATATACCTGTACACGATAACACTTTATATGAAGTACCTTCATGACGAATGCTTGTATTTTTAGTCTCACTTCTTATTAACATTTCATGTTAATGTTCATTGTTTTGATATACTTGATGTGTTTAGGACCCAGAAGGAGGTCAGGTAACGTATTCGGTTGTAGCAGGCGCTCTACCCCCAGGTGTAGCACTTGATTCCACATTAGGTCTGGTAAAGGGTCTTGCTCCTGATGCTGACACAACGTACACCTTCACGATCCGGGCTACTGATTACCAAGGCAAATACGCCGACAAAGTACTGCAGATGAAAGTTAGAGGTGAGTAACATACTACACAACCTTCTTTTTCTCATTGTGTATCAAACGTTGCAATAATTTTCCTTATATCTAATATCTTCAATATTTAGCATCCTTATCTGTTTATTTTTGTCAGTCATTCGGTGAAAACGAAACAACTTCAACAGCAGTAACATTTTAACGTTTCCAAATTAAAATTCCTTTCCTTATACCAATAGCTTGATTGAACCCTTATTTAAGGCAACATGCTTATGTATCAAAACATTAAAATGTACAAGTATAAAGTTTTCATTACATTTGTAGGGTATCGAAATTAATTTAACTAAATGAAATTGATACAAGCTTTAAGTAATTAACGTCCCTGAATACGTCATAGTATCTTGGTTAATCCTTCCAATTTACGTTAAATAGTTTTACTGTTAATGCAGAAGACGTGAATACTTGCTGCAAACCATTTACATCCACATGTAATACTTATGTCAGTGAACTAAGCAGTTGTAAGTTAAAACAGCAATGTTTCACTAAAATGTTAATATGTAGGTAGCAATTCATGTACGAGAACAACATGCAGACACGAAGGGATATGTCAGGATGTTATAAGCGACATTCAGTGCACCTGTATACACCCATACGGAGGGAAAACATGCAACGTGGGTAGGTTTTGTCTAATATCTTGTAACATGTTGTATTTGTCCTTAAAGAAAATACAATTAAGTAGGAAATAATGTCGTAACATTTTAACCTGAAATGATTCTTGCAGTGTTTTCTTGAGGATTCATTATTCGTGTTAAATATTCTATGTATCATCGGCAATAACAAATATCTTTGTAAGTATTGAGGATACAATAAGGTTCATTTTCCCAAATACTAACGTATCTTAACGCTTATTGCGTAAACAAAAACAATATTTTACTTTTAAGACTGCAGAAGTAACAGTCTGGGAGTGGACAGTCGTCAAAAAGTCGTACCTGACGCGCACATGTCGGCATACAAATCCTACAGTACTTACCTGGCATACAATGGGCGGTTGAACGGAGCGGGATGGTATGGAATGGACAGTGAGTCATGGCTTCAGGTCGACCTAGGTAAGTCATGATCATTACAGGATGAGGCTGGTAAAAATGGTATATAGTGAATATTTAAAATTATATAAAATTAATGCGGCCTTCACCTTTACCGCAGATTAGAAGTCAGGGCATGATGACCTTAACCTTCCGTAATAAACACTTAACTTTACCTATATCATATTTTGAATATTGGTCATTATTACTTGCCTATCCAAACGGAACTTGAGCTTAGAAACGTATCTAAAGGAACGATTAGACTCACAAGTGAACTATTCTGATCCACCAGGAAACGTGACACAGATTAATGGCGTGCAAATGCAAGGTTGTTCCAGCTACTATTACACAACAGCGTTCTATTTACAATTTAGCGTAGATGGCAATTCTTTCACCAACTACACCACTTCCGGCGTCAGTCCAAAGGTAAATCTATAAGTAATGCATCACCAGCATCATTTTGAAGATCACCTTTCTAGTAAATATTCTCACCAAGTCCTAGGTAATCAAAACAACTGCTGCAGTATGACTGTTGCTTCAGAAAAATGTACATATCACGTTAATAAGTCATGATGCTAATACCATTTCTTAATAAAGTAACTGCTCTGTGCCATATACCAAATAAAGTGTATATGGTGGAGGACAGACTCAGTTTCAGAAGGGGTTTAACACAAGTTAGCAAGGCATATGGCAGTTTTCCCAGTATGTGGGCTTTCATATATATATTTATTTATACATATGTGTGCGTGTGTGTGAGGGTGCGTGTGTTGATAAAGAATATGATGATTCAAAATCAACGAAGCGAGGTCAAAGAATGAAATTTTAAATGTTTTTACCGAGTCAGTTGGTGCAATAAACGAAAGATTTACACGAATGCAAACTGTACAAGGAGAATAAGACCACGTGTACCAGAACAGTCTTCTTTGTCAATCCAATGAAGTAATGTAAACATCAGGGTGAATGACAATGAAACTACCAGGTATTCTACTAGTATCGAACACATACAACGCCATATTGTAAAATGAAAAAGGTGTGGAATTCATAATGCACCAACGGCTTTACTTCTTAGGAAGATATTCGTCAAATAAGATACCAACATCAGTAGTCAAGCCACATCACTTCCGATATACAATATATACGTTTGCAACAGTACATCTGCATCAGTCGTAAGTATTACTTTAGTGTTATTCATAAAGCAAGTGTTCGCAACAAAATAAAAATCTTAATAATACTCTCCCAAGCAAGAAGACAAATTAATTATTAATTTACAGATCTACCCAGGATACAGTGATTCTGGCAGTGTGTATACTTCGTCGTTGGCCCAGCCTGTCGACGCACGGTATGTCCGGTTTGTGCCTACCAACTGGAATCGCTCCCACAGGCCTTGTATGCGGGTTGATCTTCAAGGATGCTACAACCATTAATTTTGACCTGGACAGGTGTTTTTCTTTTGACAATAAAAATATTTCTTATGTTGATTGATATGGTGTCCTTTCAATTAATTTATACATATTAGCAGAACTTAAGTGTAAACATTCTTTAAACATCTCTCCTAGACTTATTCTACCGCAATACAGACAATATTTTTTCTCGTTTTCTTCAATGAATCGCAAAAATAGGAAAATGACGAAGTGTATGTCGAAACAAAAATCACAGATTCAAAATATATCTAAGATATTAAACAGAAGATACCAGAAGGATCATGGCACCCAAAATCGGTCGTTTTCTTCCTATTCTTTTCTTTCTTTCTTCTGATTTTTGCTCTTGGTAAAATTTGAAAATTACTCTTAATAAACAACTATAATAATATCATACTTCAAGATCCGCGATGGTCGCCTGTCAGCAATTTTGTTCTTCTGACCAGTCCTAAAAGTCAAACGGGCATATCATGAGACCAGTGGAAATACATATGTGAAAATTGAGAAAGATATATACATTACTTCTCGTGGTAACTTACATATCATCCCTTGTGTGTAGCATGTCACTGGTGTCTTTCCGCTGTGAAGACTCTGTAGACGTCATCAGGAAGTATTCAGACCTCTTCAGATTTTTCGACCCTAAACCCCAACATCCTCCGGCTGGTGGGTCAGCAGTGGTGACCAAGCCACTGCTCGTCTATGTTGGCTTCAAATCGGCTCGTCTCGTCAGTGCCATAGCCAACACAATGCTTTCTCTGCAGTTTGTGAAAAACATATGATGGCTGCACTTCGAACTTTTCCTGTGGTCCCTAGTGTGTGCAGCCCACCTCCACTGGGAATAGCCAAACAGTCCATCCCTTCTCTCTACACTTCGCCATCAACTCTTCATACTTGGTTTTCTACTTTTCATGGTCCTCTTCGCAACCTACTTCCCATAGCACCGTTAGCTCTATTGCGATGAAGACTGCTGCGATGACACCACGATGCCAAGCCTAAGCGTTGTCTCCACGACATTCGGGAAGACAAGCTTCCTGTCCCAGCCCACCTTCATCTCCCATGATTGAGGCTTATCCAAGATAGCATAATTGTTTCTCTTCCTTCTTTTCCCTCTTTCACCTTGCCTGACAAACCGAATAGCAGACTGTGCTGCTGGCCGATTTGTCCTCTTCTTCCGTCTTTCCGTCTCCAGGATATCAGCCAATACTCTAAGTCCATTGTCATGTCTCCATCGGTATTTTCCTTGCCGAAGTGCTTCCTTGCATCCAGACAGGATGTGTGAGACATTGACCTTCTCTGGTTGCATAGTCTGCAATTCGAGTGCAGATTGACGGGCGATGGAAGAGTGTCATACACTGATTTTAGCATAGCTGATATCCTAACGGGTTCCGTCATCCACGATTCCATCCATGTAAGCTTTCTGTCTTGGAGGTTCCATTTCGTCCATGAACCCTGCTTACTCAGTTCAACAGATTTCTGCTTCCGTCTCTTCTCTTCTAATGTCCGTACGTCCTTCTGAACCATCGGTCGCCGCTCCTGAGTGTTAGTCAATTCCCACTGCTGGAAGTGTGAACAGCCAACGCATTGCCTTCCCACACATGTGTTACGAATTATATTCATCAGCTCAAGCATATTCTGTGCTTCTTTGGAGTCCCGGAGAAATGGCAATAACAAACTTTCATTTATCAAAATCTAAGATGATCGCCTGTCGGACATCATGTTTTTATGATTAGTCATAAAATCAAATTGGCAAAACAAAAAAGGAAGTTACATATTAAATTTGAGAAAGATCTATCCAAAACGTTTCAAGAAATAACGAGTATATTTCTTTTATTGTTCAAAATCCAAGATGGTCGCTTGCCGGGCATTTTATTTTCCTGATAAGTTCTAAAATCAGACAGACAGAACAAGGGACTAAGGAAACCCTATACATGAAATTTTGGAGAGATAAATCCAGCATTTCTCAAGAAATAGCGATAACGACCCCTTATTGTCCAAATCCAAGATGGCCGTCTGTCCAACATTTTGTTTTTATGATTAGTCCATAAATCAAATAGATACAAGAAGGGGCCAAAAAAAAAAAAAAAAAACCCTTTACACCCTTGAAATCCGACATGGCCGCCGGTCGGCCATTTTCTTTTTCTGATGAGTATTAAAATCAAATGGGTACATCTAAGACCAAAGGAAATCAACATGTGAAATTTGAGAAAGATCCATCCATTACATTTTTGGTAAAAGCGATAATAAACCTTCAACAACAAAAATCCAAGATGGTCGCTTGACAACCAATTTGTTTTTAGGCTCAGTCTTAAAATCAAATGGGCACAAAGGACCAAGCAAAACATAAATATGAAATTGGGAAAGATGTACCCAGTGATTCTTAAGAAATAGTGATTACAAATTTACATCATAAGAATCCAACTAGGGACCATAGGAAAACTTCATATTATATCTGAGAAAGATTCCTACAGTTCTTTTCAAGAAACATTTTCTTGTCAATGTCCGAGATGGCCGCATGTCGGCTGGGTTTTTTTCTGATCCAAACTCAAAAAGTTTAAACTTGAAATGTGATGTTCATGTGACTGCTGGTTATAAATAAAGACATCCATAATAAAACTATCCATGATTACATTTTAACTAATGGAATGGAAGAACTCTGGAATGTTTAGAATTTACACGAATCTTATGGTAGAAAAAAAAACATACCACAGGCATAAAGTCACATCTGAGTCCATGACCATACTTATCTGAATGGTGTTTTTCAAATTGGGTGTATATTTATATACTGATCAAAATCTTTGCATACCTAGAACCAAATGTCACGATTTAGGAAAGTTTTAAATAATTATTTCCTTAAAGGTATTTTTGTTAAAACATGACTAATATATTTGTATCTGAAGACCAATTCCAGCATTTTAAATGAGAAATGATGAATCTTCACATTAAACAATGCCAGCAAAAGACAAGTATATCAATATATCAGATATATGTGTAAGACCTATGAATACAAGAGAACAAATAATTAAGAGTGATGTGAATCCATGAAGACCAGCTTCGTTTATTTGGACGTGTCTTAAACTTAGATATATCATTTGTTAATAACTGTGTATGGTGTAAGCTGTTATACTTACAGACAAATTAAACTAGATAATAGGATACAGTACCGAAATGATAGAAAACAAACAAAAACAAATTATTTAATGAATCTACGAAATTATCGAAAATATGTGAAACAACAAAAATATTTGAAATGTTAGAAAACATACGAAATGGTAAGAAGACATAGCAGGTTGAAAAGAGTGGTATATAAATATGTATATCAAAATATTTAGTTCTCAGTGTTCATTACAATTTGATTACCTGAACTTCAACTAAACTGAATATACCAGTAATGAAATGTGTAGAAGTATTAAAAATCCATCCATATACTGTCTTCCATATTTCAAAAAGTGAAAGTAGAATTTTGCCATTTTCTACACGTAAAGTGAAAGTAATATAGGAATATCTATCTCATTTCACCACTGGTGTCTGTATTTGATCTGATGATTATCTAGGAGTATCACGCTAAGTAATTTTAGACAATACCAAACAAGGTAAGTATTTATGATAAGTACAGCCAGGTGATGTTATAGAGAATATATATTCATATCATGTCTTTAGTTATCAATGATAGGATATCATATACTCTGAACCTACAAGTCTTCAATATAAAAATAAACCTTTTGTCCAAACGATGCTCTCTGCCTAAACAATCTTATAATATGTGAAATTATATATTGTACTATACAGCTTTTACACGTGGAAAAAACATCAAAACATATTTTTTTAAATTCAAATTAATAGAATCATGATAGATTTTCATTTATTGTCAGATTAAGCAAAATCTATGGCGGAATATTTTCAGATTAAACCCTAAAGTCCAGTTAATTCTATAACTTTTTCTGTTCATCAATAGCTTTCACATTAAGCTAATATCACATCTGGCATTTTAATTTAGACAGAAGTTACATGTATCAATAATCACTGGGAATATCAGACTTAATCTAGCAGCTGGTGCTAAAACCATCATCCCCAGACAACAACTGACTGAAGTGATCAAGGTTTCTCCTGTATGGTAGAAATGGAGGCCTAGATAGCTAAACTCAAAGTGTGGTATCACATGACTGATTAGCTATTTGTTATTCAGTGAACAATGTGATGTTTTCACATACTATATTTTATGTAATATATCCTTTTGTGACTTTAGATTTATAGATAATAGACTGCAAGGAAATGTAACAGTGTAAATCAAACAGCCATAATTACTTCCATTTGACATTGAAATGTCCATTTTCTACAATATTTACCAAAATAATCAATCATGTTGTGATTAAAAAATCTTTGATTTGATATGTGATTTATGAAACTACAATCTCTTAAGATTCATATAATAGATTACATATCAAAAGAAAGCTACATGTAAGACCCCTTGTATCGTGGAACAGCATGTTTTTATCTAAATTCTTCTTTATTTCTCCTAGCTGACCTTTAAAACAGTTTTCTATTGCACAAACCTTGAGAGAGAAGGCCAGCTTCTAAATATAAAACAAAAAAGGTCTCTATCATGATATAATACTGTTACCATAGTAACAATACTGACAAAATGAAGGATTTGTTTTACATGTAATATTAAGTAACCTGTGTGTTATTTAGGTTAAAGTGAAAATAGCAATCAATATGGTTAACATTTGTATATATCCGCAACAAGTATCAAAAAACAGAAAACTAATATTACATCCATTCCTTATAAACATGTACAGTGTAAATAAAATTCTGACATTTAATCACAATGACATTCCTTACCTACATATAAACATGAACAGTGTAAATAAAATTCTGACATTTAATCACAATGACATTCCTTACCTACATATAAACATGTACAGTGTAAATAAAATTCTGACATTTAATCACAATGACATTCCTTACCTACATATAAACATGTACAGTGTAAATAAAATTCTGACATTTAATCACAATGACATTCCTTACCTACATATAAACATGTACAGTGTAAATAAAATTCTGACATTTAATCAAAATGACAAAGAAGATATCACATCTGTTTCATTTTCAAGTCAAGTTTACGCAGCTTATAACATTTTGTAATCACACTTTAATGAAAAGTTTGTGATGGGTTTCAGATGCATAAGATATAGACAAATTTGAAATTCTGTAATGTCTAAAAATAGATGGTAAGTGTAAATAAAACACAACATTTTCTCAAGTTGATTTCAAATCTAACCATGAGGTATATATAAATATGTACTATATAAATTTTTTTTCAGCATTAGAATACATTCAGAAGTAAGCAGGGCCATGAAGTTGTAATTATAGTCAATACAAGTGTTGATATTTTCATTGTTATCTTAAGGAGCATCATCATACTCTTGTTGTGTATTACAAATTGACCCCTTCAGCAATTTTAACCGAATATTCTAATTAAAACAAAATTACCAGATACAACATAAGGAAATTTGACATATAATGAGCCCAACTCTTTCTCATTAGGATATTGACTTATATAGTGAAATTTAACAGTAGTTAATTTGCATAGAATAAGTATGGAGAAACAAGTTTCAAAACTATCTCTCCATGATGGCAGAGACTATGATCAGCAAGTCTCATAAACATGGCTAACCACAGACAGCATTACCACAGAAATGCGGCTTTTATTTTCTTCTTGGAATCCTCAACGATTTGAATAGCTGATCGTGATTCCAAACATGCGTGCTGCATTTTTGCACGATTTTGTTCAATGATTGCTGATATTTCTTTGATGTCTGCTCGACCTCGTGGAACATTGTCTACCATGGCAACAGCATCCCAGCATTCATCACACATGGTATTGAGGCGAGCATCCATTGTCTGCAGGTTGGAATCTATCACAGGACATTCCTTCAGTATGGCCTTACACACATTAGCAAACTGTATGAGGAAAGAACCATATTAAGTCTCAACACATTTCTAAAAGTATGTCATCCACATCAAATTACAAATAGCTATATAACTGACCAGATATTATACAAAATAATCAGTGAGTTATTGACATCAAATTATAAATGGATCAGTCAGTTTACCAGTTGTAATGTACTAACAAAACTCTCCAACCCAATGCATCAGTAATCCTCTCTCTAAGAGGTTAAGATCTTATTTCTTTGGATTTTACAGTAAAAAGTAGATCATAGTATTTTAGGAAAAGTGACAACTGATGACAGGTATTGTGTGTCTGATTACAGCATCACAATAACATGATGTAGATAGATGCCTAACATTACAGTGCTAACTAGTCAACTGATAACATACCTCATTATGGAAGAGTTTCATAAGAACTCTCATTTTCTTCACTGGTTTAAAATCATCATCTTTTGAGATGATTTCTAGCTTACAAAAATCTTCGTCTTTTTTCACCTGAAACACCAAATTTTAATCATACCAAGAAAATGAAATTAAAGATCAATAAAGATACAGAAAAATTTAACAGTCAAACTTCATCCTTCTGATCTTTCATGAATTCAATGAAAGAATACTCCTCTCATGAAATACATAAAGATTGTTTTGTTTTCACTTCCTGTCAAATTGGTAATATACTATATTCTCTACTTTCCCTTGACTGAACTCTGTTGTGTTTTAACATTGATTTCATCCCTCTAGTTTAGATGTGAACAAATACATATCCTGTCTGCATTCCAATCCCTTCCCTTTTACTGTAATAAAGGGTGACATATTTTTTTTAAGTTCAGCCCTGTCTCCTATGTTGCATTAGAGGGTGACACTATTTACCTTATGTTCAGCCCCGTCCCCTATGTTGCATTAGAGGGTGACACTATTTACCTTATGTTCAGCCCCGTCCCCTATGTTGCATTAGAGGGTGACACTATTTACCTTATGTTCAGCCCCGTCCCCTATGTTGTGTTAGAGGGTGACACTATTTACCTTATGTTCAGCCCTGTCCTCTATGTTATGTTAGAGGGTGACATATTTTCCTTTAAGTTCAGCCCTTTCCCTTATGTTATGTCAGAGGGTGACATATTTACTTTAAGTTCAGCCCTGTCCCCTATGTTGTGTTAGAGGGTGACAGTATTTACTTCAAGTTCAGCCCCGTCCCCTATGTTATGTTAGAGGGTGACATATTTACTTTAAGTTCAGCCCTGTCCCCTATGTTGTGTTAGAGGGTGAAACTATTTACCTTATGTTCAGCCCTGTCCCCTATGTTGTGTTAGAGGGTGACACTATTTACCTTATGTTCAGCCCTGTCCCCTATGTTGTGTTAGAGGGTGACACTATTTACCTTATGTTCAGCCCTGTCCCCTATGTTGTGTTAGAGGGTGACACTATTTACCTTATGTTCAGCCCTGTCCCCTATGATGTGTTAGAGTGTGACACTATTTACCTTATGTTCAGCCCTGTCCCCTATGTTGTGTTAGAGGGTGACAGTATTTACTTCAAGTTCAGCCCCGTCCCCTATGTTGCATTAGAGGGTGACACTATTTACCTTATGTTCAGCCCTGTCCCCTATGTTGTGTTAGAGGGTGACACTATTTACCTTATGTTCAGCCCTGTCCCCTATGTTGTGTTAGAGGGTGACACTATTTACCTTATGTTCAGCCCTGTCCTCTATGTTATGTTAGAGGGTGACATATTTACTTTAAGTTCAGCCCTGTCCTCTATGTTGTGTTAGAGGGTGACAATTTTTACTTTTAAGTTCAGCCCTGTCCCCTAAGTTATGTTAGAGGGTGACACTATTTACCTTAAGTTCAGCCCTGTCCCCTATGTTGCATTAGAGGGTGAAACTATTTACCTTATGTTCAGCCCTGTCCCCTATGTTATGTCAGAGGGTGACATATTTACCTTATGTTCAGCCCTGTCCCCTATGTTGTGTTAGAGGGTGACACTTTTTACTTTAAGTTCAGCCCTGTCCCCTATGTTGTGTTAGAGGAAGACACTATTTACCTTATGTTCAGCCCTGTTCCCTATGTTGTGTTAGAGGGTGACATATTTACCTTATGTTCAGCCCCGTCCCCTATGTTGTGTTAGAGGGTGACACCCTTATGTCCCCTGTCCCCTATGTTGTGTTAGAGGGTGAAACTATTTACCTTATGTTCAGCCCTGTCCCCTAAGTTATGTTAGAGGGTGACATATTTACTTTAAGTTCAGCCCTGTCCCCTATGTTGCATTAGAGGGTGAAACTATTTACCTTATGTTCAGCCCTGTCCCCTATGTTATGTCAGAGGGTGACATATTTACCTTATGTTCAGCCCTGTCCCCTATGTTGTGTTAGAGGGTGACACTATTTACCTTAAGTTCAGCCCCGTCCCCTATGTTATGTTAGAGGGTGACAGTATTTACCTTATGTTCAGCCCTGTCCCCTATGTTGTGTTAGAGGAAGACACTATTTACCTTATGTTCAGCCCTGTCCCCTATGTTGTGTTAGAGGGTGACATATTTACCTTATGTTCAGCCCCGTCCCCTATGTTGTGTTAGAGGAAGACACTATTTACCTTATGTTCAGCCCTGTCCCCTATGTTGCATTAGAGGGTGACACTATTTACCTTATGTTCAGCCCCGTCCCCTATGTTGTGTTAGAGGGTGACATATTTACTTTAAGTTCAGCCCTGTCCCCTATGTTGTGTTAGAGGGTGACACTATTTACCTTAAGTTCAGCCCCGTCCCCTATGTTATGTTAGAGGGTGACAGTATTTACCTTATGTTCAGCCCTGTCCCCTATGTTGCGTTAGAGGGTGACATATTTACCTCATGTTCAGCCCTGTCCCCTATGTTGTGTTAGAGGGTGACAGTATTTACCTCATGTTCAGCCCTGTCCCCTATGTTGTGTTAGAGGGTGACATATTTACCTTATGTTCAGCCCCGTCCCCTATGTTGTGTTAGAGGGTGACACTATTTACCTTATGTTCAGCCCTGTCCCCTATGTTGTGTTAGAGGGTGACACTATTTACCTTATGTTCAGCCCTGTCCCCTATGTTGTGTTAGAGGGTGACACTATTTACCTTAAGTTCAGCCCTGTCCCCTATGTTGTGTTAGAGGGTGACATATTTACTTTAAGTTCAGCCCTGTCCCCTATGTTGTGTTAGAGGGTGACAGTATTTACCTTAAGTTCAGCCACGTCCCCTATGTTGTGTTAGAGGGTGACATATTTACTTTCAGTTCAGCCCTGTCCCCTATGTTGTGTTAGAGGGTGACAGTATTTACCTTAAGTTCAGCCCCGTCCCCTATGTTGCGTTTGAGTGCAATGATACAGTCCTCCAGACTTGTCTCCCCTGATTCCAATATTTGAGCTTGCATGCACATCTCCTTGAGCTTGGTGAAAGACTTATGATGATAGTCACGTAACATAGCTACCTTCTTCACAGCAACATCTGCCATCTCAAACACCTGGTCAAACTACAACAGAAATAGTGTAGTAAGTACACCGTCAGCAAACAAAAGAATTTATTGTCAACTTCCAACAAAAATATCATTATGGTTAGAAACATCATATACTAAACAAACGAAACATGGAGATTTATCAAATCAATTACTACATCATATTGTTACCATACAGATTAACATCACATTGTTACCATACCAACTGACATCATATTGTTACCATACCAACTGACATCATATTGTTACCATACCAACTGACATCATATTGTTACCATACCAACTGACATCATATTGTTACCATAACAACTGACATCATACCGTTACTATACCAACTGACATCATATTTTAACCATAACAACTGACACCATATTGTTACCATACCAACTGACATCATATTGTTACCGTAATAACTGATATCATATTGTTACCATACCAGCTGACATCATATTGTTACCATAACAACTGACATCATATTGTTACCATAACAACTGACATCATATTGTTTACATACCAACTGACATCAGGTTGTTGACATACATATACCAACTGATATTACATTATTTACATAGACAAGAATTCAACAGAAGCTGAGATGTTGCCTTTTCTACCAAATTATACAAAAAAAAAAAATAAAAAAAATCATAGAGCACTAGATGAACTTTCCAATTGACCCTGCCAGCAAAGTCATCAAAGTACCTTCAAATGGTTATACAATACAAATGTCATGACTGACCTTCCCCGCAGCACTGCTATAAAGATGAAACATGTTTGAAAAGTTTCTCTTCCATCAGGTACTCACCTCCTTGACATGTGTTAACTGAAGTCCTTCATACTCCAGTTCTTTTGCTTTTTTCTGCTCTGTAGGCTTGTCCTTGCGTTTCCACTTGTTCACAGCAAACTTTGCTTCCAGTACGTGACGTACCAGGTATTGTATTGCCTCCCTAACTGACCCATCACCATCACGAGCGGACGCCATCAGACTACACAGTAAATCAGTTTGCATTTAAATATTACACAGGTGTATAAATCAAAACATCTATACAGCAGAAATATAGAAAGAGGCAAACTTCAAATATGGACATGTTATTTTTTTCACATGACTCTTTCTTTATGGATGGTATGTGTCCATACATTTCTTATTTATCCACCAACTCTACACATACATCTCTGAATTACCAACCAACCCTTTACACATATCTCTGAATTACCAACCAACCCTATTCACACATCTCTTAATTACCAACCAACCCATTCACACATCTCTGAATTACCCACAAACTTCATACACCAATCTCTAAATTACCAACCAACTCTATACACACATCTCTGAATTACCCACCAACTCTACACACACATCTCTGAATTACCAACCAACTCTATATACACATCTCTGAATTACCAACCAACACTATACACACATCTCTGAATTACTCACCAACTCTACACACACATCTCTGAATTACTCACCAACTCTATATACACATCTCTGAATTACTCACCAACCCTTTATACACATCTCTGAATTACTCACCAACCCTTTACACACATCTCTGAATTACTCACCAACCCTTTACATACATCTCTGAATTGCCAAACAACCCTATACACACATCTTTTAATTACCAACCAACTCTACACACACATCTCTGAATTACCAACCAACTCTATATACACATCTCTGAATTACCAACCAACACTATACACACATCTCTGAATTACTCACCAACTCTATACACACATCTCTGAATTACTCACCAACTCTATACACACATCTCTGAATTACTCACCAACTCTATACACACATCTCTGAATTACCAACATACCCTAAACACACATCTCTGAATACACACCAACTCTACACACACACATCTCTGAATTACTCATCAACCCTACACACACATCTATTTATTACCCACCAATCCTTTACACATATCTCTGAATTACCAACCAACACTATACACACATCTCTGAATTACCCACCAACTCTACACACACATCTCTGAATTACTCACCAACCCTTTACACACATCTCTGAATTACCAACCAACCCTATACACACATCTCTGAATTACCAACCAACTCTATACACACATCTCTGAATTACCAACCAACTCTATACACACATCTCTGAATTACTCACCAACTCTATACACACATCTCTGAATTACCAACCAACTCTATACACACATCTATTTATTACCCACCAATCCTTTACACACATCTCTGAATTACCCACCAAATCTATACACACATCTCTTAATTACCAACCAACCCTATACACACATCTCTGAATTTTTAACCAACCCTATACACACATCTCTGAATTTTTAACCAACTCTATACACACATCTCTGAATTGCCAAACAACTCTATACACACATCTTTTAAAATACCCACAAACTCCATACACATATCTCTGAATTTTTAACTAAATCTCTACACACATACCCACAAACTCCATACACACATCTCTGAATTACTCATCAACCCTCTACACACATCTCTGAATTGCCAGCCAACTCTAAATACACATCTTTTAATTACTCATCAACCATATAATATCACTGAACTGATGAACATTGAAAATATATATTGTTGGTTAACATGAATATCACATATCTAATTTTAAAATAAATCCTATTTAATATAAAAAACATCTATGGTGGAGGTACTAGAATCTGTGTTTCTATATACCTCTGTCTATCTGCCTAACACCAGTGCACATTTCTGCACATAAAAATTTTATCTTGAACAAAATCATCAACCTAACCCTTCCTGGCTGGAGATCAAAAGCTAGCATTCCATTTACAGAAATACAATTTTTCATCAAACTGAGGTGAAAAGTGACTCAAATTTCTTACCTTCCATGGAAGTTGTGGTCTACCGCAGTCTTCTCCAAAAACTTAACACACTCAGGTTTTTCCTCATCAGTAAGTGGACCATTGATAGACCATATCTTACGAGAGTTCTCTTCTATTTCTTGATTTTCCTTATCTACAAAATACAATAGTCCTGTATAATGATCTACCTTAGTTGTAGTTAAGGGTTCATTAGAACAGGTTGTGATCAATGATAAATGATATACATGTATATGAGAGACTTCAATATCATTTATAAAACTCACAATCCAGAAAATTGTGTTAGGGAGAAAATATTGACAGGTTTACTGACATTTCATCGTTTAACTAATTTATTAAAATATTGATAAAACATTGTTGAAACGAAAATTAGAAGTAAAGTACCAAGTATTTTCTCAAACATAACAATCTCTGGGCTGATTAAGTTTATCCACTAGCACATTTCTCTACCTTCATCCTCAGGACTTTTCTTCTCTGACTTTGCACGTTCTGCCATCATTTTCTTGAGACGCTCAGCTTGTATCCTCTGTTCGATCTGAAAAGTAATGCTTCTATGATATATTGTGTATGTACCTATATATATATCATTCTTTACAGGTATAACTCAAATAGACATTCTGAAACGTGACAAATATGACCTAGATTACAAAACAGGAACACTTCAGGTATACAGACTTATAAAAATAACTTATAAAACATTGTGAAACGAAAATTATGACCTAGATAAAAACAGGAACACTCAATACAATCTCTATAAGGTATAACTTTATATAGCACATTTCTGAAACGTGACAAATATGACCTAGATTACAAAACAGGAACACTTCAGGTATACAGACTTATAAGGTATAACTCATATAGACATTCTGAAACGTGACAAATATATTGTGTATGTACCTATATATATATCATTCTTTACAGGTATAACTCAAATAGACATTCTGAAACGTGACAAATATGACCTAGATTACAAAACAGGAACACTTCAGGTATACAGACTTATAAGGTATAACTCATATAGACATTCTGAAATGTGACAAATATAACCTAGATTACAAAACAGGAACACTTCAGGTATACAGACTTATAAGGTATAACTCATATAGACATTCTGAAACGTGACAAATATGACCTAGATTACAAAACAGGAACACTTCAGGTATACAGACTTATAAGGTATAACTCATATAGACATTCTGAAACGTGACAAATATAACCTAGATTACAAAACAGGAACACTTCAGGTATACAGACTTATAAGGTATAACTCATATAGACATTCTGAAACGTGACAAATATGACCTAGATTACAAAACAGGAACACTTCAGGTATACAGACTTATAAGGTATAACTCATATAGACATTCTGAAACGTGACAAATATGACCTAGATTACAAAACAGGAACACTTCAGGTATACAGACTTTACAGGTTTTCATTTTTTTTTTTTTTTTTTGACACACAGTATTACAGCGAGTTTAGTTGATATCATACAACAGAACTCTCACGAAGAAAATCTCACCACATCAAACTTGTTGCCAAGCAAAAGTATTGGAAACGTCTCCTTGTCTACCGGAGTTTCTTCCATTGTGGTTGTGTGGACCTGTCCTGCCTTGTCCTCAACTGGATGGGTCAGAAATGTATTGTTGAGGACTGTCTGACGCCATACTGGTGCCATTTCAATACTTGTCTGTTCTGTCATGTCCACCACCACTGTAACACAGCTAGACATAAATCTACCAGTCGATTTAACAAAGTTGTTTTATTACTGTACAAAAGTACACTGTATGTTAATTTAAAATCTTTCATTTTATGTGTACTATAAACTTACTTTTATGTTATCCATACAACTAATGTCCCTTATTTCAGACAGTTTGCTTTTATTTTGCAGAGTTGAAACTAAAAGTGATTCACATCATTCCTGTTTTTATTCCAAATATAAGCAATGGCCAACTACTTCTACAGTTCTATCACTGAACTCTGATATTTCTCTGTAGAGCGTGCTTTTTAATTCATGTATTCATTTAGAATCAAACTTTGAAGGTATTTACGCACACATTTTTCTTAGTTCCCTAGTGCCAGGTAAATAAATACATCATTATAGCTGTATAAAAATGTGTATCTTCATTAAGCTTGCCTCATATATCTCAAGTTTTAAGCCATCCTACAGGTGCACTCTTAACATTTTCCCTATGCTGTTGCAGTACGTTTTATTGACCAATATGTAAAGTGTATATCATATGTGCCTGTTTTAACTCTAATGTTGATACATACTGTATATATGCCAGCAGGTTTCTTTGTTTAAAGGTTTTAACAAATTTGACCTCTGTGACCTTGAATATGGGTCAAGATTATTTTTTTTTTGCAAACTTTGTTAAGCTTCATCAAAGGAACCTTCCTGCCATATATAATGATTCCAGGCCTTCCAGTATTTTGGAAGAAGTCATTTAAAGGTTTTAACACATATGTCTTAGCTCATCAGTTCAACAAGGCAAAAAAAAAAAGTTAATTGGTAGAATCAGTGTTTTTCTCTTCTTCAATTTCAACATGGTGTTCATGAAAATTTTAAACACAACATGAATTCTTTCTTTTTATGCTCCATCTTTTAAGTTGATTAAATCATATATATAGTTGTTGACGATAACACTACGCCTACTGACTTTCTAATCACACCCCTACTAACTAACCAATCAAACCCCTAATGACTGACCAATCATACCCTTACTAACTGACCAATCACAATCCTACTGACTGACCAATCACACCACTACTGACTAACAAACCACATCACAACTGACTGCCCAACTACACCACTACTGACAGCCCAATCACACTAATACTCTTGACTCACCAATAGCAGCATCCAGATTCCTGAAGTAAGCTTTATGGAGGTCAATGTCCTCTCGTCCAGGAATATCCCACAAAGTCAGGGATACAACAGTGTGACCTGGAACATTCAACTTCCGCACTGTGCTCTCTGAAACCAGATTTATTTATGAAAAATAGCTGTTTTCTAAAGTGATTAATTAGTTCTAAAACTTAGCTATTGAGATGAAGTCTTCGTAAAATGTTAGATCTTATCTCAAAAAAGGTGTGCATCCCTTATCAGTTTGTTATAAGGTTATTCTGGTAGCTTTCATGTTTGAACAAACTAACTAGCCCTTCATACCAATAAATGATGTACTCCCAACGTCATGATCGAGGGGCCTTTGATTGTTGAGAGGAAGTTGTTTAAATGGAAAGTTGACATCAGATATATGGAGAAATGCTATATTACAACATGAGCTCACCTTGCCTTCTTACCAATGCATTGCATTGTTCATAAGAAATATTTTTACAAAAAATATTTTAGTTACTGCTATATGGAAAATTATTTCTGTAAAGTATTCTTGTTTGCCATATCACATACTAGTGTTTCATTTGTTACGATATACTTACCAATGACTGCTTTCTTGGTGGGAATATACATGGGACTGAACTGATTCTTGAGGAATCTCAGTGCTACACATGTTTTACCTACTTCAGGGTCACCTGGAAAAACAAGAAACCTATCTCAATCACTGATGTCTAATACATGTACTCTCTGATGGTGTTTATTGTTTGGTGAAACTAAAATAGTTACCATTAATATTTTTCACAAAATCTTCAAATTGAAACACAAGCACAGGTTTTTCTATCTATCTATTTATTTATTTAAAGGCAGTTGCCCAATTATTGGAGAAATGTCTTGTTAGATATGGACTGAATTTATACAAAAATGGTATTCAACTTTGGATAATTGGTATGATAGTGTTTACCCATATTAAAGCCTGTATCTTACCTACTAAAGCAATCTTCAGTGGAGGAACACGGTGTCCTGTGCCTAAATGAAAACAGAAGCAATGTGATATACAAAACCTCTTTATAAACAGGTTATACAGTTAGGGTGTAACTTATAATAATCAATTATCAACTGGAGTAATACTTCATGTATAAGAATTACCATACAGGGAGTGCTAAAAAAAGGTGGATATTCCAACCCTCCCATACCTAATGCTGAAAGGTAATACCATCAGTACTTTTTAAAAATAATTATCAACATGACCAAAATGTCACATAACAAATTTTGAGCTTTATACACCAACTATGACAAGAGGACATGCATTTGTACATGTACACATAAAATCAGTGTTGTTTTACAGAATTGTCAAAAAAAAATTAATGGTGCCGTCCATTGTACAATTTGTTGAGTCAGTCCTGGCCGGATGCTTGTGTATTTGCTTCTCTTTGTTATGCTGTTTTCACAATTTAAAATTTTGTCACACCTTTTCGTCCAAATTCAAGACCATGGGCCCAAACTTATAAAAGTTCTGAAAAAAATGACGGTGACCTGTACTCTCAACTTCTACATAATCTTACTGGTGTAATAGGAAGGAGTAGGTAATGAAAAATTCCTTGATTCCCTGTCTTAACTTGGGTTTGAACTAGTGACCCTTCGGTGTCTAGCCAGACACTCTATCGCTTGACTAATGGGAAAATTCCACTAGATGAGGCTTGTAAGGTGACCTGTACTCTAATTTTTTGTATTATTCCCTCCTTAACAAGGTCTAAAACCCAGCTTCATAAGCTCCAAGGAAGCATCTCAATCTCCTATATAGATTCTACCCTAGTGGGCAGTATATGACGAGCATTTGATTTTACAATACCTAGGTGATGAGAAAAAGATTTTTAAGATTTGGTATAATGTGATTCCTTTTGGCCCTTTCCATCAGCCCCTGGGGGTTCCTTACCATTAGCTAGTATCAATATGTGCATACCATCAAACTGTCATTATATACTAATGATGGAATTTAAACAAATTATGCTAAAAAATTTGGAATAACTAATAAACTACAGTGTAAAGTAGATTTTGCCCCTTCCCCAACGTAAAATTTGAGATCCTTTGGTCATGAAATTCAAAATTTGGGTCAATTTGACCATTTTTGGACTCTGTCAATCAGGTCCCTTGATGGTGGTGACCATGTAATTTACAATTCTGGTTCACTTTTTTTTTTTCGATCATGGAAGATTTCAGAGGAATTTCTTTGAAATTGGTTCAAGGGAAGGATGATGGATGGCACTGGTCAATATACGACCACAAATGGTCATCATGAGAGCAGGTGACCTAAATTTGTTTTTACAAATCATTCATTTTATCAAATTTTGACTACGCTGTATGCATGAATGAAAATCTCAAACCCTCAAACCTTTTTGTATATAGAATGTAAAAAAAATGTACAGGTAGTCACCCATATACAAATCAATAAATAAAAAAAAACATCTGATCACCCTATAACACATATTTGTTCTTTGGCAGCATTGGTTAGGCTTATCTGTGTTAAGGGTTTTAATTACCTCATATTTTTATAGAACCTAGTAATACACATCGCAAATTAGCAGGAAACTAAAAACCAAAAACTACAGAATGCAGGGTTTTCCATAATTTTGTTAGTAGTAGGCTGTGTAGTGAAAGTAGGAGGCTGGCCTGCTGTGTATGTGTAGTCGTGTACGGAACATTATTACAGAACTGGATTGGTGTAGGAGGCCAAATGATCAAAGTAGCCGGTCAAATTGGCCGGCGACCGGCTTTTATGGAAAACCCTGAGAATGGATATACTCACTAAAGGGAAAATCCTTACAGATAGAAGAGACAGAAAAAGACATTGGAGTAATCATAGATAATGACTTAAATTTTGAGAAACATATTTGTGAGAACGTCAACAAGACAAACTCGATGTTTGCAATTATACGTAGAACTTTCCAATACCTAAATGCAGATTTGTATGTCCCCGTGTACAAGAGTTTTGTTAGAGCACATCTTGATTTTGCTAAACCTGTGACGTCACCATACAAAATGAAGCATATTGAGAAGCTACAAGGTTTTCAAAGACAGGCAACAAAGCAGATACCTGGGTTTAAAGAGTTGAGCTACACTGAGAATTTGAAGAGATTAAAGTTACCTAAACTATCTTACAGACAAATAAGAGGGGATATGATTGAGTTGTAGCAAATATTACACAAGCATTATGATCCAGAGGCAAGCAGTATTGAGGCACTATGGAGGAACTCAGCAATTAGACAAGGAACCTGGGGAAACTCTCTAAAAATCTACCCTCAGCTAAGCAGATCAGAACTCCGGAAAAACTACTTTTCCATTAGAACTCTCAATATATTGAACAGCCTACCAGAAAATATTGTTAGTGTACCAACGAAAGATACCTTCAAAAGCAGGGATAAACATTGGGGAAACCAGAGCATATTCTATTACTTTAAAGCCTCAATTGTAAGTGACAGGATCACAACAATTATGGGGATTGACAACGAGTCTGGTGTAGAGGACCACTATGGCCTGTACCTGAAAACCTCGCTAAGTAATGCTAAGTAAGTAATACATATCAATGCACTTGAAAGTTTCAGTGTAACACAAAGTGAGCATTTTTTTTCGTCAACGACATTGTATCAATCTAGCGCGAGAACTAAACATTTCAGGGATAAATGTGTTATAGAATCACCTGAATAGGTGAATGGATTATCTGCATCCGAACTGCAACCTGCTCCCATTGTGTTGGTATCATTCAGAAATCATTGCCGTCCGTCGGCCATGTTGTTGACATTGTAGCTAGGTGTTTTTGAGAAGAACGTCATCAGTTTATGTGTATCTTGGACCGCTTAATATTGTCGTGATCGTAATAACAGAATTTTAAGGTGTTAGTAGTAAGCGCGTAAATTAATACAGTTAAGAGAATTTTTGATTGAACTAACAGAACGATTTTTACCAGCGGACGAATATGAGCTGGTTCTGTGGTGTAGTGGTTATCACGTCTGCTTTACACGCAGAAGGTCGCGAGTTCGAACCTCGCCAGAACCTCTCAGATATCTTTTTTTGAAGATGTCGCTATTTGGAATACCCTTCCTTTCAATTCCAAATAAAAAAAAAATCGGGACACGTGTATATAATGATACATCAAGATTATACCTATTTCTTTTTGTAGTTCACATTGCTATTATCAAATCCGGTTAAAGACAACGGTTCACTTTTTATTTAATATGATTTAATAGGATAATAGTGAACGCAGGCATTTCTGCCTCTGTATTCACACCAATACAATGTATTATTAATATAAACATAATATTAGACTAGATATAAGACGCTGTATGATCGTACTTCAGTTCAAGATCTTTCCAGAAATCGTCTAGGTGTTTTTCAAAATCATGAACGATAAGTGATGAAATTACCCATTGCGGGAGACTATTCCAAGTATCAATTATTCTTTGAGTAAAATAATGTTTTCTGACATTCAAATGACAATATTTTTAAAATAATTTTTTACTATGTGCACGAGTTTTTCCTTGCGCTGCAGGGTCGAACATTCCCTCCACCAGCTTTGGATCAAATATCCCATTCATGAACTTAAACACGTTTATCATATTTCCATGTAGACGCCTGTATATCAAGGTTGGGAGATTCAAACGGCGTAACCTCTCATTGTAGCTTAAAGTTTTAAATCCTGGTAGTAGTTTTGTCGATCTCCTCTGGATGTTTTCTATCCGTTCGATGTCCGTAATTCTGTGTGGGGATCAAACACTTGCCGCGTACTCTAGGTGCTGTCGTACTAGAGCTTTAAACGAATTCCTGGACATATTTTCGTCCAAATAAACAATTGATCCTCTTATGACACCTACCATTCTATTATTGGTGACTATCATCTATTATCTTTTATCGTGACAGGTAAAAGAATAAACCTACAATGAAATGACCAGGATATATAGTAGTGGTTATCACGTCTGCTTAACACGCAGAAGGTCACGAGTTCGAAACTCGTCGGAACCTGATCCTTATTTTTCTTCTATTGTTATCTTTTTTTGAATGATTTCAATTGACACTTGTGCAAATTGTACATTTCGGAAAATCATTTGCATAAGGGTTTCGTGGTGTAGTGGTTATCACGTCTGCTTCACACGCAGAAGGTCGCGAGTTCGAACCTCGCCGAAACCTAAAAATTACATTTTTATTCTTATTACCGACATATCTTGCATTATCCTAGATCACCATTCAACTTCATCGCAAACATTAAAGTCAACTAGGAATAATCAACCTAACTTTTCAGTAAATATAGCGAATTAAATCAACTCGACTATCAAATATTTCGATCGATCGTAAGAGTATGTGCGGTTCTGTGGTGTAGTGGTTATCACGTCTGCTTTACACGCAGAAGGCCGCGAGTTCGAACCTCGCCAGAACCTCTCAGCATTTTTTGCAAATGGCACTATTTGGAATCCCAGATCCTCTTATTAGCCGATTGGGTGAAAGAAAAAACCCAACACCGCAGTTCAAGTTCAATACATGTCATGTCGATGCGTATCATTAGAATACTTTCAATACACAGACACTCTCTGCGTCTAGCATTATTTTAAGATGTTTACCAGGATATATATATATTTAGTTCTTTATCTATTTATCTGATTGGTAGCGTAAAATGATAAACCTACAATGAAATGACAGTCGAGACAGTATTTCCGTATTGCTATACCTAAATATATCTTGTTTCATAAATGAATATTTAAAACCACTTTTATCGTAAATAGATCATTGGTCCTGTAACAACAATAACAGTTTGCAATAATACACGTTTATGACATGGTCAATTAGTTTAGAAGATATTTCCTTATAACACCATGTTCCATATGCATTAGGAAACAATCTTAAGCATTAGTTATCAACCATATCAACTAAATATTACCCTTCATCAGTGATAATTCTGTTACTGAACTACCCATTCACATCTGTATTTAAACCACAAGGATTAGTCACTTTAAACCTGGGTAAATATCGCAGAAATAGCCTAAAGATTTCATGGAAATTGACAAAGCAAACAAACAGTTATAGAAATTGATGAAAGCATCAACTTCTCTATTACAATATTACAACCAAAAATCTTGTAATACTAAAAAAAAGGAAATATCAATTATTTATGGGAATTCCTCGATGCATCAATTTCTCTATTGCAGGATCAATGGAATTGTGAGATTGATTTCATATCATTTTATTATTATTTTGTTTTTACCTGATGTTGTTTTAATCGTTTTCAAATTGAGGAGTCTTCGGGGCCCCGACCATAAAACCGTTTATAGTCCTCATTATTATGCATCTCGTATATCTCCGTGATGTTTATCTTATTGTCAGAAGTAGACATCTCTCATGGAAATTGTGATACTGGAAAAGAAAGTTCGTCAACGTTTCTGTGAGAATGACCGTAGGTCAATAAAACATGAATGTTACCATCGAGAATCGCAAAATAAATTCACAACAGAGAAAAGCGATAATTACGCTTATGTCGTATAGGAATGTTACTATATTCTTATTGATGGTATATTTAAAGACCAGTTTTGTTGATGGGTGGCAGTATACAGTTTTTTTATGTGGTCATTGGTGTTGTTTTAGTGTATTAGTTTATATCTTTGAGAAGGTATAACCTTGATGAGGTAGACAACTTGATGTCTCGTTATTTTTTTCGGAATTGGGTTTTGAACTGTGTTGAAGATTAACATTTGTTCAGTCTCGAATTTGTGTCTACCAACAAAAGTCGGGCTGAACTTGTAGTAGGATTTCCTTACTGCCAACACGTGTTCGTTTTGTAAATCTGTTCCGGGTTGGGATTAACATGAAATTTCGCTCAACCGATTTTAGCCTTGTTGAAAAAGAAAAAAACCATCCAAAATAATAATAAAAAACAAATCATGAATTTAGTGTACCATTCCGTTTATCTAGACTTAACTTTTGTTTCGATCAATTCGGATTCTCCCGAATCATTGACTTCTAGATTCCCACGCGTAAGGTCCCTAGCATCAATGGTGAGTGTTCCAGGGAAGGGACGAAACAAGAGAGAAGTGCAGTTAAATCATTGATTTGGCATATGTAATATCTCAATACTATATTTGTATTATGTCTCCAATTGAAGGTCCGATTTTATCATATTAAATGTTATCGTATGTTTCATATACATGTATGTAGAGTTTTGGTATTTGGGTTGTGGGTAGATATATTATGTGAAAATACACGGGGTTTGTCGAATATTGAAAATAAAAAAATAGCAGAAGCATTTTCTTGATAATCGTTACAATGCTGATTCGTGCTGTGTGGAGAATGTTTTAGCACGAATTCAGTATGAAGGTTCCGTGGTGTAGTGGTTATCACGTCTGCTTCACACGCAGAAGGTCGCGAGTTCGAACCTCGCCGAAACCTAAAAATTACATTTTTATTCTTATTACCGACATATCTTGCATTATCCTAGATCACCATTCAACTTCATCGCAAACATTAAAGTCAACTAGGAATAATCAACCTAACTTTTCAGTAAATATAGCGAATTAAATCAACTCGACTATCAAATATTTCGATCGATCGTAAGAGTATGTGCGGTTCTGTGGTGTAGTGGTTGTCACGTCTGCTTTACACGCAGAAGGCCGCGAGTTCGAACCTCGCCAGAACATCTCAGCATTTTTTGCAAATGGCACTATTTGGAATCCCAGATCGTCTTATTAGCCGATTGGGTGAAAGAAAAAACCCAACACCAGACTTCCGGTTATGATTTAGAGGCGGATGGACGTATGTCTTTGAGCTGGTTAAAAATCGTTCTACATCGGAGGTAATCTCGGGTCTATGACCCTATATTTGTGATTTGACTAAAACATTTATATTGTTCATTACACTGAAACATTTATTATGTGATATTTTTAAAGATATTGGTGTAATTTGTAATATCCCATTTCCGGTTTGTTCCGGGGGATATGGCCGCTTCGGGCGACCCCAGGCTGCACGTAGCGGTAAGAGACGCTATAGTAAAGATAATACTGTTGTGATTGATGTGTTGGATAACAAATCATTAAAAGCAGACAGGATAATTGAGGTAATTTCGGAAATGTGTGGTGAAGGTTCTGTTTTTGCTTGTGTCCCAAAGTCCGGGAATTTATATGAGGTCACACTAGAGGGCCGAGCGGGGATCAATCTGCTATTGGATGGTGTTTTTATTGATGGTAGGACATATGATTGCCATGATATCACCAAGAAATTCACACTTGTCAGCTTTTTGCACCTCCCTGCCTATGTAGATGACGACGAAATAAGATAAACTTGCGAACATTGGTGTTGAGTTAGTTTCCCCCATTAAACGTCGCTTTTATAAGGGAACTAATGCAGCTGACGGCACTCGTTATGTACGTGTGAAGTTACCCCCGCACCTGAAATCACTACCGTATACCATGAAATTCGGCAATGACTATCACCGTGTGATACATGATAATCAGTTGAAAGTGTGTTCCTTATGTTATTCTGATGAACACTTATTCAGAGACTGTCCAAAGTTTGTTTGTTTCACCTGTGGTGGCCAGGGTCATTTCAGAAAAACATGTAAAACACAGCCATGCACTCGTTGCGGTGAGATCAGGTACGCGTGTGATTGTGCGCGCGCGGTCAGGCGTATTGACACTCTGTGTGACCGATGTGGACTGTATAGCTGTGAATGTTTTGACACGGGGACAAACCTTGATGACAGCGATTCTGTTG